ACGTCATCATCGAACTAACATTTTTTTTTTTTTTTTTCATCGAACTCACATTTGATTGTTCTCGATACAAACATTACATTTATACACACACACTTCTTCTTTTTAATTTTGTATTTGAATTTATAAATCATATTTTGTTATAAATTTGGATATCCAGAAGAATACAAAAGCATATGTACTTATATTCACATATGTTTCGTCATTTCTAAATTCATTACAATTATATATATATTTAAACAAAATCGCAAATGAAAACAAAAAAAAACTTTGAATAAAACTAAAACATATAATGGTCCTATAGAATCGTAAATAAGTATTCAGAAGTAAAAATATGTATAGAAATATAAACACGGTTTTTACGGAACAAAAATTAGAAAACGCAAGAACCTTAAAATTCGCCGAAAATATCATAAGTTACATAATTCATGTTTGTAAAAACAATATGGTGTATGAATACAATCATATGATTTATATCAAATTCGTTATTATATCTTCTCATGTTTGAATGTCTAAAAAAAAAGGAGGATTTTCATTACGATCATCATGATATTATAATACGTATATTTCTCTCTCGTTGTTTCTTCTCCATGTTGGCACATCAATGTTAAGGACGACTCATTAATTAAACTCCAAGATATATAACATATCGGATGGACCATACGTGGGATTTAGAAGAGACCAAAAGGACAAAATAATATTGAACATATCTTAAGAAGAATTTACAATAATATGTTGTAGTCAGGGTTTAGCAATTTGATCTACCCCACTCTCCTCTTGAATGTGACAAAAGAATCAAATGAGAATTAGGTCACGGGGGCGGCTTTGTGCTATCAAACATCACTCATTTTTTGTTCTTTAATCCATTTTTTTTTCCTCGATATTTTTTGTATAGTATTTGATCAAATAATAGACCTTGTTCAATCATTTACATCCTCATATATATCAAAATAGAATACTGCACAGACAAAAAAAACGCGTTTATCATTAAGTTTATGACTACATACATATGCTTACATGTGTGTACATATATATATATACGTGACGTTTGCTTGTTTAATTATAAACGAATTAATGTATAACCAAAACTTATTTGTTGGATCCCACAAAAATGGGAGAGAACACACGTTAACAAAATATATGCTCTAGTTTATAATCAATTTCCTTGATATAACACATTAATGATAAATATTTACGTGATCTCATATATAGATTTCTATTTTGTTAATCTTAGTATGATTTTTTTTTTTGTTTTTAAAATCTTAGTATGATCTCCTTGTTTTTTGTTAATCAATTTCCTTGTTTTTTGTATTTAAAATCTTAGCACGCCAATTAAAAAGATCTACTTTTTAAAAGTTCAATCAATCATAAAAGAGACTGTATAATATAAATAATTACAAAATCTTAAAGTAATATATAATTTGCATACAAACTCGAAAACGACTTATATTGTGAAACAAAAAACTTTATCCAATACGCCTTATATTATGAGGGAGTAAAATTTTAGTTTTATGATTTTATCCTACCTACTTGAAATTGTTTTTTTCTGATTTTTTTTTGGGTTTTTTAGTAAATAGTTTGCTGGTTTTTCTGTGATTATGAAAAAGTATTATTGTTGCAAAATGAAGAAAAGTAGTATATAACAAAAAAAAAAAAAATTCAATATATGTGGAAAGAAAAATGAATGTACGTCGTAGGAATTAAAGAGAAAAAGAAAATCTGAAGATTATATGGGCCCATTAGAGGATATGGAGATACCTTAAGGCCCATTATGTTTCTCTCTAAGCCCTACTACCCCTAGCTTGTGTCCTCTTCTTCTGCAATCATCTTTTCGATACCGAAGCAGCAACCTTCGCGCCGCCGAGAGAGAGAGAGAGAACGAGAAAAAATGGGGAAGAAGTCGAAAACTTCAAGGAAAGGGAAAAAAGCATGGAGGGCTAACATTAGCACCGAGGACATTGAAGATTTCTTCGAGAAAACCACCAAAGATGCTCTCTCCGGCGGTAATCTCTCCGGTGCTCCCAGCGAGGACCTGTTCCACGTCGATAAATCCCATGGTTAGTTCTTACTTGTCTCTTTTTTCTTGTCCTTGAGGTTTATCAGCTGAAAAGTTTCAATTTTTCCGATACATTAGCATCAGCAAAGTAAGATTTGAAGAAGATTACTTATTTAGCTGCTTCTTAAGATTTGATAGGAGTTATGAGTATGTTTATGGATTGGATTGATATTTAGAGAGCAAAAGAGTATTATTAATGTTTGAAATAAGGCTTTGTGAGTTTGATTTTGATTTGATTTTGCATATCAGACCTTCCGGTGAAGCGAAAGATTGAGAAACATAGAGAGAGAGTGCTCCGTGTTGACAGTATCTTAAAGAAGAATCCATTTGTCCAGTTAGTGCCATCTTCAAAGCCAAAGTTGAAGAAAAGTAAGAAAACAATCGTTGTAGAAGACAAAGCACCTAAACAAGTTCAAAAGGTGAGTTATTTGATGATATGTTTTTCTACATGTATAAGATGTTTTGCCTCCACTTTTTTCCCGGGGAGCTAATTTCATATGACTTTCTCTTCTTTGCAGAATGTTGGTGATGACTCTGTTATGGTGGACTTGTGGGGTGATGATAGTAAAGGTTTGCTTACTCAATTATTCTACTTTTTAGTTACTTCTTAATCTTTGTCTTTTCTATGTCATGAATTAACGTTTCCTTTGCAAAATAAAATTACTTGCAGGAGAAGATGAGAGCAATCCTAGAAAGGTAATGTGTCTTCTGTAATTAAGTTGTTTCAGAAGTTATTTGGTTCTAGACAGGGACTCAGTTGGCTGATTTTTATTCTGGTGTACAGATTTTCAAAAAGCCATCGATTATTCCAGCAGTGGAAATTGAACATCCAGGATGCTCATACAACCCTACAACTGAAAGTCACCAGGTAATAATATTATTATGAACCAAGTTTCACAGATCTGAGCTTGTTTTATTATCATCCTAGTCTTGTGTGCGATCTTGCATTCACTCATCTTTTTTGTATTGCAGGATATGTTGGCTGAAGCTGTTGCTCAAGAAATGCAGAAAGTTTACAAAACTGAGTTAGGGCCTGCGCCTGTTCCTTTGACTATTGAAGGGGATTCACTCAGTGAAGATGAGGTCAGTCTTTTGCTTGTATGTTATAATATAATCAATGGAAAGATGAGCATTGAATTTGATAGTTTAATCCATATGGCTGTTGTATTTACTATCTCAGAGGTACTTTCTTGATGTGGACAATTTTGGTGAAGGCGAAGATGATGTCTTAAAGAAGAACCCATTTGTCCAGTTAGTGCCATCTTCAAAGCCAAACTTGAAGACAATCGTTATAGAAGACAAAACACCTAGACAAGCTCAAAAAGTGAGTAATTTGATTATATAATTTTTTTACATGTATAGGATGTTTTGTCTCGAACTTTTCCCTGGGGAGCTTATCTTCATACGATTTCTCCCTTCTTTGCAGAGTGTTGGTGACGATTCTGTAATGGTGGACTTGTTGGGTGATGATAGTAAAGGTTTGCTTAGTCAATTATTCTACTTTTTAGTTTCTTCGAAATCTTTTCTTTTTCTATGTCATGAATTAACGTTTCCTTTGCAAAAAAAATTACTTGCAGAAGACCTGAGGTACTTTCTTGAAGTGGGCAATGTTGGTGAAGGTGAAACTAATGAAGATGTTGAGAATGAAGTGTCAGAGGCTGGGAACATGTAAGAAGCTCTCTTATTTACATGTCAACATAAATTCGTCGAAGATAAAATTATAATTTGTTAACTTACTCCATCAGCAAAGAGTTGGATTTCATGTTTTTAAAATTCCTGTACTGCAGATTCGCAAGGAAAACAAAGAGGGTTACCCGTGTGGAATTAAATAAGCGATGTAGGCAAAAGGCACTGCGAAAAAAAGAGACAAAGGAAAAGGCTAAAGAGAAGATATTAAACGAAATTGACAGGTATTTTGTAATTTGAATTTATGTTGATGATGTCTGATTACTTATAAAATCACACCTACACAAAATCTTGTTTTAACTGTTCTGCCCTTGTAGCTTGCCAAATATCTTAGAAGAAATAGCCAGAGAAGATGAGGATAAACAAAATAAACATTTACGACGGGTCATCGCCAAGGAGGAAGTGCTGAAGATACGTCCTCCTCGGTTGGGAAAGTACAAGTATGAAACTAAATCTTTCTTTACACCTATATTTTTTTTGTTATATTTTCAAGCTCACTAGTACTCATTCTGATCAAATGATATTTGTAGTTATGAAAATTGGACTTAGGAAAATTGACTGTTGTTTGTTCCAGATTTGAGGCTCCTCCAGTTCAAGTCCTCTTGACAGAAGAGATGACTGGGTCACTTCGTAAGCTGAAGGTATACTCTTTGTTCCCTGAAACCAACGTTTTTGGTCCTTGTGAATTTTCTTGGTAGCTAAAAAACTGAAGAAGTCATCCTTTCTATTTTAAAAAGGCATGTTGCACTCTTGCAAGAGATCGATTCAAGAGCCTCGAGAAGCGAGGAATACTTGTTCCCTCAAAACAAATTAGAAGGTTAGTTTTACAGCAATGACTCATACAGTGAAACAAAGTAAGAATATACTGAGTTCTTACTGTGATCTTGATTTGTGCAGGTTTTAGGAACTCTTCTCACTGTCTACGGCTTTGTTTGAGATAAGCTTTTGGAAGAAAACAACAACAAATACTGTCTCAATCGACTCATATATCTTGTGTTTTAACATAAAGTTGGTTTTAATGTTGTCAAATTTTGAGTTTATGAAGAAAAAACAAAAGATTTTGCTACCAATCCAATTGCTCCTACTGGTTATAATCTCTTTGATGAAATAATTGATTGGGTTCCGTGAATCAAGCTAAGATTTGGTGAAGGAAAGTTACATGTGATTTTGCTGCCAATTCACTTACATGTGATTTTCCGAGACAAAAAGCATATAGTAGAGGAGATTTTGAGTATTTGTGATTTTGCTTCCATATTTTTCCGAATACACACATTTTTCCTGAAGTTGCTATTAAACACTACACTTCTTACAAACCTATTTTACATATAGATACGAATAAATGCAACACAAGCTCTCTACCATCTAACAAATTCTTGAAGAGAAGGGACTCCTGAAAGCTTTTCATGTTTCTTCTGTTGCTGTGAAAGTGTATATATTTGTGGACATGGCAATGATACTTGTGGCAACAGCAAGAACAAGCATTACTGAAGCTACAATCTTCTCTCTTAAAGTCGAGAAACCATTTACATTCCTGCCAATTTTCAAAACAACTGCTAAGATAACTTGATTCATTCAGATTTACAGGAGGAATTAATCAAAAAGGGTAAGATACCTTAGAACAATTGCAGCTGGAAAGATGAATGCTATAGAGACTGTAGAAGTTGATCCCAAGAACTGAAAGAAGTACCAAATGTCTGGTATGGCAATCGCACCCAAGAAACAAGATATCAGTAATGGAAAAGTGAGTCCGAAGAATCTTTTGTTGTCTTCCACTAAAGAGAGCTTCATAGGGAACAAGAGTTCATCGAGGTTGGCTCTAAGCGAGAAGTTGAGCAGAGGAAACACAAGCATGAGGTGAATCGCATAGCTGAGTCTAACAATGTCATTTAGTAACGAACCAATGGAAGAACTGGTGCTTTGATCAAAGTTCATTAGAACATCTGTCATGGTGGAATCCCCAAACAGAAGGTAACAAAAGAGACCAGTGGCTGAGTAGATCGCAGCACACAGAATCACAGAGATCCGTGTTGCTGAAAGCACATCTAATGGATCTTTGAGTTCAAATGCTACTGGATGGACTGCAATAATGTTTTAAAAAAAAACATAACTTCAACAACCAGCAAAAGAGAACAGTGTATAATTTGGAGTAAAAGATCGGTTCTTGGTTCTTGGTTGTTACCATTGAAATGAAAGGTGAAAGCTGTTACAATGACAGGGGAAGCAGTGAAGAGACTGAAAAACGATAATCCACCATCGTTGAGTTCTGGGAAGAGTCTCGGAGTCTTTGTTTTCCCTTGGACTAGTGCAATAATCGCTAGCACCGAGCTTATAACAACAAAGAGTAGCGCAAGCAGAAACGAAATTGCAGAACTTAATGCTAATCTTTCTACAGAAAACATGAGCAGACAAAATCATCAAACCAATATGCATTGATAGATTCAGGAAAAGATAAGTCTTTGGTATAAGAAATGTACCTACACGTCTGCACAAGACTAAAGGAAGCAAGAGGAAGACAAAGATGAACAACAAACCAAAGAATCTCGTATTCCACCAATGAGAACCAAACCATTCTTGAAGAAGACCTAAATGTATGATTCCATCTTTGTCATTACCAGAAAGAACATCACCTAAGAGAACAAACAATCGCTGAATCAATTCAAAAGGGTTTAAGGTTTGTGACAAATTTCAGATTTTTTTGAGACAAAATCAAATTACCTATAATAATCGAGAAAATAATCATAGACCCAAAAGTCACAACCATTGTAACAATCGTAACAACGACGGAGCCAGATTTTCCAAACGATTCTTTCATTACGCCGGCGTAAGTCGTTGATTCTCCGGCGAGACTGGATTTCATTAAAAACCCAGCTGATACATTTGAGAGCCAAGCTATGATAACGATTATCGAGAGAGATGGGATTACACCTAGAACTTTGAAAGCCGCCGGAATCGCCATAATTCCAGCTCCGACGATGCTTGTCGATATGTTAAACACAGCTCCGGCGAATGATCCATGGTTCTCCGATGATGATGAAGGCTCTTGGTTTGGTAAGAGAGGAGCTTTAATTGCAGGAGACATTTTGTTTCGCACTACCGGAGAAAGAGACTAACAGAATTTTCCCCGGCGAAGAGGAAATGGTAATGTGAGGATGATTGATTTGTGAGAGAAGAAGAGATGATTAACGACGTTAATCTTACGTGGCATCGTAATCATATAATTTATAGCCACCTGTCGCATAATTTACAAACAAGTTTTACGCATAAATATATTTTGTAGAAATTTCTTATAGGTTTGTCCCAAAAAAAAAGAGGAAAATATCTGAAATAATTTAGTAATTCTACTAAACTTTTATAAATTCTTTTTAAACATAAATTTGTGATATTTGAATTTTAAAGGAAATAGTGGTATTTTTTGGAATTTCAAACTTGTTTGTAATCAATTATTTTTAAAAGTATATTAATTTCTAGTGATTTTTTTTTCTTTTGGTTAAATAAACTTTCTAGTGATTCAGTATGTCATCGTCAGAATCAGAATAGTCAATAATTTATTTTTTTAATTAAACTAATAATTGATGTCAAAAAAAAAAAGCTAATAATTTTATAATTGTTTTAATAAAATTTTCGTCCGACTTTCAATTTAAATATAGTAATCATATAGACTAGTTCTCTGTAGATAACGACAGAAGTCAGCAATATCTGCATGTGTCTCCTCTACTATTCAATTATAAATCAAACCGGAAAAATAAATCTAAATCGCTCCCAAAACACATTTGGGCTGTTCCTTAAACTAAATAAAGCCTATTAATAAAAAGGCCCACGTAAATCGGTTGTAAAACATTTTCCAAAAACTCAGATTTTAGGCTCCGAACAATTTTGTCAAAGCAATTTCTTCTCTTAAGGAAGAAGAAAAGCAAAGAATCTCTGAAGAAGAAGGAACAATCATATCGAAGAAAATGGATGATCAGTTGGTGAAAGCAAAGGAATTTGAGAAGAAAGCAGACAAAAAGCTCAATGGTTGGTGTTTCTTTGGTTCTAAGTACGATGATGCTGCTCAACTTCTCGGTGATGCAGCTAATTCCTACAAGCTCGCCAAGTCATGTACTTTTACTTTGTTTTCTACATATGAATGTTCTGTTTTCTGAGAGATCTGTGTGTTTGATCATTAGGGTATAATGTGTTTGATTGATTGCTATAGAGAATCCAGGATCACATAATGTATCAGCTTAAATACTTTATACTTAATAAACAAAAAAAAAAAAAAAAAAAAAAAAAAACTTTATACTTAAGAAAACTAATGGGGTTTAGGTTTATATGAAGATATTTTTAAGCTGTGAAAATTGAGGTTTATGTTTCCTTGAGGTTTGTTACATTCTCTGTGTGATTTTTTTAGGGGATCTAGCAGGAAAAGCTAATGTGAAACGGGCTAACTGTTTTCTAAAGGTAAAAGTCTTTGGCTACATTTCCAAAATGTTTTTGCGAAACTTACATGATGATGATGATTTTGCTCTACAATTTGCAGTCAGAAAACAAACATGATGCTGCGAACGCCTATACTGAAGCCGCGAAAAACTACAAGAAAGTAAACACAAATGGTTTGTGTCGCCTTTTGTTAGTATTTAGTGTAGCCAGAAGCTAATCTTTATTTCTATCGTTTTCTTAATTAAATAAGCATGACCATTTTTGCAGAGGCTGCATCTTGTTTAGAGCAGGCAGTGAATATATATTGCGAGATAGGAAGACTTAGCATGGCTGCAAGATACTATAAGGTAACTACTATGTCTTTCTTCTGTGCATGAACACTAAGATAATATATAACTTTTCAGTTGTTAGATTTGAAAATATGGTTTCATTTACATTGTGTTGGTTATGCTTTGAACAGAATAGTAAGATGCCATGTTTTGGTAGTTTTTACTTTCATAGTAAGAGGTTTAGTTAATTGCTTTGTACAATGGCAGGAAATTGCTGAGTACTACGAATCTGATCAGAACATCAAACAAGCTATTACTTATTTTGAAAAGGCAGCTGAGTTTTTCCAAAGTGAAGAAGTAGCTAGTTCTGCTAACCAGTGCAAGCTAAAGATCGCCCAATATGCTGCCCAACTACGACAGTAAGATCTTCTCTAGCTTATCTTTTTGCTTCCTTTTGTCTTAAAAGTCAAAGGATCGATGAACTATGGAACCTGCTATAAGAAATGTTTTATTTACGTGCTCTCTGACTCTCTGTATACTTTGTCAGATATGAGAAGGCAATAAAGATCTATGAAGAAGTAGCCCAATATTCCCTCAATAATAACTTGCTTAAGTATGGAGTCAAAGGGCATCTTCTCAACGCTGGTATTTGTCACCTATGCAAAGGCGATGTTGTTTCCATTACCAATGCCTTGGAGAAATATCAGGTACTCTGCTTTATACACAAAATATATCCATCATGTAACATTTTTGGAGAGATCTTGGGACTATGTCAAGGGGATATAACATTTGTTTTTTCCTCAGGATCTGGATCCAACTTTTTCAGGAACACGAGAATGCAAGTTTTTGGCGGTAGGTTTAAAGTTCTTTATTGATTAGCTTTCACAACTGAGCAATGGCCAACCAACACCAAAAAGCCTCCTTGTTAGTTTTGGTTTGAGATTTTCTTTGCATGAACAGAACATTGCTAGAGCCATTGATGAGGAAGATGTCGCACAGTTCACAGATGTTGTCAGGGAATTTGATAGCATGACACCTCTGGTTCGAGACCCCACTCTTTATATAAAGTTCACAAAAAGTCGAATAAATCATTTATAAAACCGACTTAATACAACTCTAATACTCTATGTTGCAGGATACCTGGAAGGCAACATTGTTATTAAGGGTTAAGGAGAAGCTGAAGGCGAAGGAACTTGAGGACGATGACTTAACCTAAAGATATATTTATTCAGTGAAGTTGAGCACAATCTTAGACTGCGTGTTATCTCATGTGTTGGTTCATACTCCATTGTTCATACTCTTCTTTGAGTTTAGACTCAATTACTGATTTTCATGATCAATATGCAAACTATATAATATCTCTACTTGGTTGTGATATGTCTCATCAAACATAGGATGAATGCACACACACCATTTACACACATCTTACAACATAATGGGATTGAGGAATTATAGAAAACCCCTCAACAATCACAAACCTTAATTGTTTTAAACGTTGATTACTGCGTTTGTGTTTTCGATTAAACAGAGTAGCTTGACTACTCACGCCTATTATTCTTTCTCCAGTCCCATGGCTTCTCTGGATTGGAAGAAGCCCACTGATTGATTTCACATAAATACTCAAAATCACTATGCCAACAAACGAAAGAGATTTGTAGTATATACAAAACAAACTCTACTAGTCTTGCCTTTGCGAGAACCGGGCGCTTGTCATAAGCAAAGTAATGCCAAGCAAGCCCTTTCTTTAGCATTGCCTCCTACATAGAAACCGAAAACCGATTAAAACAAAGTTTTTATAAGAGCAGAAGGGGAAGATATAGAGTAGTACTTTTATTACCTGGACAAAAATCCCATTGCAGTATAAATCACCTACGCATCGCCCATATTGATCTTCTCCATAAACTAACACTTTCAAGCTTTTCCTTCCAACAATCTTAAGGAGCCCTTGTTGTGCCTCTTTCCCAAATGGCATTTGGCTCTCTGGTGCATCTATTCCCCTATTTCCTTTTCCATCACCAAACAGCTTCACTAAAAAAAGAATCCATGGCAGATCTAATTCAACTTCTCTTAAAGGAAAAGAGTGATCTTTTACCTTAGTCTAATTCTGAATTTCCGAGCAAGCACTTCCTCATTCTCAATATTTAGTACCCTGTAACCAGAATCAATGATCTTTTGGTGAAGTTCGTCTGCTTTTGGATAATTTCTCTTCTCACGTGCTTTTGCTCTTTGAACCGCTGCAAGATTGACTTCCCTTGGAACAGAAGATGACACTACCGGCTCTGAAGTACTGACATACACTGTGATGGTGTCTCCATCTGCCACAGCTTTTGGATCCACCTTGTTTTCCATTACACAAGCTTGATCAGCAACATTATCAAATCCCAAAACGAGTAGTTGTTCTTGCTACTCATTTCATAAACCATACCTCAACATCAGCTTTCTGATTCCTTTTTAAGATCTCAATGACAAGCCTAGAAGCTTCCTCTGCTGTCTGTGGTGGAGGTTTTGCTTGCTTCCATGCCTCAAGTATTTTTCTATACCTTCACAAATGTTACAATACATGACAAACAGATTGATTACACAACAAAGTTCACATCTTTATACTACAAGAAACATGTAAACCAATCTTGTGTTATTTTACCAGTTTGCTTGAGCTTTTCTAGACGACTGAACATACCTCCCAAGCCCTTCAGGAACCTACAAGAAAACTGAATTAGCTTAAAGATCACTGGAAAACAAATGAAAGCAGCAGAAGAAGTAGATCAAAGAACACTAGGAAGTTTCAGTGAGAAAATTAAGACCTGGGAAGTGATCTCGAAGTTGAAAAGATCGTGAGCGAGAGCTGAAACACCGACGGTGGCGGCGGAGACGCCGTGAGGACCGAGAGAGTCGTCGGTCGTTGTGGGTTTGCAGCATTTTCCGTAGAGAAACGTAAGAGCGTTACCCATCTTTCACCCAATTTCAGGGAATCCAAAAAGTTTCGATCTTTCCTAATAACCTACCAGAAGAGAATCCTAAAGAGGAAGGACAAAGGACTCTCCAGGAGCACTGGTCAGAAAACACTTACTCTGATCATTGACTAATGGAAAATCAGTAATTAAAACTTTAACATAAGAACAAATTAATAATTTGATTTATTGAAAGGAGAAGAAACCTTTTTTCGACAGCGGGAGAAGAATAATTAAGGACAAAGGCGACAAAAAGATTAATACCAAAAAAAAAAAAAAAAGGCGACAAAAAGATAAATTGAAAAAATTGTACAAGTAGTAGTATTGTAGTCTTCAATTACTCTTTAGACTTCGACAATTATTATCTTGATGCCCATTCTCTAACATGTGTGTACTCTTTCTTGTTCAGGAAGGAGACCCTGAACTTGTGGAAGATGCTGAGTTCTATAGGCAGTTACTAAAGGAGTATCGACTTCACCCTCTTTGCTCTCCACCTTTGGTAACCCACCTTTTATTCGCTGATGACTTGTTGGTTTTCTCTGATGGTGCAAAACACCCTTTGACGGGTATTGCTGAGGTTATGCTTCACTTCAAAACTCTATGTGGACTAGATGTGAATCCATCAAAGTCAGAGATTTTCTTTGGTGGTTATTCTGATATTCAGAGAGAAGTTCTCAGTGCTTTGCAAGGTATTAATTTATTATACGTATAATGTAAAGTCGTTTTCTCCTTTGTCTGTTCTGAAATTACAACTTAAATTTTTATTACGTTTGTCCTTAAATATATTTTTTTGAATGCCAAAAAATACTTTTCCAACACAATATAGTTTTGATCGATACATATACTGGATTCATAAATCATCAAGTACCACAATTTCCACCTGGTCCTCCAAAAGTAAAGGATACTCCACTGCTTTTGGTATATCCCCAATAAGTTAGACCATAACACTGGTAAGAATCTATGTAAGGTCTTGCTTTCTTATCTTCGATATCAACGCTTTGGTAGTTCAAATTCTTAACTCTAACAGACGAAAAATGAGAACTTTTCTGAAAGTTGTAAGATGGAAAATGACCATTTCCCATTGGAGGACTAATTCCATCAGGAGATGTAAAAGTATTTCCTCCAAAGCGTAACAAAGAAGCTCCTTTGTTTAAATGTGTAAATAACTCTTTGGGCCAATAGCCAACTAATTGATCAAAGACTTTTAGTGCCCAGTTTCCGGTGAAACCATCCTAATAAATATTTAAACATACAAACAAACTATTAAAAATCTCTGAAATTCATAAATATGTATGTCATTTGAATAAGAAACATTAAAAAAAAAACTATATTAAAAAATACTTCAAGAATTTCTGAAGAGGATGGATTCGAGTATTTTGAAGCATAAACCAAATAGTTGACATTAAGATGTTTATTATAACGAAAAAGATTCCATCATTCTTGTCAATAAATTATTTATTATTTTGCAGAGTAAAAAAATGTTAACCTGGAAAATTTGCGGTTGAACAAGAATACTTGTTTTACCACCATAAATAGAGGTTCTATCAAACACTTTTCCGAGCCAAGGATATCGAGAAACAAGAACAAAGCCAGGACATTTTGTATTATAGCATCCAGTTGTTTTATAGCCATCTGCCTAATAAATTAAAACATAAAATAGAATGTAAACAATTATACAAGAAAAAGGATAAAAGCAAACCGATGGTACATGTGTTTGTTTGTCATGTATAAAGAAACATATTTAAGAAAAAAATTAATCTACTCACTGTCCAAAATATTGTAAACCGCGTAAAACTGTCACCATATAATCTTGGATGCACCTGTATAAAAATAAAAAATTCATGAATATGTTTTTTTTTTAAATGTATACTCAAACTCTGGTTCTCCAATATCTCATGATGAATTTACAAACATTGGATCACCATAAATTAGTTATATTCTTATATTTGTGGATAATTATTCTACAGTTTTAAGAGATCTTTTACTTGATATATGCTTATAAATGTAATTAAATTGTATTTATATATACTTTTAGTTCCTTGTGTTAAGTCGCGTGACTTTGTATGAAGTACACATTTTATTTTATAAGTTTAATAACAACTTACCGCCCAACCAACTTGTATGCTATTCAGTTGACTGCGAGGTCCATTCTCTAACCAAATTTGATTTTTACTATATTGATTATTTTGTACAGTTAAATTATGAATACTTATATAAGCTTCTGCTCCTCGATAGATGGTCCCATCCAAAACGGTCTCAATTGTTGCAAACTGTATATACCATAAATAAAGAAGTTGCCACTTTTAATAAATATTGCATGTATATAATCAGAACACTAAAAAGAAGGGGAAAATGTGACTGCATATATAATTTTTTGCGCTATGAATAAGATTATATATGGGATAATATAAATATTTCAATAAAAGCATGATAGAAAAAAGAAGATTTACATGTTGGCCAGGATACTCAACCGTGTCGAGATGAACGCTCTCAGTTCCATTTCTTTGCTTTAAAATTGGTACCATCCCTTTTGGACAACTTTGATCATTTATTTTATATTTATCTTCTCTTTTATGGCTTTCATTTGAAATGAATTTTTCCTTTAACATAATAAACGAATAACAAGATTGAGTTGAAAAAATAGAATTAGGACATGAAAACATGAAATATGCTCTTTTATATTAAATTATTCTTCATTGATTAACGACATTGTTCGCCACATTTATTTGTATATGATTAAAAAAAGTTTAACTACCAAACCTGAATCTTGTGGTGTTTCAACATTGGATGTTGGAAAGCCGGTTGTTTGTATATATCCACACAATCGAAATCCTGTAAAATCTACTAAAATTTTCTTCTCATCAAATTTAAAGAATAGACAAACAAAGTAGAAGTTAGAGAATCTCACATCCATGATTCCATCGGCCCCTAACGTTAAAAGCAGATAAGAAGAAAAGACGAGCACTAGATGTAAACCCATTGTTAAATTTTACTTATATTTGTCACTGATAATCTATCATTATATATACTAATTTAAGTCAACGACTAATAAATTTGCTGCTAGTCATATTACTTGACCCTTATTAACTTACCAAAGGTGTCAAATACTAAAAATCAATTATTCAAGAAAAATAAATTTGGTCAACAATATCAAATTTGTTGCTAATCATATCACATCACCTTTTATAAATTTACTAAAAGTGTCAGATACAAAAACAAATAGTTGACCAACTTCAAAATGGAGGAAAAAAATTACTTACTATATTTTTATCGAATGTTCCCTAAAAAAAAATAAAAAAAACTGACTCTATAATAGAGAATATAGAAGAATTGAATTGAAATTTTTTCTATTTTAAGTTCACTAAAAATAGTTGTTACACAAATTTGCAGTGTTTTCACACATGATCCAGACTGTCTGTTCCGACCAGTTAACCCACGATCCAGACATTTAGTTTTGGTTTAGTGCTAATATTCAATAATTTCCAAACTGAAAAACACATAAAAACTTGTCATTAACCCGCGACTCGGTGGACCGGTCGAACCGATCAGATAACGGTTCAAGAGAAATCATTTGATTTTAGAATAAAATATAAGGTTTTGGCATTTTTTTTTACTAATTATAGGCAAAAACCGCTTCCGTCATTGGTGATATCCTACTATCTTAGTATTAATTTCAGTTTTAGTTTGATTTAAAATTTTTAATCACTTTATTATTATTGTTAAACTTCATATTTTGCTAAAGATAGTATGATTTTTTTATTTTTAGATTTACAAAACCTATATAATCTCAATAAATATTAAATAAATTTTAATCGTTAACTCAAATTTGCAATGTTTTGAAATCTGACATGGAAGATGAACTGGACTACCTTCTAGATCACTAAGGCAATCGGGTTCGACCACATATCAATTGATTAAAATTTATTTAACTTTTGAATTAAAAAAAATTATACAATAAATTAGAAATCATAAAATTACAAAGTTTATAATTACCTTTTAAAAAATGTATAAAAAATTAAATAATATAGTAAATCAGTAATCCTAAAAAGGAAAAAAAATTCAAATTACTATTATAATATATACATATATCATGATTTATATTTTTTAATTTAATTATTGTGGTTTTAAAGTATATAAGATTTATTATATATCATGGTGCTCATCTTAAAAAGTACAAAACTGCACCAAACACCAAACAAAGAATAAGCGATAAAATTTTCTCTCTTAAAAAACCAGCGTTCGCCCTAGCCGTCAAAGAGTCTTTCTCCGATGGCCGGTGATGGATGGCTTCCACAGCATCGTCGCCGGTCCCTCTCTCCATAGTTGCTTTTCATTGCCCTTGTGTTTACCTAGCTGCGTCGTCTTTCTTCTTTCCCCCTTTCAATCGGCGGTGGTGGCTCCATTTAGAGTGGTGGCTAATACGGTGGCTTGGCGTCGGATCTGTGGAGTTAATTTGCAGATCTATGGTGTTCTTCGATGGATCTGCTCTCCTGTGGCTCAGTCAAGGTTTGTTGCTGCTCGGATGCTTTCTTCCGTTTTGGGGGTAGAGTTTTAGATTCTCCGATTAGGTTGGTAAGTCTCTGATCTGTTTTCATCGGCTCTGTTCTCGTTGGATTGGGAGTTGGTGATGGTATGTTGCGTGCTCCGGCTACATCTGTGGCAACGGCCTCCGTCATTTATCTTCAGGTTGTGTTTCTGCCTCGGTTAATTGCTCTATTGGTTGGACGCGTGTGTCTTCTAGGTCTGGTTGTGTCTTAATTTGGTTGAGGAGTGAAGCCTTAGATTTAAGATTAGGGTTGGCATTATTGGCTATTATCTCTGCCTCGCTGTTATCCTCCCTTCTGGATTCTAGTGGTGTGAGATGGTGAAGGTTTCGTTTTGCGGGTTCTTCCTTCGGATGGTAGTCTTCTGCAAAGGCACCTACTAGCTCTTTTCCTTTATGGTTTGAGTTTTAGACGATGCAGGGGGCTCGGCCTCCATTCCTTCTCTTGCGTGGCGTAACCAGTTCTTAGCCTGTAGGTGGTTCTGGCTGGGTCTACGAATGTCCGCGTGTAAGAAATGGTGGTCCTCTTTGAAGTTTTCCCCTTCGGATTTCAAGGTTTCTTTTGTCCCTTCGCCTTCTCGTGCTGTTTGGTTTTTGGATTGGTAGTGATGGTTAGGTTCTGTGCTCTAAGTCTCTGGTTCATCTGTGTTCGGTTCTGCTGGAGTTGTGGTTGTGTGAGTTCGATTTTGTACCCTTCTCGGGCTTTCTCTGTTGAAGGCAATCTAATGTTGGGTCCTCTTGGAAGCTCATGTTTGTAATTTCTCTCCAGCGCCAAAGCTGTTCTATGGAATTGTTCGTCGGGTGCTTTTGGTGAAGAGTCTCAGTGGTGTTGCTTTTGAGCTTTTGTTTTGTGCCATTGTCCTTGTTCTTTAAGGTTTTATCTTTCTTTTATGTCCGTCCTTTGGGGCCTTTAGTCTCTGGGGGTTTATTTGTACCCGCCGGCTTTGTTTTCGGAAGGATCTCTTTCCTTGCCGTGATGTATAACTCAAATGTATCCCATCAATGAATCATTTAGACGAAAAAAAAAAAAATATCATGGTGCTAATAAATTTAGATTGCAACACATGTCCTAATTGAATTTAAAATTTTCCAATATTTATTTCAATTTTATTTTGTAATTGGAAATAAATGATGATTTAAAATTGTTTTATTAAAAAACAATTTTGAATTTCCTTTTTCAGTTAGGACTTTAGGAGTATGTAAGATCAATATATGTTTTTTTTTAAAAATATCTTTTTAGTTAAGTTTTAGTATTTTAAATTTTTTTATTCTAATTTCTATTATCATCTTTAAATTATCTAAGACTCGTATATCATTGTGCTTATAATTTTCTATTGTTTATTTTTATTTTATCAAAAAAAAAATTTTAACTTCTCAACCTTTATTGGTTGGTCTAGTATTTATTTTAGTTTATTTATTCAGAAGCGAGACCGCATCTGGGCGAGCTACTATTTGGATCGCCTCTCTTCAGGGATTTTTGATTGCAAATTGGAAAAAAAAGGAAAAAAATCGAAGAAGATGAAGTTTAAGGGTACCCTGAAATTTTCGCAAAGAAATTGGGGAAGACGGTAGCGACTTGGACTCATAAGGGCAAAATTGACTTTTTCACCGTAAAACTAAACAAGTGGGAGTTCAATTAGGCCCAAAACAAATGAATCCATGGAAGGGTGATTTCTATAGGATACAATCATTTAGTTAGTTGATCAGAGACGGAGACTTTCTTCTCAGTAGACTCATTTCATGATCCCAGAACACATGGAATTAAAACCTCAGGATCATTTAGTCATCAGATGAACAAAGACTCCTTATCTACCTAACTAAAATCAAAAACAACAAAATTAACACCATCACCAACTTTAATCAAACGCGAAACAAGTTGGGCTTTAGTTGAATTAGGCCCAAAATTGTTAAATCTATGTCGGATGTCCAGTAAAAGTTTTTATTTTCAAGCAAGGACAAAAGTTTCGGCCATTTGATGATAAGCAAAGAAAACAGTTAAAGCATCTAATAACGTCCTCTACAATCTCGGACCTTTTCTTCGTATCTGTCTCCGACACTCTAGTAGTGTAGTAACTTCATCTTTTTTTTCAACTTCAGTCGCGTGTAATGATGATCAATTAGTGTTGCTTGCTCCCTCGGATCTTCTTTTTCTTCGCTTAGCCATCTTTTTCAACTATCACCGCCTTTACTCGGAGAGATCTCGTTCTCCGACCAAGGAATTATGATCGCCGACGTCCGACCATAAAAGGTATCGCCTTTCGAGCTTCTCCATTGCTACATTACCTAGCTCTTTGTGTTTCTCTCTCTAATTTACTACATTGAGGGATTTTTTTTCCTTTGAAATTGCGGTTTCTCAGTTAGTCTCTCTGCTCCCGAATTTCTGAGCAAAATACCGTCTTTTCGATTACTAGTTGAGCATATGATGATCATTGATCTTGATTTCATCTATAGCTTAGTTACTGAAACAGATTGTCCCTTAAAATGGTGATTTTTGCTGTTTTTGTGGTGTAATCTTTGCTGAAGAGTGATTTAAAAGTGCAAGTATGTTTTAATTCAGATGGTTTGTCAAGGATGCAATGGATTGCAATAAGCTACAAAGATTACTGAGATCTTGTTTGATTTATGGATGGAATTGAAATATTCTTAGTACTGAGAAAGTTTATGTGGTTGGTTTTATGAACAGGGATGCATATGGGTTTCCTTAATATCTCCATAACTTTTATTTTCTATTCCAACAATTATTTTACATGATTTAGTGCACATTCGCATTCTTAGAAAAAAACTATAAAGGATTGATTTTTCTAAAATTTGGTGATCCCATAAAGAAGCTTTGTTACAGGGAAAACCCCTGTATGAAAAATTTCAGAAATGGACTAAACTTGAAGTTCACTTAGTGGTCTTGGTCTAATGCGTGAAATATCGAAAGGCTCCCTGTGTCATAAGTCATTTTGCTTCTTACTTGGTGGACGCAGTCACTGTCACTCGATTCCTCCATGTATCACCTTAACATTTTAACTGTGTTCCTTGCTGATAAACTGCAGGAGGAAGAAGAGGAGAGGTCCGCTAGGTGGAACCATTTCCTGGAAGATCATGCAGAATCTGGTGTGTCACCTGTGACTGGATCGTCTGAAAATAATCATGTCAATCCAAGTGAAAGTGACAAAATACTGACTACCCAGGTTCTGATTTAACTCCTGGGAGTGCGAGAGAGGAAGATGAAGTTCCCAATGGAGAGAAGAATGTGCACAAAGTTCAGTTATGGGCTGAGATCAGGCCATCTCTTCAAGCAATTGAGGATTTGATGAGTGTCCGTGTCAAAATGAAGGGGGATTCCACAAATGGCGAGCAAGAAGCTCAGAAATTGAATTCCTTACCCTCAACGATGAGACCAAATCTTCAAAGGGAGTGTCTGAGAATGATTCTGAAGATGACTTCTATGATGTGGAGAGATCAGATCCAATTCAGGATGGTTCTTCAGATGGTACAAGTGTCTCCAGCATGTCTGCTGCTGCTGATGCAACTTCCCTAGCATCTGCATGCCCCTGGAAAGACGAACTTGAAGTTCTTGTTCATGGCGGTGCACCTATGGCTCTGAGGGGTGAGGTAGTAAATCCTGCCATTCTGTATTATCTCCTTCTCTTTTCTAGCATTCTCCTGCTATTGATAGTTAGTTCTTATTATCCTTATTTTCTGCTCCATAATCTGAAAGTATATATACAAATATTCAGCTCTGGCAAGCATTTGGGGGAGTCAAGAAACGTGGGGTCAAGAATTATTACCAAAATCTGCTAGCTGCTGATAGTCTCAGAAACGAAATAGAGCAGGAGCATATGCAGCATACAGATGAGAAAGGTTCAAGTACAGACCCCCTCTCTGTTGTGGAAAAATGTAAAGGACAGATAGAAAAGGTTAGCAACTGTATTATCCTCCATTACTTGGCATCCAGCATTTTCTAACTAATGCTGCAGTACTGGACTCCTGTTGATCTTGGTCATTTTTCTCAAGTAGTTGCTTTTTCAATTACAGGATTTACCCCGGACATTTCCAGGTCATCCTGCCCTAGATGATGATTTCAGAGATGCTCTGCGGCGATTGCTAACTGCCTATGCTAGGCATAATCCCTCTGTTAGATACTGTCAGGTATTCGGTTATTAAATACTGTCATTTCTGTATTTTAGTATGGTGTCATGCTCACAAAAATGAACATCTCAGTTATTTGTTATTTTATTCGATAAATCATGTGCAGGCAATGAATTTCTTCGCTGCACTTTTATTACTTCTGATGCTCGAAGAGAATGCTTTTTGGTATGTTCGGAAACTACTCTCTAACGCCTAATATTGTTTGTCAATGAAAATCCAACTCTTTGGTTCTGTGTGAAGTTCGTGTATCTATGACTTCCTTTTCTCCTGGTTGAATATTAACTACTGTTAGCCCATTCCTCAAATCTTCTTCTTCACAAACATGTAAGTTAACTAAATATTACTTCGGATTTTAGGTCGCTTATAGGAATCATTGATGACTACTTCCATGATTATTATTCAGAAGAGATGATCGAGTCCCAGGTAAAATAGTAATCTTTTCTGTACAGTATTTTCCTATCTTTTAGGGCCGACTCGTGATAGCATCACAAAAGAATCATTTTCTTATTGTTCCTGTATTTGGATTCATTTTCCAGGTTGGCCAACGAGTTCTGGAGGAGTTGCTTCGAGAGAGATTTCCTAAATTGGGTTAGTTTTTCATAGTCTTGTTTCATCATACCAGAAATTTGGAGTTGGTGCTAATTCTCTGGATCGTGCAAACAGAAAAATACTTGTCAAAGCGTTATTTAATGTCCCTAGGACATCTCTGGAGTTGCTAGCATACTATTCGCGCATGGTTGCAACACTAGCATCGTGCATAAGGACATATGCTTGTGCAGATGTTGGAGGATGAGTTTAATTCTCTGGTCCATAAAAAGGTTAGCTAGATCTGTTGCATTGTCTTAGATAAAAAGTAATGAATTTACTTTGATTAAATTTATGACTGCACTTTTAACCTTTGAGCATGACTGAAGGCAATTCACTCTATTGATGCGAATACCTCTGTTCTCAGTTTCGCTCCCAACATTCCCTTATAAACGGTATTCAAATGTGATGATGTACCGTCTGATGGAGTTGCAAATTTAATTTTTTGCAGGACCAAATGAATATTGAAACAAAAATCCGAAACATTAGATTTATTGGAGAACTCTGGAAGTTTGAAATTGTACCTGCTGGTCTTGTATTCAGTTGTTTAAGGTATAACTGCACAACCTGATATGCTTTCTATAGAGATGTTTATTTTCTTGAATTTCTGAACTTATGTTAGGTGCGTATTAATATGTTAAGTAAGTTTTACTTGAATCCTCTTACTGGACATCAAAATGTAATTGTATGGGGACAGAATATATCCTCTCTGGTGAAACTTGAGCCATCCAACTCTGTAAAATGTTCACTTCCCAATTATGTTTTGCTTTTGCAGGCTTGCTTAGATGAATTTACTCATCATAACATTGATGTTGCTTGCAATCTTCTGGAGACATGTGGCTGTTTCCTTTATCGGTCTCTCGAAACCACCACTCAGGATGACATATATGCTGGACATATTAATGCGCCTGAAAAATGTCAAGAATTTAGATCCTCGTCAAAGCACTCTTGTGGAAACTGCCTACTACCTGTGTAAACCTCCTGAAAGATCAGCAAGAATTTCTAAAGTTCGTCCACCACTGCATCAGGTACTTCCTAATTTCCAAACTCCATATCTTTTATGTTTCAATAACTTTCCATTGCGCAATAGTATTGGAGACTTGGGTTTTTCATATACTTCTATTCAAATTTCTGCAGTATGTTTTAAAGTGCTTTATGAAGGTCCACAAGGGAATTTATGGTCAGATTCACTTAATTGCTTCCTTGACTTCTGGTTTGAGCCGCCATCATGATGAGTTTGCGCTGGCTGTTGCTGATGAGGTATGTTCCTTCCACTGTATCTAATAGAGTAATACATATGGCTTTTGTAGTCAAGTAATGCCAAATTTGTAGTCAATTGGTGATTAATTATTTGCAGTAGTGAAAAAGGTCTAAGATGCTAAACTTCCTTCTTTTAGTCAATAGAATTGAAAATTGCCGTCAAGTTGAAATGGTATTGTTTCTTATGTGAAGTTTGACGTGTCAGTAAAGCCTTAAAATAAGCTTGCTGTTGAAAATGGTTAGGAGAAACATGCCTATAGGTTTGGATTCCATGTTGTTTGAAATCAGAAAAGTTTATGGAAATGATACTTCAGAGGTAAGTTAGCCTTAGACTCTTCCAGAGTCAATCCTCTATAAAATTGTAAATGCTCCTCTTTTGTGTGGTTTGGCATTTAAAAAATTATAATCATAAGTCTCTTCTCGTGCTTACTTTCTTTTATACATTCCTCATGATATACAAATGTAGATACTATGTTGTAGAACTAGTTATGACGACATAAACTGTGGAATGATTGAACCTAGAAGTCATTCAGCATATGGAGAGCATGTTGAACTGCTGTTTTTATCTTACAGAAATGCTATGTGTTGCTCTACTCTGCAGGATCATCGCTTTACGTTTAATTTTCAGTCCTTCTCTTCCACTGATTGACTGTTGTATATACTTTTAAGATGTTAGCAAGAGGTGCTGGATCCACCAGAAGATTTTTTCCCCATCAGGATGGTTATCATTCTTCTGGAAATCTGTGGGCACTACTTTGATCGAGGTTTTTCAAAGAAAAGGCTTGATCAATTTTTAATACACTTCCAGAGATACATCCTGAGCAAGGGCCACCTTCCACTGGATATTGAATTTGACTTGCAGGTTAGTCTTGTATTATATCATAGTAGACATGAGATTAGAGATTTTTTTGTTGAAATTATCCAATTTTCACTTAAGTATTCAGTGTATCTGTAACAAATAATGTGTCTTAACTTCTGTCTCAATGCAGGATCTATTTGCCAATTTGAGACCCAATATGACCCGTTACGCAACCATTGATGAGGTCAATGCAGCTATACTTCAGCTGGAAGAGCGTGAACATGCTTCTTCAGGAGACAAAGTCAGTATAGAAAGACACTCAGATACAAAGCCTTCAAAGCAGGTCGTCTCTTCTAACGGGGAAAATTACTGCCGAAGATATTAGAGAGAATGGAGAAGCTCACGGAGAACAAAGCGACAGCGATTCTGGTAGTGGCTCCGTGGTCCGTGATGGACAGAACTAAGAGTTGGATGATGGAAATCATGAGCGGGGATGTGAGAGTGACGATGGGGATGACTATGATGATGGCGATGGACCTGGATCTGATGATGATAAATTTCGTGCAAGGCAAAAGGTGGTAACCATAGATCCTGAGGAACAAGCGGACTTTGATCAAGAACTGAAGGGCTTACTTGAGGCAAGTTCAAAATTGGTCTTTTTTTTTTTTTTTTAAGTATTGTCTCTGGAAAAACCAGTTTACACTAATGCAAGATGGAACTTATTTGTCCGAATTTGAAAGATCAAGGAATTTGATTATGGTTAAGTACTGATGTTTTGTGGAGCAAAAGAAGCTAGAATTACGTGGTAGACCGGCATTGAACATGACAATACCGATGAGAGTTTTTGAAGGATCTGGAAAGATCATCATCATTTTGGGTGGGTAGTGGGTAGTAGGTGAAAACGGTGAAGAAGTGTTGGATGAAGAGAATGGAGAGCAAAGAGAGGTGCAAGTAAAGGTCGTAGTGACTAGTGAAGAAAGGAACAAGGAAAATGCAAATCCCAAGTGATTGTACGCTAGTGCAGAGCACAAAACAGAAAGAAGTTGCGGAATTGGAAGAGAAACAAGGCATAAAGAGGTTTGTACTAGAGTACAATGAGAGGTACGAAGAGGAAGCTAATGGGTTAGGAACACAGATATTGAATTGGACTCCTGGAGGAAGCAGAGGATCGACTCGAAGTACAGGGGAAGGCAATGGGAAGAGTGGTGGGTCTCGTCACCGGTTTTATTATCATCAAGGAGGTGGTGGTTCGTGTATCACGCCCGACGAAAATAACTTGATCCAGTTTAGGAGGGAAATTTGATAATCTTGCCAGTGTCAAAAGCGGTAATAGTTTGGCTTTTTGCTATGGCTGACAAGAAATCTCATTGACAAATATTTGTTAAGTTAGGCTTTACCATTTAAATCATATACAATGACTTGCCGTATTTGAAGACGAATTTCTCTACCCCATAAGACCACCACGAATTATTTCATTTATTGTTATGTATTTTATAGTTTGTTAAGTTGCTTCATATATTATTTTATAGTATATTTATATTATACGATATCCCTATATTTAACAACTGACAATTGTTAATGTTATAGATCCATTAAGCTTTCCTCAGTAGTTAAATGAATAATTAACAGCTAAATACACCCAAATATTCTACTGTTACAATTTCTACCAGTCACTCTCTAAAATTGGTATAAAAATCATATAGCTCACACAATATAATCCTGTAATAAATAAATTCTGATAATTAATGTTGGAAAATGTTACAAGTTAAATACAGTGTATATGAAAAGAATTAGTTTTATTTGCTAAACATTATTCGTATAAATAATAAATAAATATATTTCTCTTCGGGTATTTTATTTATAATAATTTTTAATTCAACAGTTTATCCGTGTTGAACTCTGGCCTTTAATCTGTGGCTTCTTCATTTCTCAGATCCTGCTAAAGAAATTTCGCTTCCTTTCTACTTGAAAACTTTTATAATCTTCTTCTTCGATCTCTCTCTGTGAACTTTCTTTCGTTGCGTCTCTCTCGTTCTCGTTCTCAGATCTTGGATTGACGACCCTCTCGATCGTTGACCGTCGAATTTGGTTCGGCTACCATTTTCGGGCGAGAGTAAATAATTTTATAAAGGGCATGGTTTTGTTGGGGTCTGAAGTTACTTATGGAACTGATTGTCACAAAGACAAGAAGATCATCACAAGGTTCGTTGATTTGTCTCCTAATTCGAATCCTGGGTTTTTCAGATTTTTCGCTGATTTGGGCTCTTTTGTTCAATAGCAATCGACGGAGATTGGTCTTCTTGCTGAGAACTGGAAATATCTTGTGGCCGGTCTTATCTCTCAGGTTTCCATCTTAAAACTCTACTCATTGCTGAGAAATTTGATATGTGAGATTCCAAGAGCATGAAATAATCCTCTTACTGGATATCAAAATGTAGACAGAATATATCCTCTCTGGTGAAACTTGAGCCATCCATCTCTGTAAAATGTTCACTTCCCAATTATGTTTTGCTTTTGCAGGCTTGCTTAGATGAATTTACTCATCATAACATTGATGTTGCTTGCAATCTTCTGGAGACATGCGGCTGTTTCACCACTCAGGATGACAAATATGCTGGACATATTAATGCGCCTCAAAAATGTCAAGAATTTAGATCCTCGTCAAAGCACTCTTGTGCAAACTGCCTACTACCTGTGTAAACCTCCTCAAAGATCAGCATCAGGTACTTCCTAATTTCCAACCTCCATATCTTTTATGTTTCAATAACTTTCCATTGCGCAATAGTATTCGAGACTTGGGTTTTTCATATACTTCTTTTCAAATTTCTGCAGTATGTTTTAAATTACTCTGGTCATGGGATTTACGTACAAATTGTTTCCCAAAACTTAGATAACTATTACTTCAGTTGCATAAACTTTTAACCGCTCTAATGTGGTCCTCCTACTCCTTAATACAGCAAACTTCCTTAATATGATACAAACCTTTTATTTTCTCTTGTTTACATATATGTATAACATCCTTATTAAGCCTAATCAACTACCAGTATCTTTGAGCTAACTTCAGAACCCCTTCCTTCTTAAATCTACCACTCCGATCTTTTCTTTGTCAATTCTTCTGTACTATCAATCTGATTCCTCAAATTGATGTTGAATTCTCTGTTCCTTCCGCTTTCTTAGTCATCCCTTCTTAAATCTTACAGTCTTCTTCTCTCTTCTTCTCCCACTCTCTTCTCTTTGTCAATTCTTCTGTACTATCAATCTGATTCCTCCATAATGACTACCCAGATTGATGTTGAATTCTCTGTTCATTCCGCTTTCTTAGTCATTCTTATTCTTGCTTTAGTAGTGGCTGCCCTATTGCTACTTCTGTATTTTGTTCTAGACTGTGTTTTGAGACACTCTAGAGATGGTAGAGAAGGTACTGTGGATGTTGAAGCCGATTTTGAAGCCGCTTCTGAAGTTGAAGATACTGTTGAAGCCGCTTCTGAAGTTGAAGATACTGTTGAAGCCGCTTCTGAAGTTGAAGATACTGTTGAAGCTGATGATGAGGATGACGACAACGCCTCAATGGACGTTGTCGTCAACTCTGATTCAGATCACAGCCAAGATTCAGATCACAGCCAAGAGGAAGAAGATCTGGATCCGATTTCTCCCAATAGCTTTCAATTCATGTACAATACCGAATGCGGTATTTGTTTGCTTGAATTCGAACCAGATGGAGAACCGTTGGCAAATATCCCTTGCCATCACGCGTTCCATCTGGGTTGTTTACGTAGATGGGCTAGGAAATGCCCAATCTGCAAAATCAGTTTCTAAAATGTAATAGTTTGATTGTTAATGTGTTACTTAATTGTAATAATGTGATTGTTAATGTAATCTTTGAGTAATTTAAGAAAACCTATTATTGATAATCCTAGTTTAGAATCAGAAACAATTATAAACGAGGAAGCAGATTGTTGTTGTCTTGTACATAAGATTTACGTTTACAATTTTATGGACCTTAGACTTCTTCATCAGATTGAAACTCAAGCTAATCCTAAAGGATTATGTTGCCTTTCTCATCATTCTAATACTTCTGTGCTCGCTTGCCCTGGTCTTCATCGAGGAGAGATTCGTGTTCTTTGTGTAATATGCGTGTTCCTTGTGTAGGGATATATTGAAGAACTTGAAATAAGGGTGAAGATGCTGTTAAAGGTCAAGCGGTGAAGAATCACAAGGTATGACCTTTGTTCTACGGTTTGTCAAGTAGTCTTACTAGAAATCAGTTGCAGTTGTATATTCCTATTTTATGTTAATGAAGTTAATCTAGAGGTAATTTTTGTATAAGACAATTCTTTCTTTCTGCTCTATGTCAAGGCTCTTTGGGATAAAACTCTGGAGTTCAGATTCTTACTTCAGAAAGCATTTGATCGTTCAAACATATTGTCACAGGTAAGCTATGCTCTTCTCCTCTTCTATTTATTGTTGTTTGCTTCATCATGCTTATGACACAAGGTAATCCTTTTCAGGAGCCTGTGAAATCGTAATTTTTGTTCGGAAGATGAGGATGTCTCAACAGCATATGCAGATCTAGTTACTTCATCTAAGAAGACATTAGATTCCCTCTTGAAGTTGCAAGAGGTATGTATGCATAGGCTTGATTCAGTAACTGTATACTGTCTCTTAATGTTTTGTCTCTCTGCCACCTTTGTTTACTCTTATTATCCAAATATTGATTTCTGCAGGCTTTGTTTGAGAAGAACTCCTCGGTTGATCAACAAGTGAATGGTATGCCATATTTAACAGAAAACAGAATTATTATAACTATAAGCGAGGGTCAATGTAACATCTCTTTTTTTCTATCCGGTCAGGAACAGCTAGTGCAGAATCCAATAAATCAGATGCAGACGATAGCGATGAATGGCAGCGAATATCTGACTTGCAGAAAAGGTATTGTTCTGCTTAAAGTTCTGTCCAAGCAAAAAAATTCTGTTTAGTAAAAACATGATTGACTTCATTTGGGGACCAGTCCCAATAACCATTTATGTTTCATTGTTAACACAAAATCGGTCTTTGCTATGTAGAATGTCTGTGTTCCGAAACAAGGCTGTGGACAAATGGCAGAGAAGAACACAAGTTACAACTGGTGCAGCTGCTATTAAAGGAAAGCTCCACGCCTTTAACCAGGTATAGACAACAAACCCCGAAGATGATTTTCCTCTTATACAGCTGGGTAGTAATGTTAATATGGGCTGAAAGCCCGCGGGCCTAAACAATTTCTTCTCTTAAGGAAGAAGGAAAGATCATATCGAAGAAATGGGTGATCAGTTGGTGAAAGCAAAGGAATTTGAGAAGAAAGCCGACAAGAAGCTCAATGGTTGGTGTCTCTTCGGTTCTAAGTACGATGATGCTGCTCAACTTCTCGGTAATGCAGCTAATTCCTACAAGCTCGCCAAGTCATGTACTCATACTTCATTTTCTACATATGAATGTTCTGTTTTCTGAGAGATTTGTGTGTTTGATCATTAGGGTATAATGTGTTTGATTGATTGCTATAGAGAATCTTAGGATCACATAATGTATCAGCTTAAATACTTGAGACTTAAGAAAACTAATGGGGTTTAGGTTTAGATGAAGATATTGTTAAGCTGTGAAAATTGAGGTTTATGTTTTCTTGAGGTTTGTTACATTCTCTGTGTGATTTGTTTAGGGGATCAAGCCGGAAAAGCTAATGTGAAACGGGCTAACTGTTTCCTGAAGGTAAACTCTTTGGCTACATTTCTTTTGCAAAACGTACATGATGATGATGATTTTGCTCTACAATTTTCAGTCAGAAAACAAACATGATGCTGCCAGCGCCTATACTGAAGCCGCGAAAAACTACAAGAAAATAAACACAAATGGTTTGTGTCGCTTTTTGTTAGTATTTAGTGTAGCCAAAAGCTAATCTTCATCTCTTTCGTTTTCTTGATATAAGCATGACCATTTTTGCAGAAGCGGCATCTTGTTTAGAGCAGGCAGTGAATATATATTGCGAGATAGGAAGACTTAGCATGGCTGCAAGATACTATAAGGTAACTACTATGTCTTTCTTCTGTGCAAGATAATATATAACTCTTTAAGTTGTTAGATTTGAAAATATGGTTTCATTTACATTGTGATGGTTATGCTTTGAACAGAGTAGTAAGATGCTATGTTTTGGTAGTTTTTTCTTTCATACTAAGTGGTTTAGTTAATTGCTTTGTACAATGGCAGGAAATTGCTGAGTACTACGAATCTGATCAGAACATCAAACAAGCTATTACTTATTTTGAAAAGGCAGCTGAGTTTTTCCAAAGTGAAGAAGTATCTAGTTCTGCTAACCAGTGCAAGCTAAAGATCGCCCAATATGCTGCCCAACTACAACAGTAAGATCTTCTCTAGCTTATCTTTTTGCTTTCTTTTGTCTTACAAGTCAAAGGATTGGTGAACTATGGAACCTGCTATAAGAAATGTTTTATTAATGTGCTCTCTGACTCTCTGTATACTTTGTCAGATATGTGAAGGCAATAAAGATCTATGAAGAGGTAGCCCAATATTCCCTTAACAATAACTTGCTTAAGTATGGAGTTAAAGGGCATCTTCACAAAGCTGGTATTTGTCACCTATGCAAAGGCGATGTTGTTTCCATTACCAATGCCTTGGAGAAATATCAGGTTCTGCTTTCTACACAAAATATATCCATCATGTAATGTAACATTTTTGGAGAGATCTTGGGACTATGTCAAGGGGATATAACATTTGTTTTTTCTGCAGGATTTGGATCCAACTTTTTCAGGAACACGAGAATGCAAGTTTTTGGCGGTAGGTTTAAAGTTCTTTATTGATTAGCTTTCACCACAAAGCCTTGTTAGTTCTGGTTTGACATTTTCTTTGCATGAACAGAACATTGCTAGAACCATTGATGAGGAAGATGTCGCACAGTTCACAGATGTTGTCAAGGAATTTGATAGCATGACACCTCTGGTTCGAGACCCCAATCTTTATCTAGAGTTCACAAAAAGTCGAATAAATCGTTTATAAAACCGACTTAATACAACTATATGTTGCAGGACACCTGGAAGGCAACATTGTTATTAAGGGTTAAGGAGAAGCTGAAGGCGAAGGAACTTGAGGACGATGACTTAACCTAAAGATATTTTTATTCAGTGAAGTTGTACTATTTGAGAATTATCACATGTGTTGGTTCATACTCCATTTGTCCATACCCTTCTTTGGGTTTTAGAGTACTCAATTACTTATTTTCATCTATAATATCTCTACTTGGTTTTGTGACATGTCTCATCAAACATAGGATGAATGCACACACACCATTTACACACATCTTACAACAGAACGGGATTGAGGAATTGTAGAAAAACCCTCAACAATCACAAACCTTAATTGTTTTAAACGCTGATTACTGCGTTGGTGTTTTCGTCCAAACAGAGTAGCTTGACTACTCACGCCTATTATTCTTTCTCCAGTCCCATGGCTTCTCTGGATTTGAAGAAGCCCACAAGCCAATACGCTTCTGTCGTGCCTCCTTTTCCCACTGATTGATTTCACATAAAAAGAACCATAAATACTCAAAATCACTATGCCAACAAACGAAAGAGAATTGTAGTATATACAAAACAAACTCTACTAATCTTGCCTTTGCGAGAACCGGGCGCTTGTCATAAGCTACGTAATGCCAAGCAAGCCCTTTCTTTAGCATTGCCTCCTACATAGAAACCGAAAACCGGTTAAACAAAGTTTTATAAGAGCAGAAGGGAAAGATATAGAGTAGTACTTTTATTACCTGGACAAAAATCCCATTGCAGTATAAATCAGCTACGCATCGCCCATATTGATCTTCTCCATAAACTAACACTTTCAAGCTTTTCCTTCCAACAATCTTAAGGAGCCCTTGTTGTGCCTCTTTCCCAAATGGCATTTGGCTTTCTGGTGCATCTATTCCCCTATTTACTTTTCCATCACCAAACAGCTTCACTAAAAAAAGAATCCATGGCAGATCTAATTCAACTTCTCTTAAAGGAAAAGAGTGATTTTTTACCTTAGTCTAATTCTGAACTTCCGAGCAAGCACTTCCTCATTATCAATATTTAGTACCCTGTAACCAGAATCAATGATCTTTTGGTGAAGTTCGTCTGCTTTTGGGTAATTCCTCTTCTCACGTGCTTTTGCTCTTTGAACCGCTGCAAGATTGACTTCCCTTGGAACATAAGATGACACTACCGGCTCTGAAGCACGGACATACACTGTGATGGTGTCTCCATCTGCCACAGCTTTTGGATCCACCTTGTTTTCCATCACACAAACTTGATCAGCAACATTATCAAATCCCAAAACGAGTTGTTGTTCTTTCTAATCTAAACTGAAATTAATTCTAACCGGAAGTGTCTGAAATTCGAAAAGAACCCCTTCAGGCAAAGAAGACACAGGAGCTTCAACAGAGACTTCAACTAGAGTATGAGACCAAGGGAGACCATAGAAAGACAAAAGTCCCTGTTTCATAAACAACACAATCACATAAATCTCTTCCAATTCTCATAAATGTTTCGAAACATCTGTTCTTGCTACTCATTTCATAAACCATACCTCAACATCAGCTTTCTGATTCCTTTTTAAGATCTCAATGACAAGCCTAGAAGCTTCCTCTGCTGTCTGTGGTGGAGGTTTTGCTTGCTTCCATGCCTCAAGTATTTTTCTATACCTTCACAAATGTTACAATACATGACAAACAGATTGATTACACAACAAAGTTCACATCTTTATACTACAAGAAACATGTAAACCAATCTTGTGTTATTTTACCAGTTTGCTTGAGCTTTTCTAGACGACTGAACATACCTCCCAAGCCCTTCAGGAAGCTACAAGAAAACTAAATTAGCTTAAAGATCACTGGAAAACAAATGAAAGCAGCAGAAGCAAAGGACACTTGGAAGTTTCAGTGAGAAAATTAAAACCTGGGAAGTGATCTCGAAGTTGAAAAGGTCGTGAGCTAGAGCTGAAACACCGACGGTGGCGGCGGAGATGCCGTGAGGACCGAGAGAGTCTTCGGTCGTTGTGGGTTTGCAGCATTTTCCGTAGAGAAACGTAAGAGCGTTACCCATCTTTCAGGGAATCCAAAAAGTTTCGATCTTTCCTAATACCTACCAGAAGAGAATCCCAAAGAGGAAGGACAGTGGACTCTCAAAACAATGGCTAGAAACCCACTTTCTCGGAAAAGTTGTGCCAAAATGCAACTCTATATTTTTTATTTTCTTTTAACAATTTTTTTAAATCAAAATCTGGAAGAAAAGTCTAAAAACCTTTAATAACTACTAAAATTTACATATCCAACCATGAGGGACTCATATCAATACAATTATTATATTTGTGTTCTCTTCTTCACCGTTGTTTCTTTTTTTCTCTTTTTTCTTTTTGTTGGAACAAAGTATATCAGGAAAGGTGTGGTCGGAGATTGGAAGAATCATTTGACACGAGAGATGATGAAGGAGCTTGAAGACATTGCTGACCTGAAATGGAGAGGATCTGGTTTAGATCTCAACATTTTTAATAGAAGTGCTTCACAGTAACCATGCAGTTTATGACTCTGATAATTACTTATTTTTACATGTATCCCTTAGAATTTCCTATTAGAATGAGTTCCCTAAATAATTGGATCACTGGATAACATTTATCAACTTTTTTTTTTTTTTGAATAGAATGTTAAATTATACTCAAAAGAAAAATGTTCGTTTTTACAACATGTGCAACGTATGATAGAAAGGGATTTAGAAACTGAGATTAGAGAAACATATATTTGAATTATTGCCTCGCTTCAAACCAGGTTTGGAGACCTGTTTCGTAGCGTCTATCTCCACTTCCTCGAATTGACGAGAGCCTATTACGGATTTGTTTATCGATCCAGCTGATGTCGTCGTCCGTTTCTCTCGCGCCAAACAGTGTGCATGGTGGCTTGAAAAACGTACCGGGCTAAGAAGCTCTCCACTCGGTTCTGCCATGGACCAGAAATGCTTATGATTAAAGAAGACCAACTGTTTGAGTATTTAGCTTTGTATATCCCTTTCGCAAGAGCCTCCCAAACTTCAGCTGCAAAAGTACAAGAGAAGAAAAGGTGATCTCTTGATTCAATACTGTTGTTGCATAGAACACAAGTAACATTTATCAACTTATCAAGGGTTGAACCATAGAGAAACTAAATAAGTGGATACTCAAACTACTTTACCATCGTACATGAGACCAATCATTGTGTAACTATTTGCCTCATCATAAGTGCACCTAAATACATATATGTAATTTCATGGTAAACACTGTATGTGTGTGAACAAGAGCATGCAATCACACTGTATGTGTGTGAACAAGAGCATGCAATCACAATCAAAACGTACCTGCCACAAATTGCATTGAATATTCAGAAAGTTGTGTACGTACTTTGAAGTTGGTTGCTGCATCAAGCAGGGTCTCAAAATGCTGGAAATGACAAACCAAAAGCATGACAGCAACACAAAAGGCCTGAATCGCCTTTCACATATCTACGTAGGTGGATTCCTGAATTTTTCTATCTCAGTTAGATAGATTCCAAAGGCAAAACCAAGAAAGTGGTATGCCATCGCCAGATTCAATGTGTTATTGGGTTTCTATTTCATATATCCGCAAACTCAAAAGAGTAATGATATTTGATCCCCCTTGTACAATTCAAGCGCATTGCATACAGCCTTGCAAAAGGTCAGAGACACCCTTATTCAAGAGCTATCATCTCTGCAAATTACTACAGGCAAGTTCTTCATCTTACTATCTGTTAATCCTATTCTTACCGACTTCAAAAGGTACAGTCGGCTGACAGCTTCAATTGTATAGTTCAAAACAGTTATGTATGCCATCTGAGAAACCATTTCCCACTCTTCTCAACAATATTCAAGTTGATCAGAGCTACGACTGTAAGCAATTCATAACTGTACAGTACATGAGAAATGATGTCAAATTTGGAAAAAGCAATGAGAGAGAGAAAAGTGTATCCACCATGTGCAATTATGGCAAATCAACATGACTAATTGAAGAGATTTTATTCACGAATCATTATTTCCCATAAGCTAAGATACAAAATACAACTCAAATGAATATATATTTCCCTCCAATACGACCAAAAAGCTTTTATAAACATATACCAGTTGGTACCTAGACACATAGCCGCATAAATATCATTGATTCTTGAGATCATCGATACTTGCCTCTTCAGTTGTACTGTATTCCACTGTAGATTGGCTCGCAACCTCGGGGATTTGGTTGGAAGTTGCGACACTTTTCTGAGTCTGCAGACCCGTAGAGCGCGCAAGATCAATCCATTGCTGCGTTTTTATGAAAATGTTGGAATGAAGTTAAAGGGTATATCAAGAATTAACCAAAAGAAGAATATGCGATGTTTGGTTTGAAGAGACAAAGAAGTCAAGAAGAGATCATACCTGAGTTCCAAAGTAGGAGTTAGCTACTCGAACAACAAATGAAATCATGTTTACAAGTAGAGGTTGAGAAGAAAGCTCGTCAGAAATGCGATGCTCTATTAACCCAGCGATTATCTGCAATTGAATGTAATTTGATTTTGAGGCATAAATTCAAAGCATATTGTCCTTCATCAAAAGATCTTCCTTGGCTATAAGATACAAAAGCATAATATATTGCTGTGGTCATAAAGCAACTTTAACTACTTTTCATTATTATCTCTCATTCATTAAATGGACATGTAAAGCACCACACATCATCATACCTGATAACGGATATTTGAAGATGTTCCCAGATAACCTCCATACACAAGGGCCGTCTTCAGCATAGGAGACCTCTTTGCTTGCTCACCAACACCCAACTCTGGTTTAATGAATTTTCGTATTGCATACAAAGCATTTGAAGATCCCACAGCTGCAAAACTGGAAACAACTCCAACACCAGCAAGCTTCAAGCCACCGACAATAACTGAAGCAATCCTAAGATTCAGAGTCCACTCTTGTCCACCAAGACTTTTTTGAAATGCATTGTCAGGTATGGATCCTAGGAGGCCTTTTAGGGCATCTATGCTGTTTGGTCCAATTGTCTCATCAGCGTATGAGATAAAAGACAAGGTTGGTGCAGGCAGCCAAACTGTGAAAAAATCAACAACTGATGCTCTTACGCTATCAGTAATAACATAGTCGAGTTCTTCAAAGAAGTTTTCTTTCCGCTTCTCATATTGAGCTACAAGTGTCGTTGTTATCGATATAGCTTCTTCAATAGCTAATCTATTCAAGAATTTGGGATCTGCCAACAACCTTTCTCGGAAACCCTGTAACACAGAAGATCATCATAAGTAGGGTTTTACTAACCAGTTGAAGCTATCATTAACTCTGGCTAGAGAAGATAAATACAGGACAAGGTAATGTACAATGGAAGGATACGAAGGCTATAACACATTATTTAGTGAAAAGCACATTCGAAGACAAAATTTCACTAGAGGAATATCTTCCGGAATGGATGTACCTGGAACCGCTGTGTAAGCTCTGAAATAAGAGGATATTGCTCCAAATCAAAGAAATTCTGCAGAATCTCAGGTGACACCAGACCAAGGTCTAATCCTTTTTGAATGTCCTGGAACAATGGAAAAAAATTTATCAGCATGAACTAGTGACATAAAAACCAAGTGGGCAAAGAAAGTAAAAATCAACTCTAAATTCAACTCTAAAAAGCTAGGGCAGAATAAACTGAGTGTTTAATGAAGTACAGATAAGAGCGATCAGATTTAGAGTTAATTTTAAGAACGTCAGATACAGTAAGTAACGATCGTAAAGAGAGTCGGTTTCATTAAAGAAATCATAGAAAACATACTTGGGGAAGGGCATCTCGTCTCCTACCAGCTGCATTCATTACACGAGCGATTTCTGCTCGGTCAAAGCAGTTTCTGCTGCAGGGTCTGGCCGCAGAATACCACAAGAAATCAGCAACTGGAGATTCACCCTCTTTCCGCAAGAACTGCCTTTCAGGATCAAGTAATACAACAAGTTGACTTTTCTTGGGAATTTTCCTAGAGATCCTTGCAGGCAAGCCTGTTCCCCTTGACCCATACTCAACATGGTTTGCCCCTGTCACCACTACCAGCAGACCAGTTCCACCTCCATCTGCAACTGCTTGTAAAATAACTTGTGACATAGTATGGTCTTCGACAACTCTAGCTTGCGCCGACAAATAAGAGCTCGGTCCAAATGGAACAATCTGTGTGAGTGGATTCATATTGAGTGAAGAAGTACGTGAGAAGGAAGTAAACCCTGAGATAAACCCTGAACCCACAGGAGGAGTGTATAATTTACGCTCAGACTCTGATAGACCACGGATTCCCTCAGCTTGGACGGTTCTTAAAACCTGCATCAAATAAGCAGAAAGATTCCAGAAAAACATTGCTTAGCATTTAAAACCAGCATAAGATCAAGCTGCAGGATCAAAAGGCTCAAGATTTCATGACAATATAGTAGTATAAGACTCTACCTTGAGCGGAGTACCACAAGCAATGAGTTTAACTCCGTTATCGCGGCAGTAACTTAACAGAGGCTCATACTCTTGCCAACGTTGAGGGGGCCAATGTGACACGTACGACTTCAATACCTCTCCATCTATCCTATAACCAATTCAGGAACAATTGGAATCAAAAACACATTGCAATTAACGAATTTGATGAGAAGCGACTAGAAGCAAACCTCTTATCCATGTATTGGTTTAACAGGTCTTGCAAATCAAGAGGAAATGCTTCCAATGCTAAAGATAACTGACGATCGCTCTCAATACATCGCTTCCTCAAATTCCTCACGATTTCGAGCTCGAGAACCTTATCGTCTCTTGTAGGCACTTGTTCTGCTTCTCCGAGATAGACAATCCTCGCATTCAATAGCTTCTCCCACACTCTCTTCTTATCTTTCCCAACAGCCATCGGCTCACCAAGCACAGACGCGTCATAGATGCTAGAAGTTATCGACTCTTCCTTCTCCACAGGCGGCGGAGGAGTAGCAGTGGCAACAGGAGGAGGAAGAGCTACTGATTCCGTCGAAGTCTCAGCAGAGGCGGCTGAGGAAATAGAAAGAAAAACCGAAGCAGCGGCGGCGAGGAGCGGTGGTGCGACGAGAATTGCGCGGCGAGTGACGGCGATTTGAGAGGAGGAGACATTGGAATCAGAGTGGAGACAAAGAGTAAAGACGTTTGGATTTGAGAGATACTTCTTCTTCTGATTATTATTGGCTGAGAAGGTAATCGGAAGTTGGCCGCGGAATCTCGGAAACGGGAAGGAGGAAGAAGATTGAGAAGGCAAGAGCCCATTGGTCGTGGGCTTCATTGGTACACGTCAGCTTTTTGCATTGCTTTGAGTGACAAATAGAGACTTTTTTTTTTATTGCCAGCTCTTGTGTGGTTCTCGAATTTTTCATTTTTTTTCTTTCACATGCTTTATGGTAGATCCACTAAATTATACGAATAATGTTGAAAAATAAATTTATGGATAACAATAACGGAAATAAAAAACAATGGACTACATATATGCGACTTTGTTATTTTTTTATGTCGGTGAAGTCATTAGAAACGTCGACGATCATTCAATTAAAAGCACAATAGTTTCCAAATTCACCAATTCCATCATAATTATTATGTTACAAAAATTTCTTTAAAAAAAACAAATACTAGGGGAATATTTTGCTTAGGGATAAAGTAAGAAAAGAAAACGAAAATCTAAGGAAGATTGAGGTAAAGCATCTCCTTAAATTCCAACTTTCTAGTATCACTATAAAAAGTATGATGCTTGTTAGGCCAATAAGTCAACCAAACGCAACCTTTAACCTCAAACTCCATTACTTTCCCAACAGCCGTTTTATCTACTTTCCACAAAACGCTTTGCCCATAACTATCTCCTGCAAACACGACTCCTCCTTGTTTCGTGAACGGTCTAAACGCGCTCGAGTACCTGTTCTTGAACCAAGCTCGAGGGTTCACCATCGAGACCTTCGATGGTTTAGAGGATGAAACTTCTCTTCCATCGTCAAGATCATGTAGAAACCAAGTGAGATTGGCGCTATAACCATGTACCCATTCCTCGAACTTCCATGGCTTCATGCTTTTTGTTGTGGTCTCGTTGGCTGAGACTTTGAGTCCAAAGAATGTGTTTGGTGGATCTATTGTTGCTTCTATGCCTTTCTCTACTTCGAATTCTGTCAATGGGTTTTCTGAAGATTTTTGTACAGAGACCATTAAGATGTTTGATTGATTCGTTGGTGTTAGTTGCAATGATATTCTTGAAGGAAAATGTTTTTCCTCTGTTCCCATGCCACGTTCCGATAGAAGTTTCTCGTTCACAAGCCTTATTATGTCGCACCTAGTTATAAAAAAAGTTAGATAAAAACAATAATAATAATCACTAGAGAGTTGAGTTAAATACGATACCTGACGTTGTCAATATTCACTGCGATGTTAAACCACTTTTCACGAACGTAAATCTTGTGGTTGAATTGGATTACACCCTCAAGTTGATGATAGTTGAGCGAGAAGAACAATCTCTCGTCGTTTAGAGAACTATTTACGCTCTCCATTTCCATTGCTACCACAGGACAATACATATGAACTTTCCATAGACCTTGAGTCGAGAAAGCATATGAAAACAAAGGAGAAGGAGACTTAAGATGCTGAAACGCTTTGATCTCGATGATCCAGTTGGTTATTGCAAGGTTCAGCGATCTCATCCATTGTTCTTCAAGGTTAGAGCCTAGTTGCACCATGAGCAACTTAGAGCCCTGCCTTGACCTACAAGTTACCAGCTGATCTTTCACTGTTTTGAGACAAGTTGTTCGTAGGCTCGTTGGTGCCTCGTAGATGCAGATGAGGAACACGAAAGTGAAGAAAGCGAGGTTGAAAACGTCTTTTAGGTTAGAAGTGGAACCTAGGGTTTGGAGTTGGATTGAACAAGTGGTTCTTTTGACGTTATAGTTGAGAACTACGTCGACAAAACCCATCAATAGAGTAGAGATGACATTTTCATTGAGGAAATTAGTTGAATTAGTACCAATAGTTCTGAAAGGTTTTGAAACAAAGAGAGTAATAGGAATCTTGAAATTGGCTACTATCGAGAAGGAGTAAAAGTTTGGAGATTGAGGGGTACGAGCAAGAGAGAAGTTCAAAGATGGGTGTGATGAATTTGGAGAGCAAATACACATGGACATTGAATTTCTTTTCCATTGAGGGAGGGGAGGAAGAGATTGAAGCCAAGCAAACGCATCAGGTGTGTCACAAGAAGCCATTAGAGCAAATCTTTAATATCTAGTTGTTGTTCTAGATGTGTGTGGTGTAGAGAGTATTAGAAGACTAGATTTATCATGTACATATAGAGAGAACATTTTAATGAGTGGAAGAAAAGAAAAGGAAGAAAGATTCGCTTATTTTTCAAAAGGTTAAGCTAAGAAGTAAACTAATTGGATTTGGAAGATTAAAGATATATATAAATATAATTAACCAAAAGAATGATTGGTTTCGTTGAACGGAGTGTACGAATCGTTCAATACAAAAGCATGGATTCTTTTACGCAAAACAGAAAATATAGAGCTACACGAGACGCCTCTTTAGTAAAATATTGAAAGTTTGAAATGTAATAATGATTAAGAGTCCTAGCAATTAATAGATAACGTACAAGGAAGAAGGTTTAGATGCTAATTAGAGTAGCTAGACCATTAAGAGGGATATAATTATTTGTTGAAATTGATAAAGAACGTGCTATTCAAGATTCTTCCAAATGTGGAAATCAACCCGAATTTCCAACAAATATTCTTGATTAGGCCGAAGAATATTGTTATTCGATGCCCCTATATTCTTCTACTCAATAATGTTTTCTTCGTCTTTATCTAGTTATATTGAAAAAAATGATATATTGAACCAATATGTAGTCAGTCAAACAAAGAAGAGGTCGGAGTCGGCCAAAAATAAAACCTAGTTTCGCTTCTCTACAGCCGCCGAGAAAAAATTTCTGGATCTGTGGCCGGATCGCGGTGGCTCTCCTAGCACCGGATCCGGCCTCCTCTTCTCTGCTTTAGTTTCGTTTTCTATTTTCGTTCTCTGCTTGTTTGCGGCTCTAATTGAAGAATACAGAAGGTGTGATGGGGTTTTCAGGTTGCGGTGGTTCAATTGCAATGGAGCTTCTGGCTTGAGGTTGGTATGTGTAGTGCTTTAGTTTGGCGTTTCCTCTCTTCGTCGCGGCATGGGCTTCGATTTTGTCTCTTCTCAAATCTGGTTTTCTCGAGAACGAATCGGTTTTGTGGAGGAGATAGTGATTATCAAGGTGGTGATTCAGGAGAGGTATGGTTCTCGAATCTGGTAATGGTGGCGGAAGATCTCTGCTTCAGGAGTTGGTGGTGGCGGTGTCTTTAGGTTGTGGCTCTTCTGCAGCGGTTGATAGGTTATGGCTCTATCGGGTTTTGGCTGCCGGTGGTTGCGAGGTGACAGAGACATTTTGTTTTTGTTCCTTGTCGGGTTTATGCTCTTATCGCTCCTCTTTTCGGATGTTAGTAGTTGTATGTTTGTGTTTGGCCTTTGCTAGTTATTGTTGGTGGGCTTTGTTGGTTCTGTCTATGGAATAGCTTGGGTCATGGTTTTGCTCTCTGTTATCTCATGAAAGCTCCGGGGATTGGTCGTGTTGGCTAGGATTTGGATAGCTTTCGTTTTATCCCATCTTTGTTCGTTGAATCTTTTAAGCTTGTCTCCTTCCACCGCCTCTAGCTTAGACTAATAAATAGGTTTTCTCTCGTGGTCTGTTCGTTGTCTGTTCTTGTAAGGCTAACCTTTCATGGGGATGCAAAGATCTAGATTTAGACTTGTTCGGTAGAAGACTAGGTGGTTAGGATTTAGATTCGCGGTCGTTGCTTATTATGTTCGGGATATTCGTTTTTAGTTGGGTTATATCTTCGCGGCTTTCCTCTATCCTTGGTTCTACTCCGTTTGCGGTTGTAGGTCCTCTAGTATGCGACTTTTGAGCTCTTAGTTCCGCGACTAGTGTTCTCCTCCGACTTTCCCGGTGATTTCGAGAGCTTTACTTTTTGACTTTTGTATTCTATCTTGTGTTTCCCGTGTTTCGGGCTTTAGCTTCCGGGGATTTCTTTGTTTTCCGCCGGCTTTTGTATTTCAAAAACGCATTCAAAAAATGTATTCCTCCCTTGTATTCCACCCTTGTATTATATAATGAAAAATCTTTCAGTGAAAAAAAAAAAAAAAAAAAAAACCAATATGTAGTGGAAATAAACACTGATTTAATTTTTAATATAACTAGACGTTTTAATATTTACAAAATTGCCATTGACTCCAGCTTAATATATTGATTATTGAGCCTCTTCCAACATAGTAGGCCCATTGAAAAAATTGCCACTAACTCCAACTTAATATATTGGGCCTATTCTAAGACATTATAGGCCCATAAAACTTTAGGCCTTTTAGAATATCTAACACGGTTTTACCGCAACTTCAGTTTCCCACTAAAATCGGAACAAAAAGTTCACACACTCTCCGCCGCGCACACACTCACCGACACCAGCAATAATGTCATCTTCTCCGGCGATTCTTCCCGTGACCAACCAGCAAGCAGCCACTCAATCTCAACCTCCAATCAATTCTCACGCCTTCCGTACATTCCTCTCACGTCTTTCATCCTCTCTCCGCGAAAGCCTCTCTCAACGCCGTCCATGGCTAGAACTCGTAGATCGGAGCTCCTTCGCTAGACCTGACTCTCTCACCGATTCCTTCTCCCGGATCCGTAAGAATCTGGCTTACTTCAAGGTCAATTACTCCGCAATCGTCTCCTTAGTCCTCGCTTTCTCCCTCCTCTCGCATCCATTCTCTCTTCTCGTCCTCCTCTCGCTCTTAGGCTCGTGGATGTTTCTCTACCTCTTCCGATCTTCAGATCAACCTTTGGTTCTCTTTGGTCGAACATTCTCAGATCGTGAGACTTTGCTTGCTCTGGTTTTGACTACGATTGTGGTTGTGTTTATGACGAGTGTTGGATCTTTGTTAACATCGGCTTTGACGATTGGAATCGCGATTGTTTGCTTACACGGTGCGTTTAGGGTTCCTGATGATTTGTTCTTGGATGATCAAGAGCCTGCTAATGCTGGTTTACTCTCTTTCATTGGTAATTCTGCTGCTGCTTCTGCTGCTGCTTCTGCTGCTGCTTCTGTTGTTGCAGCACGAGTTTGATCCTACAAGGCATTCGTATTTTCGTATTCATAGTGGTAAAATTTTGAGTAATAGATTATGAAGCCTTTGGAAGATTTAGATCTAAAGATGTATTGTTGTGTTGTATTCTTCTTCAATTTCGTCACAATTCAGAACAAGTATTTTCTCACATTGTAAGATCCCATTTACTTTAAATCAATTTCATTCTCTTGTTGCTCTTATCACAAACATGGTTTAGACTAATTAGTGAAGAATATAGTTTGATCAAAGTATTTAGTAGATTGAAGATAATGAGAGAATGGAAAATTTGCATGCATAGACATTATGAGGTGATCTATGTTTTTCTTTCTGATCACTATCCGAATGGGGAAGGGTCAGATTCGAGTTTGGTATTTTAGGATCATTTTGAGGAATTTTGGATGATATTGAGTAAATTCAAGAACTTAAAGAAGAAATGTTTGTCTTTGTTTTGAATACATTTCAAACTATTAGTAGTAATTCAAAATCTGATATAAGTATATGACCTCGGGAGATTTGCTTTATCCTCTTAGAGAACCACACACAAGAATTGTAGTAGACAACCGGATCTACTTTTTGGGAATGCAATGTTTTGTTTTTTTCCAAACTCGAATCAAAGGTGTTACAAAATTAATAGATTTACTAGGATATGACCCGCGGTACACCGCGGGTTAATTATTTGATTTTTTTTTTATCTTTTTATAAACTGATGCATTTGTTGTATATAATATTTTTTGTTGTACACCGCGGATCACATGCGTTGTAACTAAAAAATAGAAATTTTAAGTTGTATATATTTTGTTTAGTGTTTAAAATTGTATAATTATATTTTGATTTGTTAATCCTAAGATTTCACCCGTGATATATTGTCTCGTATTAATTTCAATCCAAACCCGTCCCACCATATAATCTCGTTCCGTAAAATTAAACATCATTTTGTTATTTCTTTTAATAACACTTTTTATTTAAAAACATATAATTCGAGTAAATTTAAAAGTTTTATTTTAAATGGTTCACACAATCACATGTGATGTACATAACAGTTTGATTCAAAACAAAATAAAATAATGTATTTCATGAAATAAATAATTTCTTTTACTCAAAATAAATAATTTGGGTAGATATGATAAATATTTACAATTGTTAAAAATATATATTTATTTTATTCACTTTATCTTTAGATTAGTGATATATATTTAAAACAATGAAAAGAACCCGTTTAAAAAGTATTATTTAAAAACATTATATTATACCATTTCTAATATAAAATGCAAAATATTTTAGTCCACTACATTTTTGTTGAGATAAACGATATTCTACTAAAAGCATTAGAATTAAAATGTTACATGGCCCAATGGCTAAGTAGTCCAACACACTTCAAAGGAGAACCAATTTTGAATCAGAAAAAGCCCAACATTGGCTAGAAAGAAGAGATGGCCCAAGAAGGAGAGTAATTATGTACTTCGGATTCCACGAGGCTGAGATGAAGATTCGATTGAACAGAGATGAAGAGTCGATAATAGAGGTTGAAGGAGGTCAAACAGAGAACCATGTCTGAAGATTTGATTGGCGAAAGCTTGAGTAAGTTCATCCTCTCGAATCAAAGCATCGACAGATTTGAAGCAATTTTAGTGGAAGCGATTATACGGAGAAGAGCATCCCATATGCGGGAGGAGAGGTCGTTGCAACGACGGGATATGTTTTCTCAGACTACCCGTCGTTGTTGCATTTAATTTGACTTTAATTGTAAGAGATCACATGCTTAGTTTAATCTTTGGTGTCTGATTTCTCAACCACTTCGTTCAATTTTTTTGGTTCTAACCCGCGTTGTCTTTGTTCAATTGCAGGTATATAGAATCTCTAACCAATTGATTTTATAATTCTAATATAATTAGCACATGCAAGAAATGGTAATTTCTTTCTCTCAGATCCGTTTACGCATCTATCTTTTATAGTTATAGTTTTATAGACCAATGCTTGAATCTTGATAATAATCAATCCAATAGCTCTAAGTACGTATTGTTATTTTTTAAAGTAAAATAAATGATGTTTTTGTTGCCAAACGACCAACACTAATTATTTACCTTGGTTAGACTAAGGTTACTTTTGCCTAATCTTGTAAATTCTGGAATTTGTGGATCAGTGAATTATAACTCGATTGCTTCATCCTAAACTCCCTTTTGTTTCCAGATTCTCAAGATTTTTACACAGATTTGCTAGTCTGATAGGTGTGAATGAAGATCTGAAACAACAGTAAGATAAGCAAAATGAGAAGAAACAACAAAAAGGTATCACATATCATCATGATTCCATCAACAACTTAATATGATTTAACAAATTATCATAGTTTGTAAAAGATAGATGCAACCTACCTGATTTTCTCGGTATTCCTCGTATGCATATCAAGTTATCATAGTTTCAACAGAAACATCCAAAACACGAAGATGAAGTTGGCAGCTAAAAGAGATATTTTTGCTCCCTAAGACATAACATATCAAGTTAGTTAATAAGAAAAAGGTTTAGAACCAAATTTCAGTACAGAAAAACTTACTTCCTCATCAGTTTAGACCATATCAAGAGTCTCTCTTTTTGACAGTATATTGTCCATGAATGCAGGATCTTAAACTTGGACGCACATACGGCTTTGTAAAGTCTCAAATCTCTGAGATTGGAAAATGAAGCAACCATTGATTTCTGGAAAGTCTTCTCTTATTAGGTTAAAAGGTAAAATCTCTGTTGATGTGATAGTTTTCAGTTAGTGAAAACCTATTTATAGAGGTTATAGTCTCTTGGCCTTAGGTTGGATACAAATTCGACAATAGCTTTGTGATCAAGCCAGATTTGTTAGATATTATTAACCAACATTTACATAATAAGAAATCCGAAATAAATGCCAAGATATCTTCGAGAATTATAAGAATTGAATATAGGATGTTTAAAGAATATGCTTTAGTCGTTTACTTTAAAATCAGTTGTTGTGATTGAATGTCAATTTGATATGGTTTATTTATTTAGGAAACAAATGTTAATGGGCTCAAAATCTTTACCATTTAAATAGGAAACAATTTAGTTATAGAATATTGGTTTGTTTAAAAGATATATACAGCTGATATTTTCCTAAACTCAAACTAATAAATTCGTTTTTGATAATTGTATAATTCTAGGAAATGTTTTGTATTTAGTATCAATTTGTTATACGGATTCTAGATCAAATCGTTTATCTCCCCTTTTAATAGGAAACATTTTGTGTTATACGGATCAATTTGTTATAAATTGTTATAACTATATATATTCTGTGTATCTTTAAATATGAGAAACTAAATGCTTTTACCTTGAATGTAGGGAGTATCTATTAAGGAAGGTTCCGATTGAGAGAATACGGGTCAAAATCACAAATAAGGTATGATCCAAAAGTTTTATTTCCGGGTCAAAAAAAAAATCCGGGTCAAAATCTTGTAAAAAACCCGACCCGATTGGAGAGAGCAAATTTGTACTTCAAAAATGTTAAGTAGATATGGAATTTAAAAGAAACCCAAGTTGAAAACTCAATCTCACACACTCCTTTGGTATGTCGAAATCTCTAGAATATACATAGCTTTCACGGGATATGTTCGATCAACAACATACGTGATACATGTAAATCTCGTAACTAGTTATGTCTCTGTCTCTCGAGCTACCCACTATTTTATTCTTCCACAAGATTCCTCCTCTATCTTGAAAGCAAACAGCCAATATTGCCTCTCATGATGGATCTTACTTCTTGTTAGAGACACAACCTTTGAGTACCCGCCTCTTTCCGACACTATGATCTTCTCGGTCTTGGCTTGAGCCTCTGGTGGAGAAGAGCAGTAGCAAGGTTTCCTCTCGGACTCCAAGAAGTAATCCAAAGTCTTGTAAGTATAACATAACAAGAAATCGGCAATGTCGAGGAGAGCGAAGACAAAGAAGCCCACGGTGCGGTTGAATCATAACTTTTATTAGTCATTACTGGAGACATGTAACTCATTACTGGAGATCAATGAATCATTATTTGTATCTGTGTTCATTATTGAATCTGAAGTTACTGTTTTTTTGTGGTTGTGATTCCTGATATGTATCAGCTTTGCTGTTCTTGACATTGGATGTGGTGTGTTCGTCGGAGGGATCAAAGAAATCTTCCGATGAGGACAAGCGGTTAGTAGGTTTACATTGGTTTTGAAATTAAAATTGATTTTCGGTTCGGTTTAAACGTTTCTAATGAAGTTCGCCGTCGCCGGAGCTAATGGATCGACCTCCGTCGTCTACACACTATCAAAATCCTAATCCGAAATTCTTCCACCACGTTCTTCCTCCAAATCCTAATCCTAATTTCTTCTTCCGAACTCCTCCAGCTCATCTTCAAAATCCTAACAATTACTCCAAACCAAAATTTTCACCCAAGAATAGGCAACTTGACTTGTCTGCAAAGAAACCCGGACTGAAGAAAAATAAAAGGACATTAATAACTTGGACATTACTAGCATCGTTAGATGAATATAGCTTTTTTAAATACGTACTATAGGTAAAAAGGGGACGGCAAATAAAAGGCAAGCAAAAACTAATTCAAGAATAAAAAGAGTGAACAAGAGAGGTTAGGAAAATATTTAGTTTTACATTTTTGAACTTTTCAATTTAGTAAATTTACTGTTTTTAAATTGAAGTATACCATTTTGATTTAGGAAGTTTTCTTTTAAAAAAATATGTAAAAATGTCTACCTATAAACTATAAGTATGGATCCTCACAAGAAGAAATATTTTTTAAGAGAAAAGAGTATTCCGAGTTTGAATTTATATATGCAGCTCAAAACGAATTCCTGGAAAAAGGAGGTGATCCCTGTGGGACCAATTGGATCAACATGTCGTTGGCATACAAGTTGGGACGAGAAGGGGCGCAATATGATCTCTCATATATATGTTACTCACGGCGACAGCCACATTAAATCTATTCAGTTTATTTATTTCCACGACGAAGCTCCAGCTATGTCTGCAAAGCACGGCGCTTGTGGAGGTTGGCCTCATCTTCGTGGAAGGACACAATTCAAAATGGTAAGTTTCTATTTATTTTTTGGATAAACTAACTGAGTCTTCTTGCCACTTAACATGATAAACTATACTAAATATATGCAATATACACAGATAAGACTGAATCACGATGAGTATGTGACTGGGTTAAGTGGAATAGATTGTGATTTAAGTATCACGTCGTTGACATTTTACACTAACAAGAGGAAACATGGTCCGATTTGTAAGATATATGATCATCCTAAAAGCTGGAAGAGCGAAATTAATGTGGGGATACGTGATCGTCGTGAGTTTGGTGGTTTCTTTGGGTCTTTCTGCGATATTCGTGGCTGTCTGAGTTCCATTGGTATTTATTTCTGTCCCGTCACAAGCATCAATGGCACAGTCCTCAGTACCAAGTATACAGTCACGGACGACGATGACGACCAGCTCACTCTCTACCAATCATCAGATTCTATAGCCACAATCAACCATAGACAGACACTTGAGTATCAACGCCTGGAGTTCCTCGATGGTTCTCATGTCAATTCCATTGGTCGTAAGACCAAACTCAAAGATCGGATATTCTCCAAGCTGGGGCGCCTTTTTAGAAATCTCTTGAAATAAGATTAATTTCTCGTTTGCGTTCGTGCAAGATACCCAAAGACTTGCTCTGTTTCTTTTGGTTTAGAGTTTCTTTCAAAGAATTGAAACATAATTCTTTTTAGATAGTTTTTAATTTATTATTCTTCCCTAAATGCAAGTTAAGCATAATCAGTTTCAATTATTTGTTAGTGATGTGAATTGAGTTGGAAAAGAAGTAATATACCAACAAAGTCACTCATATTGTGATTATAGCTTTACTTGTAACGTTTACAAATACATCCCACAAAAAACTATCAAGAAACAGACTCATTTAAAATGCATACATCCCATCTGCTGCTGTAAATGGCTAAACCTTGGATTACAAAAACACTTTTATCTAAATTAATCTTAGTATGCACAAAGAAGATAATTTTAGGATTTTAGCAACTTGGTGGAGTAGTCTGAGTTTAAGTGGACCGAAACTGATACAAAGTTTTCTTCCCGTGACCTGAGCCTCACAGCTGCACAAATGGATACTCTTTTGTTTATTTTTTTCGTGACTCACAAGTCTCAACAACAAGAGGTTGGCTCGTTTCTTCATACAGACCATTGAACAATGCCTTGTTTTTTATTACTTGGACTTGCATTGGAAATTGTGATATTTTTCTAGTCCAAAGGATGAGTAAATTTAAGGAAGCACACTTCTCCAGGCTTTTTTTAATCCAATTAGTATTTCTCTTTTGCTTACTTCCCATACATACAAACCATAATAAATAAGACTCCATGAAAACTCTTCGGTCCTTGTACAATCTCCAAAAGCCCGCCTATAAATTTGTCCTTTCAAGTTAGTATACTCTATTCCCTTATAGACCTTACTATCAGATCCATGGAGATGGTTAGGATGGGGCCGATTGGTCAGCAGCAGTATCACCATCTCGGTTGGGCTGACAATGTGATATCACATATAAACGTCTCGGGAGTAACATCCATTCAGTTCGGATATGTCGAGAATGGAGCTCTGGTTATGTCAAAAACCGTTCGGCTCATCATATGCTAAATGTAGCTGGCGAATTGTAAGAATCATTAAATCCTCCTACTTTCATTGTTTACATGTGTGATGTTCATTTGATGACGCAATCTGCAGTTGAGGCTGAACCATGAGTCGGAGTTTGTGACCGGGATAAGTGGGCAGCAATCTTCTGGTTATATTTCCTCTCTGACATTTCATACAAATCAAAGCGCACACGAAGCATTTAACTAATTGACACCACCTTCAGGAAAATTGGGTGATGAGAAGAGGGAGTTTCATTTGGGGATGCTTGAAGGCCGTGAATTTGGAGGTTTCTTTGGATCTTGTAACTATATATTCTCGTTTGACCTCAATTGGTTTTTATGTGAGGCTTCTCCTCCCTGATGTTAAGACGACTGAAAAGGAAAAAGTATGAGGTTTTAGTTCTCTAGTTTATCCAGAATTCTTTTTGATCAATATATGGGTTAACTACTCCTTGAGGATGAGTCTAATTCTTCTCTAGACGATCGGTCTCAAGTCTCAACCAATAATTTCATTTCTCTGTTTGATAGGATGTATTGAGTTTGTTGAGATCAATAAAATATAATTTCTAAGGATCAGAAGGAGTCTCTCTGTTGGATTTGAACCTTTGATTAAATCTGCAAAAGAGAAAAGCTTCAAGTGAGAAGAAAAAGAAGAAGTCGTGACAAGGTCAACGACACATAGAGAAGAAGGAGCAAAGTCAACAAGAAGAAGGGTGTTGGGCTTTGTGTGGTTTGGTCCTAAGAAGACTAATGGGCTACGTTTCTTGGTTAAGGCCCAAAGTAAAGGAAGTGTGTTTTGTTAGTTAAGTGTTAGCTAAAGACTAGAGTTGTTGTTGTGTAAGAGTTGTTGGTTAACCTTGCTTGTGAGCTTGGTTATACCCTAGAGTAATGATGTCTAAAAGTAAGGTCTAAGTAGAAGCATGGTACAAGTGTGTGTAGTAAGTAGAAGTAAAGCTAGTATAAGAGTGTGTGTGGTGTTGTGTAATATTATCCTTGTGATCCAATTAATACAATGTAGAAGATTAAAAGTAAAATGGTTTTTGTTCTTTCTCTCTAAAGACAATGAAACCGTAAATGAGTGTGAGAAATAGAGAGAAAGTGAGAATTACAACACTCTCCTTAAATTGTTGGAGAGCTCAGTTTATGATTGACAAAGCTTTCTTCATTCTTGTGACGAGATTAGGCAGAGTCCTCGCAGCTTCATCAACAGTTTGGTTTACGCAATGCTCCAAATCATTTACAGCTTCATTTCACGTCTTCTGAAGCTTAGCAGCCTCAAACTTGTCTTGACATATATACCACAAGAGATCTATTCAACCTCTCCTACATTCATCTAATAAAAATCCTGAGTTAAGCTACTGTTCTGATTATAGAGTCTCCAAGAGATCATATGTTTGTTAAATGTGAGTTGATGAATATTGGTTTTCAGGTTGTGTTCCCGAGCTTCGGGGAACGTTACCTCTCGACCCAGCTTTTTCAGTCGATTCGAGAAGAGTGTGAGCAAATGCAGCCTGAGCTTTGAGTTTCTTCTGTAATTTCTTGACCAACAAAGGAACCTCTTCTTTGATTTATTATTCCTTGTTTTTCTCCTAATAGACGTCTCTGCAAAAAAATCTCTACGTCTACTGTATATTTGCAATGTGCAACGCAATTTGGTGTTTGTTTATTAATAAAAGCATAAAGAGGTTCGAGGATATGAAGGGTATGTAAATACCTCATCATACCTAATATAATCATACCAAATATCTCTCCCGCTCCGTAAAACTATTTTAGTTTATTGCTGCAAAAGATTTGGTATCTTGCTTCCAACTAGAAACCAATAGCATTTCTAATGCATATGATAACACATTGGAAAACCAAAATTTTCACCCAAGAATAGGCAACTTGACTTGTCTGCAAAGAAACCCGGACTGAAGAAAAATAAAAGGACATTAATAAATTTAGGATGCTATTGGTTTATTTTATGGTAAAATCTTCAGATTCAATGTGGTACTGGAAGACAAAGTTTTGAGTAATAGATTATGAAGCCTGTGGAAGATTTAGATCTAAAGATGTATTGGTGTGTTGTATTCTTCAATTTAGTCACAATTCTGAAAATTTGGAGCTGATACTTCTCAAGTATTTTCTCACATTGTAAGATCCCATTTACTTTATATCAATTTCATTCTCTTGTTGCTCTTATCACAAACATGGTTTAGACTAATTAGTGAAGAATATAGTTTGATCAAAGTATTTAGTAGATTGAAGATAATGAGAGAATGGAAAATTTGCATGCATAGACATTATGAGGTGATCTATGTTTTTCTTTCTGATCACTATCCGAATGGGGAAGGGTCAGATTCGAGTTTGGTATTTTAGGATCATTTTGAGGAATTTTGGATGATATTGAGTAAATTCAAGAACTTAAAGAAGAAATGTTTGTCTTTGTTTTGAATACATTTCAAACTATTAGTAGTAATTCAAAATCTGATATGAGTATATGACCTCGGGAGATTTGCTTTATCCTCTTAGAGAACCACACACAAGAATTGTAGTAGACAACCGGATCTACTTTTTGGGAATGCAATGTTTTGTTTTTTTCCAAACTCGAATCAAAGGAGTTACAAAATTAATAGATTTATATGGAATTTAGAAGAAACCCAAGTTGAAAACTCAATCTCACACACTCCTTTGGTATGTCGAAATCTCTAGAATATACATAGCTTTCACGGGATATGTTCGATCAACAACATACGTGATACATGTAAATCTCGTTACTAGTTATGTCTCTGTCTCTCGAGCTACCCACTATTTTATTCTTCCACACGTTTCCTCTATCTTGAAAGCAAACAGCCAATATTTTGTACGAATTTGCTAGCTTATAGTAATAGGGTTATATCATGGAAAAGTTTCTCACTAGATTTACATGTTTGGCCAATCTGACATAAACGCCACACGTTTAGTTTGGGGGATTTTGTCTAAAAAACTTGGCTACTAAAAACAAATTGAAGATTCGGTCATCTGAATTGGCTTCTCTTGGGTCAAAGTCACTGAGTTGCTTCTTTCTTAGATATAAAATAGGTGACCTGTTTTCAATCTTCATTACATGAGATATATCTTCGTGGAATGGGTCTTGTCTTGTGAAATCTTTTCCGGGATTCTAAATATTGGTGAGATAAAAACCCTTAGCTACTAAGTTAGTAACCATTAAACCGAAAGAAAAATAGACAAATCCTCTTGTGATATAAAGAAGATTATCCCACTTGTAACGAGAGGGTTTGACAAATCGACAACAAAATGTGAACCTAGTTAGGGTTCGTACCCACTTTTGACTAATGGAAATAAGATACAAATGAAACCAAATAAATACTCTTCTCATGCTATTAAATATAAGTAATCAAGAAATTTTGCAAGTAACAGTCCAAGATATCGTCATTTATCATTTCCTTTCAAAGACCATGATTTCTTCTCCGAAGGATAATTAAACGAAAGCTTAAATTCAGATAGTGAAGATATTTTATGAGGAAAAAATATATTTTATGTACTAAAATAAAATTAATCTATATATGTTTATCACCAAAAGGTCTCATATGAAAACATCTTTACTTCTAATTGTAAAACTGAATGACTAGATTATAAATTTTTAGTTAAAATAATAGAAATTCTTTTTAAAAGTTAATGGAAAGTGGTATAATCAGTGAACAACACACAAAATCTAGACAAGTAAAGCATGTTGTTGACTAGCTATGAACATATTTGCAGATGCGGGGTCAATATCACATTGCCATATACAAAGGTACGGCTAATTTCTAAACATGTGATGTCATTTTCAAAGATTTAGTACATTGAGAGGTTAAAGGTACGAAAGAAGAGGACACTAACTAATTCCACCAAACATAATTACTAATTTCTTGTTCACCAATCAATGTCCCCAATATTCGTCTCATGTACTTCTCCTTTCTTAACAACATGATGTTAACTCTTTTTTCCAGTTTTATTACCTTTCGGATGGTTATTGTTAAAGATATTTACGTAAGGGATACACGGTCTTTGACTTTTTCAAAAGTATTGACTTAGGATAAAAAGTTTTCACAAGTGAAAATTTGTGAAAAATACGCTATATATATTTTTAAGAAACAATTTACGACATGTAGGTGTAGAGGTAGCTAGATTCGGGTTAAAGAAAAGGTGTTATTGTTAAGACAAGAATATAGGGGTTGAAAAGGTTGTAATTTAGGCGGTTAGAAGGAATCATCTTGTTACCTCAAATCATTTACTTTTTTCAACACTAACAAAACAATGATCATTTTTACTTGAGCTTCAAGCCAATGTTATTGCACCAATTTTAAACCACAGCTTATGTTTTGCGTTATGATGATAATAATATTAATCTTTTTACACAATGATGTTACAGTTGATTCATAATTCCTAAGTGTTTTTCATATACGGGTTTGTATAAAGCATGGTATGGAAAGTTGACCTTGTGTTTTTTTTATATATATAAAAGGTTGACCTTATTTGAATAAGTATGAAAACAACATTGAGATTTTGCAAATTAAATTCAAATGGGAGGGGGTCAAAATTGTTACGGACAAGCCACCTAAACCCTAAAATTGACCAGTCTTTCTTCCTCATAAATCGGTTTCATTTTATAAGAAAAAATAATACTAGTAATAATTAATGAAATATATATATATAGAGCATAATCGTTTCAGTTTTTTTTTTTTTTTCTATCAACATATTATGCAAGTTTGTATTTGGAAGGTGATCACAAAAACAAGTTTTCGTTAACAGACTATGAAATATTTTTTAAGTCTAATTTATAAATTCCAATAGTTTCCGAAGTTGAGGATTCTATTTTCAAATTAAAGATTAATTCACCTGCTAACACCAAACTCACTGCAGAACAATATATAGTGTTGACGTATAAGTTTTGTGATTTGAAACTTTGTGTAATTCAAAACTTGAAACAATAAGTTGATGTAGTTATTGGAAAATCCACTTAACTTAGGAATATTATTATTTGTTAATGAACCAAATTGATAAAGACAAAGAAGAGAGAAAACATCCAATTTTTTTTTTCGTTAAATCCTTGAAGTTTCAGATTTTTTTTTATATGTTGAACAAAAACTATAAACTTCTCAACAAACATAACCTCAAACTCGACCATAAATCTAATATAGTAAAATATTTCATCGATTTAATCAGCTGGCAGTTATATTAACTCTATTTCAATGTATAGGATTAAGAAAAATCAAAGACTCTTCTCCTATATATAAAACTTTTGAAATAAGAAAAAGAGTAAAATACAGTTATGAGTCTTATGACTTAGACATGCGCTTATTCGTCTTTGTTTAGGTATTATACTGTTGAATGTAGGTGGCCTCAAGATAAATAAATACCTACTAATAAATTCTATTTATACACGTTTTCCTTCTTTAATATATATGAATATCAATGTTTGAGAACATATTTTTCAAGTCGAATTAGGGTTTTAAATGAACTTTTGCAACGGATACATCCGTCACAAATAAAGCGATAAGCAGCGATCCACACACTAGTGGTATATAAATACGTCATAAACTAACGATATTTTTTTTTTGTCAAAATTTTAAAACTTAATGACGAAAAAACAACGGTTGCTTTAAAATGTTGCAAATTCCTCGGTAAAATTCGTAGGAAAACACAGTACCTCTTATCCCAAGACGGCAAGACCGAACAGCCCAAGCGGGATCAAGATCCAATTAATAACGAAAACGACTAGCATAATTATTAATTAGTCATTATCACAACGATCTTATCCCAAGCCTTATGTATTAGGAAAATGCCAATAAAAATGTTCTAATCTTGGTGAACAATTATAATATATATATGGTACATGCAGGTTAATTGGATGAGCCGGATGAGTTTGATCTTAATTTAGATAAATTTTGCGTACATAAATTTTGTTGGCAACCCAGTGTACACATCTCCAAAACAAAAATCTTATATTAGTATAATATTTTGTACTATGTTTATGGCAATTATGGAATATTACATCTAAAGTCAATAGAAAAAGCGTGTTAACCAAGAATTCAAGAGACGTAATCACCTTTCCAAATTTTATTTTTCTTAACTCGGTGATTGTTTTTTTTCTTATAGGCCCCAGTGGGTGCAACAACTCTTCTAGTGTTGAATCAAGTTTTGACCTTCAAATCAAAACCTAATCCCCCAACCGCATAAACAACATAATTTTTTTACATAAAAACAAAATTAATATGCAAAACAAAACAATAATATAAACTAAATAAAAATATTCACCAAGTTTTTGAAAATGTATTGTCTTTGTCTCTCTACTATATAAACTCCATCGCCTTTCATTAAAATTCCCAACACAACATTTTTCTCTCTTCTTCCACACTTCATCCCTAAAACCCTCTGGCTCAAACCGAAATTTATAGAAATCGCATCGATGGAGATCGTCAAGAGCCTCATCTTCATCTCTTTGGCTGTCGTTCTTCTCTTCGCTTCCATAGCAGAAGCCAACATTAAAGCACACCACCACGAGTTCATTGTATAATCGCATTTCAAATATTTGAACGTTGTTAATTAATATGTAATAATGTAAATGAAGACGTATGCTTACATAATATTATGCATGCAGATACAAGCTACGAAGGTGAAGAGACTATGTGAAACACACAACAGCATTACGGTCAACGGAATGTTTCCCGGTCCAATGCTTGTAGTCAACAACGGTGATACTCTCGTCGTCAAAGTTATTAACCGGGCTCGGTACAACATAACAATCCACTGGTAAATTAAACACGATCAAACCACATTGATCACGTACTATAATTAATGAGTCCTTGTTTTCTTACTGATATTGAACGGTTTGGTGTGGCTGCAGGCACGGTGTGAGGCAAATGCGAACCGGTTGGGCAGATGGACCGGAATTTGTGACCCAATGTCCAATCAGACCGGGATCAAGCTACACGTACCGGTTTACTATCCAAGGACAAGAAGGTACACTTTGGTGGCATGCTCATAGTTCGTGGCTTAGAGCCACTGTCTACGGTTCGCTTCTTGTCCTTCCTCCGGCTGGCTCGTCTTACCCATTCACAAATCCCCACCGCAACGTCCCTCTCCTTCTTGGTAAAATTTAACTAAATTCAAAATCATGATTAATAAAGTTGAATCATATAAGTGATTTTGATTTTGGTAAATTATGATTCTTTAAGGTGAATGGTGGGACGCTAATCCGGTTGATGTGTTGAGAGAATCTATACGAACCGGTGGAGCTCCTAATAACTCCGACGCTTACACCATCAATGGTCAACCTGGTGATTTCTATAAATGCTCTTCTCAAGGTTTTACTCTTTTCTTCTTCAAATTAATTTTAATTATATCAACGGTCCAAAAAATAACTTGTCCCATATTTTCATTTTTCTTCCTTGTTTTTTTCCCAACTGTCATAACTGAATTTCGTATATTTTAGTCAAATAAATATTTTTATAAAGAAAACACATCAGCCCGAAAGACTCAAATAAGTAAACTAATTAGACTTTTTATAATCTTTTTTACAGATACGACAATAGTACCAATAAATGTTGGTGAGACCATACTACTACGAGTAATAAACTCAGCATTGAACCAACCGTTATTCTTCACGGTGGCTAACCACAAGCTCACCGTGGTAGGAGCTGACGCGTCTTACCTAAAACCCTTCACCACTAACGTGATTGTTCTCGGTCCGGGCCAAACCACCGATGTCCTCATAACAGGTGACCAACCACCAAACCGCTACTACATAGCCGCAAGAGCTTACCAAAGCGCCCAAAACGCACCGTTTGGAAATACAACCACAACTGCAATCCTCCAATACAAATCCGCCCCTTGTTGCGGTGTAGGCGGCGGAAGTGGAACCAAGAAGGGTATTTCCGTCAAACCAATCATGCCTATCCTCCCTGCCTACAACGACACCAACACCGTCACACGTTTCAGCCAAAGCTTCCGGTCACTAAGACGAGCTGAGGTTCCGACAGAAATCGACGAGAATCTGTTTGTAACAGTCGGACTCGGTCTCAACAACTGTCCTAAGAACTTCAGATCAAGAAGATGCCAAGGTCCTAACAGCACACGTTTCACTGCATCGATGAACAATGTTTCATTTGCTCTCCCAAGTAACTACTCACTCCTTCAAGCTCACCATCATGGAATCCCCGGAGTCTTCACAACAGATTTTCCGGCGAAGCCTCCGGTGAAATTCGATTACACAGGTAACAACATAAGCCGATCTCTCTACCAACCTGATAGAGGGACTAAGCTATACAAACTCAAGTATGGATCAGGGGTTCAAATTGTTCTTCAGGACACCGGTATAGTAACTCCTGAAAATCATCCCATTCATCTACACGGCTACGATTTCTACATTATCGCCGAGGGTTTCGGTAACTTCAATCCCAAGAAAGATACCGCGAAATTCAATCTCGAAGACCCGCCTCTTAGAAATACCGTTGGTGTACCTGTTAATGGTTGGGCCGTCATCAGATTCGTCGCAGACAACCCTGGTAAGCTAAACTATTAATTACAAAAATATTACTTATATATATCATACATTAGAAGTGTTACGAATTTTGATTCAAATTTATTTGCTTTTCAGTTTAGCTATAGTAGTAACAAAGTTTTTTTAATCGAGTTCTTGATTTGGTTTCGGATCAGATTTGAACCCCCCTAAAATTTACATGATTTAGTAATTTTTACCGGGGTTAACGAAACTAATTATTACGTGTAAAAATGATTGAAACAGGGGTTTGGCTAATGCATTGTCATCTAGATGCACACATATCTTGGGGACTAGCCATGGCTTTCTTGGTTGAGAATGGAAATGGAGTTTTGCAGACAATGGAGCAGCCTCCTGCTGATTTACCCGTATGTTAGGAGTTCAAGATCCTTTGTAACATAAAACCACATTATAGTTTTTCATGTTCTATTCAATTGTTTTTTGTTGGTCATAGACTTAAACCGGGTCATACTCCTGAGTTGGACCGGACCCTTCAGCTTAAGTTTTCTCAATTATTGATGTATTCTTTTGACATTATAGTACCAAATCAAGCGCTAAAAGCCTAAGAGTACCATGAAAGTTGATTTTTTTTTTCTTTTTCTCGTTCGATGTTTTTTGGTTAAAAGGTTTCATTCCTTCGATCATTTGTAATGGTTATTGAGCTAAAATTCTAATTATTTCCATAATCAGCTTATTAGAAATTAAGTGATCATAAACAACATAAGTTTTTTGGCGTAATATTGACTGAAGTCAAATCGAGGGTTCAACCACATGATGAATATTGAAGTTCTAAAGAAAGAAACTTATCCCAATTCGATTTTGTTTTAAAACGAATTGCTTATTGATGAATATTATTCTTTTACGTAACATTGTATTTGATCTTGAGATGATAACGAAATCAATTGAAAAAGAACTAAGTGAATATGAAATGACATAAAGAAAAAGTGGCGTGAAATTCCAAATTAGTTGAGCAGAAAAGTTTGGGGCAAAGTGATTTCCGACACGAATGAATCATAACATCGACATTACTAGAAGAAACAAAAGTTGTCATGACTTTGTAATATTTTGAGTAATCAGTGGGCTAGTTTTATAAAAATCTAACAAAATAATAATTATTCTTACACATGCATGTTGCCACTAATCTAATCGAAATATTAGAGTAGACAAGAAAAGTAACGTATAATAATTTTTCAGAACTTCGATTGTCATATTATTTGTATTTGATACAAAAAGGTAAAAATGCAAAATAAATCTTACCGTAAAAAATAATTAGGTCGCGAGTGTTTTATCATCTGCACGAAAAGCCCATTAATAAATAGGCCCATTAGAGAGTTACGGCTTCAACCTAAAACCCTAAATCTCTTGATACGCATCCTCTGCCTTCTTCTATCAAAATTCTTCTCAGACCAAAACTCGCCTCTGAAAGCTCCGATGACGAAGAAGAAAAAAGGAGCTAACGAAGATAAAACGATAGAAACGAAGAGCAAAAACGTTTCTGGGAAATCTCAGAAACAGAAGAAACAACCAGTAGAAAAAGAGCTCAAACCAGTAGAAGAAAGCTTAAAAGAGGAGGACCTTCTACAAGAATCTGGAACTGATTCTGATTACGACGGCGATGTATTCTTCTCTCCCCCACCTTTCTCTTTTGTTTCATCATCTTTATTCTGCATTCGATTTATTCTGGGTTTTTTTTTGTTGTTTTGGTGATTTTTAGAGTTTGCCTGGGTCTTTGGATTCCGATGATTTCGACTCCGATTTTTTCGATTCTGAGGATGATGGAACACAGGAAGGAACAGAAGATGGAGATGTAGAATTTTCCGACGACGACGTACTTGGTAATTAGCTTCTGCTTTTCGTCTCATCTTCAATTTGAAGTTTTAGTGTTTATGCTTTTGATGGATGTGGTTTAAACCCTATTAATAATTTGAATTGAATAAGCTAATTTCGTTAGATTTATTTGTGGGACTTTATAATGGGTGAATAAAGTTTCTAGCTTTAACATGGGAAAGTAAATTCAAGTAAGATTTGTTGGTGCAGAGCATGAGGGCTCAATTGATAATGAGGATGATGAAGAAAGTGAACAAGTAGAAAGTGACAACGGTGAGGAAGATGGGAGTGATGAAGGTTCTGAGCGAGATGAAGCGGTTGAAGAGAGTGATTCCTCAGAAGATGAGGTTGATGATTTTCTCTATTTCATATTAGACTTGAATCCATCTTTCTCCATTTCCGGACGAAATTATATATGTTTCTCTTTTTAATCTGTAGGTTCCTTCTAGAAATACAGTTGGAGATGTTCCATTGGAGTGGTATAAAGATGAGAAACATATTGGTTATGACATCACTGGGAAGAAGATTACTAAGAAAGAAAAACAAGATAAACTTGACTCTTTTCTTGCAACTATGGATGACTCTAAGAATTGGTTAGTTTGAATACTCTGTTTGTTGGTATGTGGTTAGTTAGTATCATGATGCTGATGAATTTTTTTGGGGATTTAGGCGCAAAATTTATGATGAATATAATGACGAGGAAGTGGAGCTGACTAAAGAGGAGTGCGAGCTCATGCGTAGAATACTCAAAGGGGAAGCTCCACATGCTGACTTTGATCCATATGCGGTATGTATGTGGTTTATGTGTAGCCGTTTTCTACTTATGTTATACAAATCTCTTCAAATTGTAACCTTTTGATTGATTCTATTGGGACCAGCCTTATGTTGATTGGTTCAAATGGGATGATTCAATACATCCACTCTCAAGTGCGCCAGAGCCCAAGCGAAGATTCATCCCTTCAAAATGGGAGGCCAAAAAGGTTCTCAAGCTTGTTAGAGCAATCCGGAAGGGGTGGATCAAGTTTGATAAGCCTGAAGAAGAGCCCAATGTATACCTCTTATGGGGTGACGATTCGACGTCTGATCAAAAGAGCAAGCATTTAACTTATATTCCTCCGCCCAAGATGAAATTGCCAGGTGAAAACTTTTTGCTGACTTTCTGTTGTTTCTCTGCTTCTCTTGGGAATTCCATTTTCAAAGTTTTAACTTGTACTATTTGGCTTTCCAGGACACGATGAATCATACAATCCTTCTTTGGAATATATTCCAACAGAGGAGGAGAAAGCCTCATATGAATTGATGTATGAGGAAGATCGTCCAAAATTCATTCCTAAAAGGTATGCAATAGTTTCGCTTATTACACTCTGACGTAGTTTCTTTGGTATAATTTAGCTGAAGCCTTACTGTACATATATTTGCGCATAGGTTTACTTCTCTGAGAAGCATCCCGGCGTATGAGAATGCACTGAAGGAGTCTTTTGAGCGTTGTTTGGATCTATACCTATGTCCGAGAGTTCGAAAGAAGAGGGTGAGGACTTATCATCTCATTTTCTGGTTTCTTTTTTTCTTTTCCGTATTAATTCTCACAGTGTGTGTCTTTTCCCCAGATAAACATCGACCCTGAATCTTTGAAGCCTAAGCTACCTAGTAGGAAGGATCTTAGACCCTATCCTAACTCCTGTTATCTTGAATATAAAGGACATACAGGGGCTGTTACTACCATATCCACTGATAGTTCTGGCGAGTGGATTGCCTCAGGTATTTTCAATTTTTTTTTTTAAATTCAATTCCAAAGAGGTCTCTTTTGTTTTTAAGATGCTAATCTTGTATTCTTTTTTCCTTCAAAGGTTCAACTGATGGATCTGTTCGCATGTGGGAAGTGGAGACTGGTAGATGTCTTAAGGTCTGGCAATTTGATGAAGCTATTATGTGTGTGGCTTGGAATCCTCTTTCCAGGCTTCCAGTTTTAGCCGTTGCCATGTGAGTTAGGATCTGTGAGTATGCTTTTGTATTTATTATAATAATCTATTATGAAACCTTCTCATCTCACATTGCAGGGGACGAGATTTGTTTTTTCTGAACACTGAACTTGGAACTGATGAGGAACAGGAAATTACTAAAGAGAGGCTTCACTCAGGAAACATTCCAGAACCAGAAGCGTCTGGTAAGTGTCTTGGAATAACCATTATAATCTCGTAAAAAATTGTGATGATATTGCATATGATTAAATCTTTTTGGTTGGTATATTTTGCACGACATTCATAGTTGCAGCAATTGTAACCTGGCTACCTGATGAGTTATATGGAGGGATCAAGATAAGACATTTTAAGGTACACTTTTGCAAAATATCCTCTTTCAACAGTTATTACATGGAAAAAATCTTAAACTGGTTTGTTGGTTTATATATATCTTTCAGAGCATATCATCTATTGACTGGCATCGTAAAGGAGACTATCTCTCAACAGTGATGGCATCCGGCGAAACGCGAGGAGTGGTATTGCACCAACTCTCAAAACAGAAAACACAAAGGCTCCCATTTAAGATCCGCGGACTTCCAGTCTGTACCCTTTTTCATCCCAGCCTTTCTTACTTCTTCGTTGCGACAAGAAAGGACGTGCGTGTTTACAATCTTTTGAAGCCAGGCGAGGCCACCAAAAAGCTTGAGACGGGGTTGAGAGAAATCTCATCCATGGCGATTCATCCTGGTGGTGATAATCTGATAGTAGGAAGCAAAGAAGGAAAGATGTGTTGGTTTGACATGGATCTGTCTTCGAAACCATACAAGACTCTCAAGAATCATCCTAAAGACATTACAAATGTGGCAGTTCATCGATCATATCCGTTATTTGCTTCGTGCTCGGAGGATTCAACAGCTTACGTTTTCCATGGAATGGTGTATAATGATCTGAATCAGAATCCTCTGATTGTACCATTGGAGATTCTAAGAGGTCATTGTTCAAAAGGAGGTCAGTTTTTACGGTGTTTTTGATTCTTAAGAATACACTATTACATAATAACTTGTAAGATTGTGTATATTAATGGGTTTTGGTTATTATTATTTTGACTGCAGGAGTCTTGGACTGCAAGTTTCATCCGAGACAACCATGGCTTTTCACTGCAGGCGCTGACTCAATTATCAAACTCTATTGCCACTAGATAGATTTTGTCCCAAACCCTATTTTGACAATTTTCATATCTTTTCTTCTTTGTTGTATTCACCACCTATCACATTGTTTGAAATTGTACTCAAATCTTGTACCATACGAGTTTTGTTATGATCGAGCTATTATTGAGATTTCTAACTTATAGCATTTCCAAAATGTTAGGACCAATATCTTATCGTATCAATTTATTTTGCAGCATTAGTTTAAGGTGGAGCATTACTAGTCTAAATCCAAATATCGATTTGATTCCATATATGACAACTATTTTACGTTCACTTTACAATGAATGATGGATCCTCGACTAGACAAAGAGAAAATGGATTGTTGCTTCATAGGGAAAATAGAAATTCTCCACGAAAGCTGGTCTCCTTTATTTAACAACAAATTCACTCATTCACAATTTGAACTTATCTAACACAATGTGTTATATCCACGAAACAAAACACATAATACTTTTAATATTTTTCTCTGATAGTTACCAAAACACTAATAGTTTTGTTTTTGTTTTCATCTAATAGTTACCAAATTAGTTAACAAAACACTAATCCATACACGTTGACCAAAAGAAAAAACACAAATCCATACTTAGACCAAATTAAACAATAGTCCATAAAATAAATACTATGGACCCCAAAGCCCATAGCTTCATGTGAACAAAGACTTGATTATTGACTAGTCAACACAATCAGCTATTGTTATCCAAAATGGGGCAAAAGGTGTAATTAAAAGGAAGCTTTGAGGGCAAAATAGTCCAAAGAACATAGTGAGAAATAACTTAGGCCCAAAGCAAAAAAGGAAGGGCTCTGGATCCAGCCGGAATCAGAATCTGGTAAGTTCGAGCGCCACGTCATCACATAAATATCTGAAATATCTAATTAAGACTTGTCTATATATAAAGGCTTCTCCTTTTTTTTTTTTTTTGCCAATAAAGGCTTCTCCTTTCACAATCCCAAATCTTTTTTTTTCTCTCTGCTAAAGAAAGAAAAAGCTATCGTCTTTGCTACTACTACTACTATTACATTGAACCCTTTGTGTTCTTCTTGCTTACGACGAATATTTAGCGAAATCTTCTTCTTCTTCTGCTGCTACTTTGTTCGAGTGATATCTTACATGCCGTCGGAGATTATTGACAGGTTTGTTTCTAACATTTTTAGATTTTTTCTCCGTGTTTTTTTTCTCTTGTGTATGTGTGCTAAATGTGATTGTTCATTGTTGTTGTTTTTGTGTGTATATCCGTCAAGTTCCTTTGTTTGTGTAAATGGTGGAAGTTGAAAGGTTTTCAATTTTAGGGTTTTTCGTAGACAGAAATTTGGAATTCATTGGTTGATTTTGGGCATAATTTGTCTCTTTTGGATTGAGTTCTTTGCGATTTGTGGCTTTGTGTGTGGAAATTAGAGGATTTTTGCTGAAATAATCGTTAAAGGTGGTACCTTTCCTGTTGAATCTTTAGGTGATTCTCTGTTTCTGAGTTTGCTCTGTTCTAAAATTTCTAATTTTGTTCGTGATGTGGTTTCTTTTTGCTCGCTGTGATGCTGCAGATTGTGAAAACTTCTTCTTGTAGCTACTTCGGTGTAATTACGTTCAGGAGGTTAAAAATTGTTTCTTTGAAGGTGCTTTGTTTCGAAGTATAGTGGAGCCTGTTGATTTAAATTTTGTGAAGAGAGAAAAAGAAACACAATAGAGAAAATGGGAGTTCTCGAGCATGTTGCTAATCTTGCTTCTATGCCCTTTGATTCTCCCAGGAAAAGGAAGTCTCGTGGAACACGAGATGTAGCTGAGATTCTAAGACAATGGAGAGAGTATAATGAGCAGACCGAGGCAGATTCTTGCATCGATGGTGGTGAACCAGTCCGAAAGCCTCCTCCAAAAGGTTCAAGGAAGGGTTGTATGAAAGGTAAAGGAGGACCTGAAAATGGGATTTGTGACTATAGAGGAGTTAGACAGAGGACATGGGGTAAATGGGTCGCTGAGATCCGTGAGCCAGGCCGAGGTGCTAGGTTATGGCTCGGTACTTTCTCTAGTTCATATGAAGCTGCATTGGCTTATGACGAGGCTGCCAAAGCTATATATGGTCAGTCTGCCAGACTCAATCTTCCCGAGATCACGAATCGCTCTTCTTCGACTGCTGCAACTGTGTCTGGCTCGGTTACTGCATTTTCAGATGAATCTGAAGTCTGTGCACGTGAGGATACAAATGTAAGATCTGGTTTTGGGCAGGTGAAACTAGAGGATTGTAGCGATGAATATGTTCTCTTAAATAGTTCTCAGTGTATTAAAGAGGAGCTGAAAGTAAAAGAGGAAGTGATGGAAGAACATAACTCGGCTGTTGGCTTTGGAATTGGACAGGACCCGAAAAGGGAGACTTTGGATGCTTGGTTAATGGGAAATGGCAATGAACAAGAACCATTGGAGTTTGGTGTGGACGAAACGTTTGATATTAATGAGCTCTTGGGTATATTAGACGACAACAATGTGTCTGGTCAAGAGACAATGCAGAATCAAGTTGATAGACAGCCAAACTTCAGTTACCAAACGCAGTTTCAAGATGCTAACTTGCTTGGGAGCCTCGACCCTATGGAGATTGCTCATCCTGGAGTTGATTATGGATATCCTTATGTGCAGCCGAGTGAAATGGAGAACAATGGTATTGATTTAGACCATCGCAGGTTCAATGATCTTGACATACAGGACTTGGATTTTGGAGGGGAAAAAGATGTTCATAGCGCTACATAAGATCTCAGATTCATATTGAATGGCCTAAGTTTGTTATTCTGCTCCGATACTGTCTAGCTGTTACTAGCTAGAAGCTGACTTTCTTTGAAGCTGCTGATACTTTCTGATGTTAATGGTTTTGAGGCATAGTAAATGTAGTTAGGTAATGTAGGACAAGTTCGAATATGATCCTTTCTTTCTTCTTCTTGTGAATACATATGAAGTTTAAAAGGTTGGGTTTATAGAATGTTTTTTAATCTTCTTCAATACATTTAAGCTATAAAGTTTTGATCTTTGAACTTTGGATATAATTAGTTGGTTCCTCATGTAATCATACTCTCACATCTAGTTTTCATGCTAGTGAGTGGAGATGGAATAATTTGGTTTAATTGACTTTGGAAGTTTTGATTATTTAAGAAACTAGATCTTAATTACTTGGTTTTATTTAATGGTCTTCTTATAAAATTGGAAATATCAAATATCAGTAGTGGAGTTTTTTGGTCTGAAGACTTTCCTCAGGTTGTCTGAGATTACATAAGCAATGAGGTAAGAAAATAAAGTGTAATATATTATCATTAGAGAATTATATATCTGTATTTTCTACAAGAAGCAAATTGGATATTTGAAAGTGCAAATGGGACATAGTTGTATTAAAAGGGGTTTAATTATTCCATTCTGGTCTCCAAAATCGTTTTTCTTGCTCTCGAATCTTGAAGATCTTCAAGCCTTTAGAAAAATGAAGAAATCAAGTTGGCAAACTGTTAATTAATTAAATCCAAAGAATTGGTGGGCTTTGCACATCCACAAGTTCCCTTTGACAATGTGTCTTCTTCTCCATAAGAATGAGATGCAACTATTTTGGACAATTTCTCCTTTTACTTAATTTTTGAACTATAATCTTCTCCTAATTAATATCACGTTGTAATCTGATTCATTCAAATGTCTATCGAAATTAAGCTTACCTTTGATTTTTTCGATACTTTTGAAATTTTAAGTGCATTTTGTTTATAATCATAGTGGGAGATTTATATAATTTCAGGTGGAGTAATATTTTATGAAGTTGGAGATTTATTATTTCTCAACAAATAGTCACAAACAAACAAACAACCGGCTGTTGCTAAAAAAATATCTTAAATTATCTCTAATACTCATAATGAATTGAATATTTGAAAGCACAAAAAAATATTGACATGTAGTCGAGTTGTTTCTACTAATGTTTGCCACTATATCACCATTGGAATTTAAATCTTGGATAATACATGTTTTGACAAAAAAAAGGTCAGCAGATATCATGATGCTGTAGTGTTCTATTGTTTGATGATAATACAAAATTCGTCTGATGCATTAATTTGAGATTGACTCTTTAAACCCAAAATGTATCACCGTAAGTTCGTAATATCAATACTCGTTTTGTGTTTCATGCCTTCTTAACTCATCATTAACACCATCATGTAGAATATGATTTTACGGTGAAAAGAAAAACGATTTTCTACAATCATATTATCATTTAATTCGATAATATATATTTTAAAAATACATTTTCCACATCTGTGTTCAGTAATGTGTGTGTAAAATATTGGTGAGTGATTATGTCACCTAACCCGAAAACTTATAAGATGAGCAATCTTTACATCGAGGATGGTGTAAAAAATTGCAAATTGTAACTTTTTTCCTTCTTATTCTATAAAAATGTCAGATATGATTAGTACTGCAAATTGCTCGCTTATTCTTATTAATCTTAACAACTAGGGCTACTTGGGAATATGTATAGTTGTATAGTTGTTGGAAAAACTAAACTGCATTAAATAACCCTTTATTATTTTTCCCAATTGTGTTTTGTTATTATGCCCACCACTCAAATCCAAGAGTCCAATATATTCATATGATTTGAATATACGTTTGTGGAAGAAAACACACCCAAGAAATAATGTCCAATTCGAAAATTTCCCTGACTTTACGTTGGTTACTTTTAGCAACTGCTTAGTTTGATTTTCTCCTAACTCGTCTAATATTCTGTTCTTTTCTTTGTTGAAAAGGAATTTGATTAATACTTTTTTAGTATCGTCGAAAGGCTCAAGTTGATTACAAGATGAGGAAAGATAATTATGCTGGACCCATGACATGATATCTTCACCAACTTGGAATATTGAAAGTTCTATAGTTATTTTTGAAATTTTACCCTAGTCAGAAGGTTCCAACGAAATTCAAAATCCACCAAAAACGCATCCAAGAATAGTACCAACTGAAAATAGATCGGCCATCACAAATACAAAGGTCGGCCCTCCCAACCAATTTGTTTTCGAGAATTTTTGCTACCTATGCATAAATTAAGTATAGCTCTTAACCAATATATATATAGCTTAACCAACTCGACCCATAGTGATCATGTTCTTATAATGTTTAATAACGTTTTAGAGTTATTAGCTATTTAATTTGATATATATATATAGTCTAGAGGCTCAGTAGAAGATTAAAATTCTATGCAAAACCTCATAGATAATGTTCAAAGTTTTTATATTATAAATTGTGATATAATCGGTGACATAGAGATAGATGAGTTAGATTTTGGTTTTTCTCGGTATCTTAAATGATATTGATATTATTTCTAAACTTTCTTTCAAGAGTGTTTGGGCTGAGTGATTAAAGCAATAGTAAGGTATATTTTAAACGTTTGATTGAGTTTTTTTTTTTGGGTTAAGGACTATATATAAAAAGTAATTAAAATAAGTCAGAAAATCTGAAAATTTAAAACTAATTAAGTCTAGTAAAACAAAAATACGTCCATTCTAATTCTAGTAATGCGTGTGTGGTTATCCAATAATTTGGGGTTACGTCTACATTGTGATAACAAGTAATAAACTTAGGACATCACTGGTGAAATGTAAAAAAAAAAAAAAAACTTAGGACATCACTGGTGAAATGTATAGCACCATTGACAATTTGACAGCCACAGTAAAAAAGCAAGTATAAGAAAAATTCAAATTTAATTACCGGTTATTCTATCGAGAACCAGTCCGTAGGGGAACCGGTTGATATAAAGAGAGAGAGAGACGTTTCTTATGGTGAAGAGAGATACAAACTCCAAACAAATCCCAAGTGGACAACCGAAGAACCCACACAAACTGACTCTCTCTTTCCTAATCCACATACTTGCATTTTTATATATAAACACTCTGTCCTTATATAGTTATGTAAATATCTCATTAATACAACCTCACGAAGAAACCCATTTGTTTCCTTTGAGAGAAAGAGAGAGAGCCAAGAATATTAAAAGAGAAAAGATTTGCTTTAAAAATGCCAACGGCGATACAGTTTCAGAGATCCTCCACCGCCGCAGAAGCAGCCAACGCCACCGTAAACAACTATACCCACCACAAACAGGTTCAAAAAGTGAGCCTCACGCGCGGCATGGCTGATGTGCCGGACCACGTGGAGCTTGCCCACACGCACGTGGTTGGTCCTTCTCAGTGCTTCTCCGTCGTGGTACAAGACGTGGAGGCTCCTGCTTCCGCCGTCTGGTCTATCCTAAGCCGCTTCGAACACCCTCAAGCGTACAAACACTTCGTGAAAAGCTGCCACGTGGCTATCGGAGATGGTCGAGAGATTGGGTCGGTGAGAGAGGTCCGAGTCGTATCGGGTCTCCCTGCGGCGTTTAGCTTAGAGCGGCTTGAGATCATGGACGATGATCGCCATGTCATCAGTTTCAGCGTCGTTGGTGGGGACCACAGACTTATGAACTACAAGTCGGTGACGACGGTGCATGAGTCCGAGTCGTCCGACGATGGTAAGAAGAGGACACGTGTCGTCGAGTCATACGTCGTTGACGTACCGGCGGGTAACGATAAGGAAGAGACTTGTAGCTTTGCAGATACCATTGTACGGTGCAACTTGCAATCGCTGGCTAAACTCGCCGAGAACACGTCTAAATTCTCGTAATTACATTTCTTTCAATCTTTTAATTTTTATTATATTTTCTCTTTCAAAATTTATCTTTTATTTTTGGGATTCTCGAGGTGGGTTTTGGATTTTAAGATTTAAGTATTTAACTATCGTCGGGGATTTTTCGAAACTAAACAAAAAAAAAAAAGAATTAGAAAAACAAGATGGTTTTGGTTTTTCGAAGTTAGGGTTTTTAGGGTCTGTTAAATGTATGTCTCAACGATACTTTGGTTTTACCCTTAAAACCATTTCTTCTTGAACGCTTGTACAGTTCTCGTAGCTTTATATAAACATTGATTGTTTAGTTATTTCCATAATCTTCATCTTGCGCGGTTACTTTACATATGTATCTTAATTATATATGCTTAATCATGATTCAGCTAATGCATGGAGTATATTGTTTCGATATTTCCGAGATTATCATGTCTAATTTGAGGTGTTTGATAACGTACATAATAATGTATAATCATTGGCATAATTACATACCCTTTAGTTATATATGTGAAGAGATCTAAACAATTGTGGGCAATCGGAAAACCCATGCATGTTACCGATTGATATGATCCGTTTTCCTTTATGTCAAGAGAAGAACAAAGTAAAACTTTAACTATGTAACTATATATCATTTGCATTTTATTAAAATGTACAAACAATAGAATCACTTGGTTTTTTAAATGAAACTGATCACCAGCTATATAATCAGAGAGTTCAATCCTTAATTTAAAAGAAGAAGCAAAGATGGAATAATATCAATTAGTGATCATAGTTAAATTGAACCAAGGCGTAATGTATTGAGTTATGTGATATATTCTTTTAAAAAAATTATGGCATATATAATGCTAAGCCAAAATAAATGGTGACATGTAATACAGCATTATATATATCTTTAATTTCCTAATTTGGAAACTTAGAATTTTCAAATGATTTTATTTCATCAACCAACTTTACATTAATACGTAAATGTTTTGTTTTTACTCACCAGAAAATTAAATCAAAATTATTTATACACCAAAATGATATAATTTCCTAGTCCCATTTACATGTTTGGATGCGTGAACCGTTTGAATAATTCAAATGTCAAAATTATTACTTTATCGGATTTCCTTGTCCTATATATTAGCTCATGAATAAAAATTTAAAATTGAAAAAATCATATTACCTTTATCTAATTATATAAATGTAAAGAGTCCAATGAACAAGAAGAAAAGACATTCAAAGTTTCCAAAAGCAAAATGAGTTAGTTACTTTATAATTAACTAGTAAGATTTCGAGACTTGTGAAACCAAATTCAAAATTGAATACATATATAGACACATTCATGTATGTGATCGTACGTAAAATGCAAGTTGGGGTGTAATAAAATCCAACTTGTTATAGAAAAAAAAAACAAAGCATGCAAGTTGCAAGGAAAAAATAAAAGTCGCTACTCACCTTTAAAAAATATTCCATAAATAAAAAGGTTAAAGAAAAAAAACAAATTGATTATATAAATGATTATTAATTTATTATGATAATGAGTACGAAAAATATATGTAAACATTGTCGTGGAAGGAAGGAATTGCAAGTTGATATGCAAGTTGGCAAGGAGGCTATTAATGTTTTCCCTCTTTTGGTCGTTTGTATAATGACATTTAAACCCACCCACCTTTCTTATTTTTTTTTCTGTCTTCCCTATTTTGGATCATCATTTTATTTATATTTTCTTTCACATTTTTATTCATTTTATAAACCCATAAGAATTTTCATATTATATGAAAATTTCTGACCAATCCAGAGAGATACGCTTTGTGGGGTTTGTATATTCCAATGTGGCATGTTGCATATAAAGTACTACTATTTTTTGTCCCAAAAAAAAAAGTACAACTATTTAACTAGTTTCTTTATAATTCAAATCTATATAAACATGCATAAAAGATTGTGATAACGTTACATATCTGTGATAATTTATATATACTTTTAAAAAGCAACGGAGATAGTTCATATTTTATATATAGTCTTAGCTGGGCTATCTAACACTTTAACTAAATAAATAAGATAAAGTTTGCTATAAATTGTAAATAGATGATTTATCCAATATATACATATGAGTGTGTCTGAAAAAGGCAAACCAAATTCAATGTAACGTGAAGAACACCGCCTCATCCCCTAAAGTTGATTGGGGACAAATATTTTCGTCAATGGTTTTAACTTCTACAATTTAGGTTTGGAAGCATTTCGGTGTGCGAGTGGTGTAATGTTGAAACTTGAAAACATCAACGCGGATAAAATCTTCTATATACTCATTGAACAGTATGAATTACGGCTTTTAAATTAATAGAAACGTTGATTTACTATTTGTTTATTAGGTTCATAAATACATGGTTTTATGACATTATTTTCAATCTTTTTTTTTTTCAATCTTTATTTTATGTGAGATTAGAATTTTTCTTTTTTTCTTTTTTTTTTTTTGTTGTTGTGCAAATTGAATTTTTCTTTTTGTTATGGTTGAATTTACTTACTTTCATGTTTTAAGACGATTAAACTCATGTGTTTCTATGTGTGTCTAAAGTGTTTATACTTAGGAAAGAAAACAACATACAAAAAAAAATTTTAAAACAGAAATAAAACAAACCACACAATATGTACATTGTGTTTATTTGGAATAAGGTATTTTTTTTTTTTTATATAATAAACATCATTACTCATACAATATGTACATTGTGTTTATTTGGAATAAGGTATTTTTTTTTTTTTATATAATAAACATCATTACTCATAGAAGATCAGACAACTCTGCAAATACAAATGACGATTTAGATAACTCGAAAATTTCGCTTAAGTAATTGAGTCTGATGATACCTCCTTCCCTACGAGGCTACTACAGTATCAAATTAAGTCGGTCTTACAAGTCATTATGGATCGATATTATGAGCCCAATAAAGGGCCATCAGAACATCTTAACACCGGCCATATTATGAGCCCAATAAAGGCCCATCGGAATATCTCAACACCGGAACACGAGTTTCGTTCATAAATAGTAGCCTAGGGCTCTCAGTTAATATCTTCTCAGGAAGATCTTCTTCGTTTCCTTGAATTCCAAGCTTTAAATCTCGAAGTCGTTCGTTCTGAGCTTCTTCTCGACATTACCGTGATTATAGCGGCTGGACTGTCCATTCCCGGCTGAGAGGAGGATCATTGCCGCTAACATGAATGATGTAAAATTCAACTTATCATTCACGATTTGTCAAACCCTTTTATCTTATAACCAAAAAACGAGACAATATCAATTCAATGACTACATTTTACAATTTCTCGACAAGATCTCTTTCCAAACTCAAAAACCAAAAAGATGTTCTTTGCAACTCAAGGGTAGAAAAGTTTAGCAAAGAGAAGCTCATTCCAAGTATCTTGAAGGCCAGGCAAGCACCAATGTACACAATCCGCATAGCTCGTTGGATTCTCCAGCTGCTCCGCTGTAAGTGGACTCCACTGCTTCTTGTATATCGACGTATGCGCATCTTTCCGATAATTTGACATCTGCGTTATGTTCAGTAACGTTATCGGTGTTTTCGATCTTCCAAACACTTCTCCAATCACTTTCATTATGCTTTTCCTACAATCTGATCCCCAATAGCTCGGATCTTCTATCAGTGTTGTCTGATTATAGCAATTCTGACCCGGTTCACCTCCCCAATCTATGCCCCTGAAACAGTTATAGAACCAGGACAAAACAAAATCAACAAAAGCCCTAAGCAGTAGGTTTCTTGCTAAGAAAGTAACAATCAATTTGCCTATATAATAAGTAAACTTTAAGAAGTTTATAGTGTCAATATGTTTTATAACACAAGACTGGATTATCAATCTCTAACTATTGGTCAAAGTCACTAACTTGGCATGAGTAGGAGACATGCTAGTGAAGAAGACCCTAGTTTTCTTACGATCCATATTATTCTTCACCCATCTCAACATACTCTTCATACCCATCCGGTACGCATCTTCAGTCGAAACCTCCACGATATTCTTCTCTTTATCGGCAAACGATCCTTGCCTATATATACCCCCACAAAACAATATCAGAAACCACTCTAATATGATTGCTATGCTACGTATAGTATGAATTGTTTTGATTTAAAGTTTGAAAGAATGGTTACAAGATGTTCATCTTCAATCCAGTCATCCACCATAGATAAGTGTTGAAGATGATTATATCGACGCCTTTCCAGTGACGACCATGTTTGTTAATTGATCCTTTTCTCACAACCCTATCCGATATTCTATGGACAATTGCATCGTCTGAATTCGATTCTAGAAGAAACGGTGCCCAATAGAACTCTATCGTCGCGTTATACTCCTGCACATAGAGATAAAAAGCTCTAATAAAAGGTGAAAATTTGAAATACAGAGACCCCAAAAAAAGTGATGTGAATAAGTTTAAGTAGATAGAGTTACCTTGGCAGTGAAGACAGTGAGGGAACCATTGGTTTTGATTGATTTCTGATCTTCAGGGATAAGACGATGAAGAAGACAAATCATTGATACAAACATTCCACGGTTTAACGAGTCTCCTACATACATCATCCTCTTCCCTCTCAATGTCTCCAGCATCAGCGACGCATTGAACCTATGAAACAGAGAAAACAGAGTAACACATGAAACAGAGAAAACAGAGTAATCCCTGAAACAGAGAAAACAGAGTGTTTAGAGAGCTTACGAGGGAAGATCACAGTGATTGGGTTGCCACCGCCAGAATTGGTAATCTTTGTCGGGACGGCCGTGTTCTTGACACGTAAGCTGAGGTTGGATGTACGGACACTCCCATTCCTCGTACGGTGGTCGGGAGACTTCATCTCTCACCCACTTCCCGCTGAAAACGTCACAGCTTTCCTCTGTTTTACCAATAGAAAACGCAAGCTTCTCCGATTTCTTGTTCTTCTCTTAAGAGTCCAAGAAATTCAAAAGAAAACACAATCTCAATTCCTCATTGTCAACGAGAATTCAAACAAAAATGTTGAGTGAATAAACAAAATTTTACCGGGTGTTCGAGAAGGCGGGAGAACAAAGTTAGGCTCGAGCTGTCCAAAGATGCACATGAAATCTTCGCCATAGAGGACAGAGACGAAGAGGATGAAGGCTAAGAGTGTGAAGAGGTAAGGCGAAAGACGAGTTTTTCTAGCAATCGAAGAAGTAGCGAGTGAAATTGGTGATGAAGGTTTCATGTTTATTATTGAGAATGAGTGTTACAAATGTGATTTCAGTGTTCAAATTTTATATAATTAGGAAAAGAGAAGATAAAATTAAGAAATGAACATTTTGGGTTCTTGATGATCTCATTCTCCTCAACATGCAAATAAGATGTGGGAAGAGGAGGCCAAAAGAACTTATTTTGGAATTTTTTTTTTTTTTTTTTTTTTTTTTTCTTTTTTAACTTATTTTGGAATTGCTTCAAGAAATACTAAAGATGTGAATTATTCAATGATTAGACAATTTGTAATATGGTTGTGATTATATTAGGTGATGAAAATGTTGTGAATTAGCAAAATAATTATGCGTAAGGGTGATGAGTAGGTAAATGTTGACGCAACATAGTGGTTATCTACTAACTAATGATTTTTTTTCGTAAGATTTAATCCATTTTTTGTACTATATGACAAATTTAAAAGGTATTTAATAGCATTTCATACATTCGTGTTTTCAGCAAAAATGTATATCTCTGTTTGTTTTAAAGTAATCATGTAATTTTACACTTATTTTAAGACAAAAACAATCCTAGTTCACTATTAGACTACATCTAATTAGTTTTGTCACTTTTGTGTTTGATTAAATCCAAGCTAGATGGTTATGATTAAATCATTAGCTTCCTGTGTCTTTTTTATACTCTTCTAATATTTGTCAAAAAAGAACAAAAATTATTAGTTTCTTAGGCATTTAATTTGTAGCTCCTAAGGAAAATTTGAGGTGATGATTGATGGAGGTGAGGAATATAACTTCACTTGGCTTCTTACCAAAAAAAAAAAAAACTTCACTTGGCTTCGAAGCTAAGTGTCCTTGAGGTGTTTTCGTACATTTGATCAACTTGTAAAGATGAAACATCATTGTCTTCACTTTTGTCCAATGGATTTTTGCTGTTACTTAGAAAACAATTTAGAACAAAACCCATGGTTAACATTTACTAAACTTAATTATAGAGACTGAACAATGTGAGATGAAACAAAATCTTAATTATCGGTCTATAAATATTTTTCTCCTAGTAATTATTGGCAGAGGGTACAATATGAAACGAAGAGTGGGGAATTAGTTGGGAATTTGTTGGGCTTTCAAGCTCAAGTAGTTGGCTCTCACTGTTCTTCTTTGTACACACTCTTCGTCCAACAAAACAAAACACTAAGCCAATGTTGTTCTAAATGCTACAATACTCAAGATTGTATAAAGAGATGCTCTTACAAGAAGCGTCATTGGCAAAGATGTTATGACGACTGGACCGGTCTAGTCCTAGCAGAACCGACTCTAAAAGGCTAGTCCAAAACATGTCAGACCCAGCAGACCAATACATGTTTGACCGGTTTGGCTCAGCTTGACCAGTTTCTAAATCGGCTCAAATTTAGCGAGGATCCCTAAAAGAACAATCCGTTTTGCGGATTTTTGGTCCATCGCAACATCTCTATACTCAACACTGATCATTCGCCATATCAGAATATGTCAGAAAGAAAGAAGAGATCCAACACACAAGCTTTATTTAGTATGCAAGAATATTGTCGAAATAACAATTGTCTAAAACATCAACACAGCGGTTAACATTACTTCAAAATCAGCCTCAAGAAACCGAGACAACAATTTCTAAAGAGCAAACACTGGAGATGGAAAAGCCGCACATTGCAATGGCTAGCATTGTTTCTATCAAATGAACAAGAGTCTTCTGTTTCTAGAGGGATCTATGACATAACAAGATGAAAAGGAGAGGCACCTTATAACTTGCAGTCATATTTTGGACAAAATAGTACAATCTAGCGGCGTTTGACATTGGTTGAACGAGCCAAGGCAAGATCGGGGAATTGTCTCCAGACCATGGATCAGAGAATATGCTGTGTCTGCTCAGAAGTTGACCTGAGAATATGAGGTTCGTTGACCACGACTAGACCCCCCGAATCTCGAAAATAGTGAGCCAAAACAGCTCTGCAAGATGAAGAGTAAAAGTAAGCCCATTAAATTTAATTCTTAGACACCAATCCACCAGAAGAGGATATAGAAATACAGAACAATACCTGTATGCTGTGAGGTACAGTGGCCCAGTAATCCACGTTCGGGATTACCTATAAAACAGGGTGTGTACATTTCAGTTGTGATAGAATCAGTACATGAGAAAACCTTGCATATATAAAGGAAGTTAGTGAAACATACATCTATGCCACGAATTCCAAGGGAGAAATACCGATATACTGCACCACCCAGCAGATAAGCTCCAAACAGGCACAAGATACTGAAAAAGATCAGAACATTTCATATTTGATTCCCACGACATCTAAACATATTCCCATCGCCTCGTACAAAAAAGAACGATTTGCTCACATGATTAGTAAGGTACTAAACCAGCCCCATCCACTGCTATGGCCAGAGATAGCTGCTGCACAACCGGAGGGATGTCGCAGCTGAGTAGCCTATCAGTGAAACAAGATGTCCAATTTAAGTCAAATGAATGAGAAAGATATTGAGATGCTTACAAGAACTAAAGTGCAGTAATAAGTTTTTTAAGATTCTAAGAGCAAAAAGTAGTTCCATTTGTTTCCTACTCCAAATGCAGTAAGAGCGGTAAAGCGTTTTACAAATTTAAAACTTAAAAACTACACAACATAAACAATGAGACATGGTAATTTGAAAGCTATAGTCTTTAGGAAAAAGAGCAAATAGATGAGTTACTGGACACTCACATAATGACATGTACCAGATTTCGCCAGAGTGAGTGGCACCTGAGAAAAAAATGGTGAATGATGTTCTATTAACTGCTAAAACCAACTTCAATTTATAAACTTAAATAGAATGTCTGATATACAAATCCTTACATCAACTTTATTTTTCTGGCAGATAACAGAAACTGAAAGTGAGCAATTTTGGTTCCTATCCCCACCAGACATTTTAACGATGACGCCTTTGCCAGGATCCTCTTTATCTACCATATTCAAAACATAATATTTCTCAGCACTGCCACATTATTATTGCATAAAATGTTGGGAGAACACAGACTTCAACAATTTAGCTTTGTCCCAACCTAGAAAGCACATAGCGCCAAGAGTCTATCATTACATGGGGCTAGAGCAGAATAGTCTCTACTTTCCCATAAACGTATTTTAAGACTTTTCCCATAAACGTATTTTAAGACTTACCAATAATATCAACTTTTGTGCTTGAGGCATGCCCTAGAGAAGTGCATACATCATACCCTGCAAATGATTAGATTTTAAAGATGGTTTAATTTTCTACAGAGCTACATAAACTACACTACATTTACATGTTGTTAGATTGAGATGTTTTGTACCTCTTACATTTTCTGACACTAGTGCACTACATGACGTTCCACAGTGTGATGGACCTCCACAATCCTAAGTGAAGAAAAGCAAAGTCACAGAGACTGATTTGAGATTCTCAAAGTTAAAATAGAAACTTTTTTTTTCTGTTGAAAAATCTTACTTCACAACCAACACATCGAGGAGGATCATGATTGAAAATCAGCACATCACAAAGCTGCTCCACAAGACGGTTTACAAAAAATAACAATCATAAATCACACTGGACTAGTGTAAAACATAAAGGACACTATAACAACCAAGTAGTTAACTAGTTATACATCTTCAAATCAGAACCACCTAAATGTCACGATCAGTGTAACAGAGAAAAATACAGAAACAAAGTGTAACCTGATGTAGAAGACAACCTGAAACCATAACACGGTACTGTTCGCTTCCACTCTATAAAACCTGATTATCCAATTACTTACTTTTAGTATAAGCACAACACAAATGAAGTAGTAACATAGACTGACCAAAACAAACAATCTAATGCAACTATCTACAGAAATTGAAACTGAAGTCGAAATTCAAGCATATAAGAAATGGAATCTGGGCAATAAAGGAAAAGCGAAAGTACCCATCTTCGCTGAGGACACCGTGAGGATAATTTCGAATCGAAGAAGCTAAATTGAAAGCAAAGACCTTGTTGCGTCCAGTGAAACTGAATTCACATTGAGAGTTAACTCGGGAGCTAATAAGCACTAGAGTGATGAGGATAAATCTCGGAATCCAAAGTTTTCCCGACATTTCTCTTTCCTCTCCTAGCTCTTCGATTTTCGGTTTCAAATATATAAGATTCTCTTCTACGATCTCATAACCATGTCCGAGGATCTTGACGGAGATGGCGAGAGAGACTGAGAGAGAGAAGAGATGAGTGCTCGGCACGGCTGCAGTCGTCGCTGTTGTTGATTTCACATCCGCCGTTGATTTAACCGAAATTGCTATTCTACCTCTAAACTTTGCACTTCTTACGAATAAGCCACATTACTTTTCGTATATTGTTTGCAATTAAATTATTTGGGCCAGATTTGAAGCCTGGATAGGGGATATTATCAACTATGGGCACATATTTGTGCTTTCTCTACTCTCAAACGGCCCAGTAAAAACCGAACCAGACTCTGGTTCAATTTTAGTTTCGTCAGCTGAACCGGCTTTAATGGATTTATATACAGAGATTATGTAAACCAATGGGATTGAATTTCAATTTCTTTGGTCCATTGTTAATCCATGTTTCTGCACTATGTTGTAAATTCGATTCTCAGAAAATGAAATTTATTGTAGATTATGGATGTTATATTATCGAAAGCATATATACATGTTTACGATTCGGTTTGGAATTTCGGTTAAATAAAAAACATGATCCATAATTCCATATATACACCAACCAATCAATTAGGCAATTTATTTATAAATGAAAATATCATATATAACACATCGTTATTGTTTTGATGGACCGTCGAATCAATTCAAACAATGTTGAGGAATCATTTTACCACGTACAGAACCGTCAACATTCTCGCACACCGCAGTGGAAGAACCAGCTTCGAGTCCATTATGCTTTATGTTAATGTCAATCAGCTCCACATTCTTGCACGGAAAGCTTTTGCTGCATTGAAGATTCATTGCTACTTTGTACTTTGACGTTCCATATATGTTCTTTAATTTAAGGTCTTGGATTTGAACGTGAGACTCTCCCTGAAAAAAAGAAACACAAGCTTGTCTTTTGTTTTTTTGTTCTTGTGATGAAAGTAAAGAAAATGAAAATGTATTTTTTTTCTCATAGAAAGTTAACCTTATTCTCATGTTCACAAGGTGGGTGAGGACAGTACTTCTGATCGATGTTGATTGGTTTTCCAACGTCAATCATCTGAATATTCTCGTATACGAAGTTCGAAACGAGGATTTTTGAGGCTGAAGATTCCCAAGTCTTGATCCGAATTCCATCGCTTGTACCGTTGAAAATGACGTCTCTTAATGTTAAGTCCTTCACGTCTTTCTCGTCTTTGTTTTTCCCTAAGCTTCCGACACTGATCCCATGTCCGGGACCGCACTTAACGTTAGAGATATCGAGGTTAGTGGTTCCAGAGAGAATGGCGATACAATCGTCTCCAGTACCAATGTTTGTGTTTGAGATGTGAATGTTACTACATGAACCCATCTTGATACCGTCGGTGTTGGGACTATCGCCGGGAGCTGTTATAGTGACGCCAGTAATGTTAAAGTGATGGACGGAGAAGAAGTTGAAGTGTCCCATTTTGCTGTTGAGTGATGTTATGTCTTTGATATTCGAGTTGTTCACGAATGCAAATCCCATAGTCTATGAAAACAATTTCAAGTTTATTAAAAGACTCGATTTAAATGTAAATAATCATCATATTCTTTTAAAATGAAGCAACAAGTGAAAAAGTTTAAGAAATGTTACCATAGCTAGTTTAGGACAATTGGAGTTTTTGTGGCAGTCATTGAGTGGCCAAGACTGTTTCCCTTGACCGTCAAGTGTACCGGAACCAGAGATAGAGAGATCGTTGATATACCTAAAGTTGATCCATGTGTCTTGCTTAATGTCACTAGGATTTGCAGGAGCCAATAAAGTTCCATCGATAATGAATTCAATAGGATTTTTGCATGGACCCACGAACTCTACACCACCGAGGTAGAATGTTCCTTTTGGTACATAAATTTTACTACTTCCACTTTTCCTTCTGCATGCACGGCTCCATACACTTGTGAATGCCTAAAAATCGTATGCATTAAGAATGATATAGGTTAAACAAAATAAATCAAAATTTTAAATATATATATCTTTGTGTTTGTATATTGGTCATATATAGTTGTGTAATATTCATAGATTTTCATCTCAAAAATAATTGTTGCTAAATACTAAAATAGGAAAATTTTGGTGTACATACGTTGGCGTTATCAGTTTTTCCATCTGGTTTAGAACCATGGCGTTGGACATTAAAAGTTTTTGGTCTGACGGTGGAACGACTTGCAACAACAATGAACAAGAGAGACAAACACAAAGCCTTAAACGCAAAAACAATGTAAGCCATCTTATTCTTTTGTTTAAAGTATATATGGAAATAAGAAAAACTTGTTGTTTATCAATATTTGTTCTAAGAGATAATGAGAAGTGTTGCCCACTTTATTTGCTTTTATAGAGTTAGCATGTTTTGATGAACTGTTAGAAAAACTTGATTATTGTTACTAATTAACAACAAAAATTGGGTTGTTTTTTTTGGTAATGATTATGATTGGTTAATATGTTGTTATATAGGTTTTTGAGTGTACTGTATATGGTTTATTTTTTGTTCTCACCTTTAAAACGGAATCTACAATTTGGCGAATGTGCTAATCATATTTACCAATTAATTGTTTTTTTGTTTCTTCTAATTTAAATTGCATATAACTAAAGATGTTTTCCTAATGCTCTATTTTCTTATTATTTTAAGGGATATTAAATTTTAGTTGTTTTGTTAACGTATATTTACATTTGTTTGCCTTTCTATGGTTTGATGTTTTTTATTCACAAATCAAAAATTACAAGAGATTATATTAAATCGAATAAATGATTACTTACTAAATTAAGTAATTAGTGAATTATGTCAATTTTAATTTTTCATCACATTTTTTTTTTCTCGCCAATTAAATTTTTCATCACATAAAAACAAATAAGTCGAAGAAATTTCACGGATATCGATCGATGAGGATAAACAAAATTCCAGCTACGCAGTAGAACCACAAGCTTGCCACGCGCCTTGACCCATCTCTCAATCTTGTACGTACACGTGTCTCTCATCCGCAGCCTCATCATCATCAACACATCACAATCTCGATTTCATTATTTCTCACAAAGACAAAATCCATTCGTCTTCTCCAATTTTCTCGCGAAGAAAACTTTCCAACTAATCTAAACGACAAAATGCTTTGCAAGACTGTTTCTTCATCTTCTTCTTCAGCTCTCTCTCTGGTGAATTTCCACGGCGTGAAGAAGGATGTGTCTCCTTTGTTATCTTCCATTTCGTCGAATCTTCGAGTCTCTTCTGGAAAATCTGGAAACTTCTCTTTCTCTGTTCGCGCATCTAAGAGCTCAACCACCGATGCGCTAAGCGGCGTTGTATTCGAGCCGTTTAAGGAAGTGAAAAAGGAGCTCGATCTCGTCCCAACCAGCTCTCATCTCTCACTCGCTCGACAAAAGTACTCAGACGAGTGCGAAGCCGCCATTAACGAGCAGATCAAGTAGGCTATTCTTTCTCACCTCACTCTCTTAGATTCGGTATTGTAATCTGGTTGATTAGCTATAGGATTTGGTACTTGAAACCTCATGTAGATTCTGCTTATAGTTTATCCTGTGGATTCTGAAATTCTTCAAATGGATTTCGGATTTTGGTTGTAGTGTGGAATACAATGTCTCGTATGTGTATCACGCTATGTATGCGTACTTCGATCGGGATAACATCGCGCTCAAGGGTCTTGCCAAGTGAGTCTCTGGTTACGCAAGAGTGTTTGATTGTTGATAGTTTCGGATTTTTTGTTTATACGTAGTTAATTGTTGGTTTCAGGTTCTTTAAGGAATCAAGTTTGGAAGAAAGAGAGCACGCTGAGAAGTTAATGGAGTATCAGGTCCTATGAAAGCTATTTCCATTTGTTTACCTAATTGGAGCTTATTATGTTCTAACATGTTTTACTTTTTCTTACATGAATTGCAGAATAAACGTGGTGGCAGGGTTAAGTTACAGTCCATTGTAATGCCTCTTTCAGAGTTTGAACATGTCGACAAAGGAGATGCTCTATATGGTAAGCTCTCAAAAGTTGGTACCACTTTGTATCTATTGATGCTTTATAGGTTTCTCTACACGAAAAATCCCAAGTGAAAATTATCTTTAGTTTCATATGTCTGCCACATTCTAAGTCATAAAATTTGGAGAAATTAGATATTGACACCAATGTTTTGTAAGCTTTTGAAGAGATTGCAAGTATTCATTGGCAAGGACTGGATTTTATCTCAGCTCTAAGTATCATGAAAATGTTTCTCTCATATGGAGATTGAAGTCTCAATGGATAAAGGTTTTAACATACAATTCTGTGATTTGTTGTGGCAGGCATGGAGCTGGCTTTGTCACTGGAGAAACTAGTTAATGAGAAGCTCTTAAACCTTCACAGTGTAAAGACCATCTCTTCTTGAGTTTATACTATATTTGTCAAATCCCTATTTGAGGAGTAAATCTAATCTTCACTTTGCAAGAACTGTTTAATAGGTTGCTTCAAAGAACAATGATGTGCACTTGGCAGATTTTATTGAGAGCGAGTTTCTGACCGAGCAGGTAAACTCATTTGGTGTTCTATGTTAGTGGCAAAGGACTGCTTTTGTTTCTAAGCTGTCAAAGAGAATCTAATAGGAATTTTTGATAAAATACAACATTTCTCAGGTGGAAGCAATCAAGATGATCTCAGAATATGTGGCTCAACTGCGACGAGTTGGCAAAGGACACGGTACATAATAATCTCTCACATTTTGTTTGAATCTACAAAGATACAAAAGAACAACAAAATCCACTTATTCATCCTCCACTTTCAGGAACATGACATTTACTTGTTTTAATGTTTTGGGGTATTTTCAGGAACTTGGCATTTCAATCAGATGCTTTTGGAAGGGTAAGCAGCTTCGAGGGGCTCTTGTGTCTAGTGTGTTTCTATATGAAGCTCTCTTAGTGATATGTATGGAGCTAGTTTATGTTTAGTTCTTCAGCTTTAACGATTTTGTGAGGTAGACTTCTTTTTTTTTTTGGTAAGAGACAAAGACATGACTTTAAATTCTGGTCTAAGGTTCATCAACCCACCTGGTGATCGATTCTGTAGTTACAGTCTGGTTCAATCTGAATCCACGATCGGTTCGATCTGAATAAATTTCGATTGCCAAATGTTGATTCGACTTTCAAGCTCAAAGCGTATGAGTGGGTTTAGTGCTGCTTCAAACGCAATTCATGAACAAGCAAAAGAAATTGATGAACGAGGAAATAAAATCGATCCATTGGGCCCCCCAAAACCCATGAAACTCTATTTTGTGGCCCAATTGAAACCTAATTGTTTATCCGACACGGCGCCGTTTTTAATTGGCATCTTTGACGCAAGTCGCCAAATTTTCCGTTTGTATTCCTTGCTCATCTCTTATCCCTAGCCATAAATTTCAGCCTGATTTCTCCGTCGCCTAAAAGTCTAAAACCCTAAGTTTCTCATAGCTTTTTCCGATTCAACAAAGAGTGAATTCGCGTGACCTGAAGCAGTATCGAAATTTTCCAATCATGGCGAGTCAAGCACCGAATCTCGAGTGTCGGATGTACGAGGCGAAATACCCAGAGGTGGATATGGCGGTGATGATCCAGGTGAAGAACATCGCCGATATGGGAGCCTACGTTTCTCTCCTCGAGTACAACAACATCGAAGGCATGATCCTCTTCTCCGAGCTCTCTCGTCGTCGGATCCGAAGTGTCAGCAGTTTAATTAAGGTCGGAAGAATTGAGCCTGTCATGGTTCTCCGTGTGGACAAAGAGAAAGGTTACATTGATCTGAGCAAACGTAGAGTCAGTGAGGAAGATATTCAGACTTGTGAAGAGAGGTATAACAAGAGCAAGCTTGTGCATTCTATCATGCGCCATGTTGCTGAGACTCTATCTATTGATTTGGAGGTAAAATCTTCCAAGTTACTCTAGATTTTAGTAGTTGAATCTAGGGATTATCTGCTGGAATTGGATTTTGACGAGTGTTGTTCATCTGAATTTGGGATTTGCTGGTTTGAGATGTTATCAAATCTCTGAATTTAGGTGCTATCAATAGTTTAGTGATGTAATCGTTGATTATAGATTGATTCGAGCTTTCATGTTGCAGGAGTTGTATGTGAACATTGGTTGGCCTTTGTATCGAAGACATGGTCATGCTTTTGAGGTAAGAATTTGTGAATTTTAGATTCATTGTATCTCTATTTTTATTTGTGAAATTAAATATATTTTTATTTTTGTTCAGGCCTTCAAGATCTTAGTGACCGATCCTGATTCAGTGTTGGGTCCCCTCACCCGTGAGATCAAAGAAGTTGGACCCGATGGACAAGAGGTATATACTTTGTTCTCTGGTTTTGTTTTAGTGGTCAGTAGAAACTTCATTTGAGGCTAATCTTAGAAGTTATCTGTTTGTAGGTGACAAAGGTTGTACCTGCTGTTACGGAAGAAGTGAAAGATGCACTTGTGAAGAACATTAGGAGGAGAATGACACCACAACCAATGAAAATCCGGGCTGATATCGAATTGAAGTGTTTTCAGTTTGATGGAGTTGTTCACATTAAGGTCATTATCTCTTATTGGATTATCTTTAACTTGTTAAGAGAATACATTATGATTCATTTGATTTTCTCACCCGTGCTTGCAATCTCAGGAGGCCATGAGAAATGCTGAAGCCGCTGGAAACGAAGACTGTCCTGTTAAGATTAAGTTGGTTGCTCCACCTCTGTATGTCCTTACTACTCAGACACTTGACAAGGTTAGCCAGTCTTCTATCTTGTATTATGATTTACTTGGTTTGGCGAAGTACAGAAACCCTCCCCTACTTATCGTTAAGAGGTTTATGATCTCTTTTTAGATTGTATATCCACTAAAGCAACTTGCCAGAATTTTGATTGCAAAGTTGAAATCATTTAGTTTCAAGGAAAGCAGAGGCTTAAGAAAAGACATACAGATACTAATGTTGTCATTGCAACTTTATAAGCCAATTATGTAGCTTTGCGGATCTGTCTTCACTCAAACCATAAATGTGTAAAATGCTATGTTTTGTCCCATTTTTCCTAATCTTCTCAGTTTCTATCTTATATTAAACAGGAGCAAGGGATTGAAATTCTAAACAAAGCCATAGCAGCATGCACTGAGACAATTGAGACACACAAAGGCAAGCTTGTCGTTAAGGAGGGAGCTAGAGCTGTGAGTATCTTATCTTCTTTTTTACTGATGAACCGTCGCAAGATCCAGCTTTCCTTTTGTGTTTTGTTTATTTTGGTTTACAAATTACAACCGACTATTAATGTTAATAATCTGTGTTAAATTATAGGTGAGTGAACGTGATGACAAGATGCTGACAGAACACATGGCTAAGCTACGTCTTGACAATGAAGAAATTAGTGGCGATGAAGAGAGCGGAGACGAAGAAGAGGACACAGGGATGGGCGAAGTGGATCTCGATGGTGGTGCCGGAATCATTGAGTAAGATTGCCGGATTGATTGTTTTGCGACTAATTTTCTTTCTATTAAATCTACCCAGTCTCAACAGTTGAGTATTTTGTTTTAAGCTTTGACAAGGCAGTAGAAAAACCTCCGAGAGGATTTATGTGCTTTTTGATGACTAGGCATTTTATTTTACCCATAGGGGGTTACATATCAATCATACATTCATGGTTTTATAAAAGATTGATTTTTTTGCATATGTTACTGCTCGAGAATTTGTTGCTCCACCACATAGCTCAATATGATCATAGTTAACACTTAACACTATGTATTGACCAAATGATAAACCTCAGGAAAGTAGGTTGATTGGATCTGGCAGTGAGCGGTATGTAGATTTAATTAGATCTGATGTCTCCGGAAAAAATCACAAAAACAAAATGCTTTAAAACCTCTGATTGATTTATGATTATACAAATAGTATGATTTATTACAAAAATAAACATTTGTCTTATACTTTTTTTTTGGTAATCAACATTTGTCTTATACTAATCATAAAAGAAAAATATTTCGGACACAAATTCTTTTTTACTCTGTCGGCGCATAAAAAATTACATTAACCTCTGCGAAACCGAAATGTGAAAGTTGCGACTTTTGGAGCTCTGCTCAGCTCAACACCTTGCTTCTTCTTCTTCCTTAAAACGCGTCTCGTACACTGATCTCTAATGATCTTTCTTCTTCAATGGCGATATCAGTACAACACGTCGTCGTTTTACTCCTCTCCACTCTCCTCATCGCCATCACCTTCTTCCTCCTCACCTCCGATAACGCCACATTCCCTTTCCCTTCTCTCTCCCCCACCGATTACTACACACCAAACCCCAAATCCCCAATTCCTCACCAAAACGTCGACGTTATCTCAGATCAAACTTCACAGAAGATGAAGATGAAGCTCAACTCTTCTCAAGAGGTGGAGATGAAATGGGATCTATGTAAAGGTGCAGAATCTGTTGATTACATACCTTGTCTTGATAATTACGCTGCAATTAAGCAGCTCAAATCAAGGAGACATATGGAGCATCGAGAACGTCATTGCCCTGAACCAAGTCCTAAATGTCTCATACCCTTGCCGGATAATTATAAGCAGCCGGTTCCGTGGCCTAAGAGCCGGGATATGGTGAGAGACAGTTCCTGTATTTGTTTTTGGTAAGATTTGGTTGCTGCTCTTGATCAGCTTGATCTGAAGATATATGATTTAGTTTAGTGACCCATTTGAGTATGTAGAAGTTTCTGTCAAAGGAAAAGTGAAAGATCCGTTTTTTTAGGGTCGGATAGATTCAAAGTTAACATTTTTAGAGTGTTATAGTTTCATGAATTAGGCTATTGGAACATTTCTTTATTTGTTTACTCTATAATGTGCAGATTTGGTATGACAATGTTCCTCACCCCAAGCTTGTTGAATACAAGAAAGAACAAAACTGGGTTAAAAAAGACGGTGAATTTCTAGTTTTTCCTGGAGGAGGTACTCAATTCAAATTCGGGGTTACTCATTACGTTGAGTTCATCGAAAAGGTCAGCACTTTCTTACCGCTGTTTCCCCTGTTTTCTTCGAATCGAAAGCATTTATCTTTGTGTGAAGTTCATTTCATATTCACAGGCTTTACCGAGTATCAAATGGGGGAAAAACATAAGGGTTGTATTAGATGTTGGTTGCGGTGTTGCTAGCTTTGGCGGGTTTTTATTAGATAAAGATGTCATTACAATGTCGTTTGCCCCTAAAGATGAACATGAAGCTCAGATTCAATTTGCGTTAGAACGAGGAATACCTGCAACACTTTCTGTTATTGGAACACAACAGCTTACGTTTCCGAGCAATGCATTCGATCTTATCCATTGTGCGCGGTGCAGAGTCCATTGGGATGCTGATGGTATTTCTTTTGTTCTTTTTGTTTTGTCCCCATTAACCATTTTTTTTTTTTTTTTTGAACAAAGTCCCCATTAACCATTAAGCTTCTCGGTTTTCATGTTCTTTTCGGTTATTTTGTTAGGTGGGAAGCCGTTGTTGGAGCTCAATAGGGTACTCAGGCCAGGAGGTTTCTTCATATGGTCTGCGACACCAGTCTATCGAGATAATGACAGAGATAGCAGAATTTGGAATGGTTAGCAACAATCATTTTCTTGATTTGATTATTCAACACAGATCTTGATCTTTATGTTTATAATTGTCAAAATTTCTGTTTTGCAGCAATGGTTTCTCTGACTAAATCCATTTGCTGGAAGGTTGTGACAAAGACAGTTGATTCCTCTGGAATCGGACTTGTGATCTATCAAAAGCCAACTTCAGAATCCTGTTATAATAAACGCAGCACACAAGATCCACCTCTATGCGATAAAAAGGAAGCAAATGCTTCATGGTATAAAACTTTTACACAAAATGATGCTTCACATTCACATATAAGTATGTATAGTATGTCCACTTTTTTTTGTAACATTTTCTTTTGATCAATTCAAGGTATGTTCCTCTTGCCAAATGCATTTCCAAATTACCGAGTGGAAATGTCCAGAGTTGGCCTGAACTATGGCCTAAACGGCTTGTGAGTGTTAAACCGCAAAGCATTTCAGTTGAAGCAGAAACATTGAAGAAAGATACAGAAAAATGGTCAGCAATTGTATCTGATGTTTATCTCGAACATCTAGCTGTAAACTGGTCGGCTGTGCGGAATGTGATGGACATGAATGCTGGTTTTGGCGGGTAATTTTTACAATCTCTGAAACTTTAACAAGAATCCGGTTTATCCCAAACTGAAACTTGACACCAGTTATTCTTCTTTTCTTTTTGGTACAGTTTTGCTGCTGCACTTATAAATCGACCACTCTGGGTGATGAATGTTGTCCCTGTGGATAAACCTGACACTCTCTCCGTCGTTTATGATCGAGGCTTGATCGGAATTTACCATGATTGGTGTGAGTCCCTCAACACTTACCCTAGAACATACGATCTGCTACATTCCAGTTTCCTCCTGGGTGATCTCACACAAAGGTAAACAACATATCTGAATTTGTATCTCTATAGAGTTTCAATTCTTTAGCAGTAGCCAGCAGGCATTCACTGTCTTGGTTCGGTGCTTTCTGCTTTCGGTCACGGTTAGCTTAACCAGAATCGGATTAGTCCTAAGAAACTCGGTTTGATATTGCGGTTAGTGTGGTTAACTTTTTGTTGGTGTTTTTGGGTCAATTTCAGGTGTGAGATTGTACAAGTGGTAGCTGAGATAGATAGGATAGTGAGACCAGGCGGATATCTTGTGGTACAAGACACCATGGAAACAATAAAGAAGCTTGAATACATACTTGGTTCGCTTCATTGGTCAACCAAAATATACCAGGACCGGTTTTTTGTTGGTCGGAAGGGGTTTTGGCGTCCCGCTAAACCGGAACTCTGATAGACAGAAAGAAACATAAACAAACTAGCAAAGTAATTTCTTTTGTACACTATCAATGCATGACGCAACCAGATTATATCACAGTGTACCCCATTAAACTGAACCAACTTTACCAAGGGGATTTTGTTTTGCATATATATACATATTTATGATTTGGTTATAACAAAAAAAAAATCCTTATATACACCGATTAGTTAGACAATTATTCATAAATGAAAATATCATATACAACACATCGTTATTGTTTTGATGGATCGTCAATTTAGACAATGTTGAGGAACCATTTTACCGCGTACAGAACCATCAACATTCTCGCACACCGCAGTGGAAGAACCATCTTCGAGTCCATTATGCTTTATGTTAATGTCAATCAGTTCCACATTCTTGCACGGAAAACTTTTGCTACATTGCAGGTTCACTGCCACTTTGTTCTTCGACGTTCCATATATGTTCTTTAACTTAAGGTCTTGGATTTGAACGTGAGACTCTCCCTGAAAAAAAAAAACACAAGATGTCTTTTGTTTTTTTTCGTTCTTGTGATGAAAGTAAAGAAAATGAAACTTGTTTTTTTTTTCGCATAGAAAGTTAACCTTTTGCTCATGTTCACAAGGTGGGTGAGGACAATATTTTTGATCGATGTTGATTGGTTTTCCAACGTCAATCATCTGAATATTCTCGTATACGAAGTTCGAAACGAGGATTTTTGAGGCTGAAGATTCCCAAGTCTTGATCCGAATACCATCGCTTGTGCCGTTGAACACGATATCTCTTACCGTTAAGTCTTTCACGTCTTTCTCGTCTTTGTTCTTCCCTAAGCTTCCGACACTAATCCCATGTCCGGGACCACACTTAACGTTAGAGATGTCGAGGTTAGTGGTTCCAGAGAGAATGGCGATACAATCGTCTCCGGTACCAATGTTTGTGTTGGAGATGTGAATGTTACTACATGAACCCATCTTGATACCGTCGGTGTTGGGACTATCGCCGGGAGCTGTTATAGTGACGCCAATAATGTCAAAGTGATGGACGGAGAAGAAGTTGAAGTGTCCCATTTTGCTGTTAAGTGATGTTATGTCTTTGATATTTGAGTTGTTCACGAATGCAAATCCCATAGTCTTAAGAAACAATTTCAAGTTTATTAAAAGACTCGATTTAAATGTAAATAATCATCATATTCTTTTAAAATGAAGCAATAAGTGAAAAAGTTTAAGAAATGTTACCATAGCTAGTTTAGGACAATTGGGGTTTTTGTGGCAGTCATTGAGTGGCCAAGATTGTTTCCCTTGGCCGTCAAGTGTACCGGAACCGGAGATAGAGAGATTGTTGATGTACCTAAAGTTGATCCATGTGTCTTGCTTAATGTCCCTAGGATTCGCAGGAGCCAATAAAGTTCCATCGATGACGAATTCAATAGGATTTTTGCATGGACCCACGAACTCTACACCACCGAGGTAGAATGTTCCCTTTGGTACATAGATTTTACTTCTTCCACTTTCCCTTCTGCATGCACGACTCCATACACTTGTAAATGCCTAAGTTTGTATAGGACCATAGGTTTAGGATGACATAAGTTAATTTTGTTTGTGGGAATATAATTGAATTAGGAAAGTTCACATGTACATACATTGGCGTTATCCGTTTTGCCGTCCGGTTTAGAACCATGGCGTTGGACATTGAAAACTTTTGGTCTTCCGGTGGGACGACTTGCAACAACAATGAACAAGAGAGACACACACAAAGCCTTAAACGCAAAAGCAATGCTTGCCATCTTATTCTTTTGTTTAAAGTATATATGGAAGAAAAACTTGTTGTTTATCAATACTTGTTCTAAGAGATAATGAGAAGTGTTGCCCACTTTATCTGCTTTTATAGAGTTAGCATGTTTCGATGAACTGTTAGAAGAACTTGATTATTGTTACTAATTAACAACTAAAATTGGGTTGTTCTTTTTGGTAATGATTATGATTGGTTAATATGTTGTTATATAGGTTTTTGAGTGTACAGTATATGGTTTATTTTTTGTTCTCTCCTTTAAAACAGAATCTTCAATTTGGTGAATGTGCCAATCATATTTACCAATTAATTTTGTTGTTTGTTTTAATTTAAATTGCATAAAACCAAATTGTTTTTCTAATGCACTCTTTCTTATTTGTTCCAATTTTAAGGAATATTTAATTTTAGTTGTTCTGTTAGCTTTTTTTCATCTAAAATCACAAATTACAAAAGATTATATTAAATTGAATAAATGGTTATTTACTAAATTAAGTAATTAATGAAAGAGCTTTTTAGCTGCAACATCAATTTTCATCGCATAAAACAAAATTACACAGCTTTAAAACAAATAAGTCCATGAAAAATTGTCGGAAAAAAAAATTTATGTTAGTCCTTGAAACTGAATTTCGAAAAAATGGCGGCCAAACCCGCATGTCTTTCTCAGTATACTATAGAGAGTGCTTGGTGGTGTTCGGAGATGTTTGTTGATGCTTGAAGACGTTTAATGATGCATGCTTGGTAACGTTCATCGCCTTAGGCTAATGAGAATTGATCAGCGGCTCATAGGATACGAAATTGAACATGTGTAATGTTTCATACTTTCATAGTTTCGGTTTTTTTTTTTTTTTTTTTTTTTTAAATCTAAGAGCAAGCCCAACGGGGGGTTTTTAGAGTTTCTTAGGGCAAGAATCCTTCAGAAAATGGCCCAATTTAAATCAAACATAAGAAATAATGTTAGAAACGCACCTAAATTAAGGATTTTTTTTGGTTTTAAGAGGCCATACATGTCAACTTCTCATTGGTGTGTGTTTAATGAGAAAACAACCAATTTTCTTCAACCTTCTTCATTTCGCGATTTAGCTTTCTCTCTCTATTTTCCTTGTAAACTCCGATGGCGATCTTCCATGTAGACTCTCGATCTTCATCAGGCGTCTCAATCATCAAATCGTCACAGAAATCCGATGAAATTGGTCTCTTTCCCTCCGTGATCATTATCTCCTCCGACGGAGCTCACCATCAGCGAGGTCGGTGAACCGTATCGGAGAGTTTCGGCTTCAAATCTCAGAGATTTAGGTGAAATATATATTTTTTTAAGAAACCTAGTTAAGGACTCACCATTGGATAAAGAAAATTTTAAGGATTCATCAAAAACTCTTAACTTTAAAATTGTTGTAAAGTAAGATTAAAATATGTTTAAGGATCCTTTTAAGGACTCAACCATTGTTGTTGCTCTAAGTTCTGCATGCGATGTTTAAGCTTTCGAATGTTTTCATCATTAGACTAGAAAGTTTTCAGAATGTATTTTATTTTTGTCGGAGTTATGATATGTAATCTCTTTTTAACTTTTTAGGCTTATTAATAAATTCCGACGACCAAAACAAAAAGTAAAAATGTAAATGAAATGTTTTGGCCATTTTGGGTAAGAAATTTTTTTCTAATTTTATTTAGATATCATTCTTATCTAGTATTTTCATTCGTCATAAATATATTTGACTCGCTCACTTTTTCAGTATTTTAACATTCTCATTTCTTCTAGTTCTAGAGTTCGTCATTGATCTTCTCTAATGTTTTCGAATTGGCTTCAATTGCGGAGACGTCGTCACCAAATTTCTCCGGACTCACCTAAATGGCCGAGACATTTCTCTTGTTCATCTTTCAAAGACATTCAAAACCTTCTCCATGAAGACGACTCCCCACCAAAACCCTACTCTCTACAGGGTCAAATCATCCACCAGCCTCGGAGTCCTAGGATTCAGAGATGTATCTCAAATGTCAGTTTCTTACCGCCAATGCCAACACCAACACTTTTCTCTACCGTGGATATCCCCAGCGCCGATCATCGAGGCGTTGTTCTCTACTACACTAGCCTTCGAATCATACGTAAAACATTCGAAGAATGTAAATCTGTGCGATCGATCCTTCGTACATTTCGTATCAAAACGGACGAGCGAGATTTATCAATGGATTCGAAGTTTCAAGATGAGTTACAAACAATTTTTGGAACCAAGAAAGTTGTGTTGCCTATGGTTTTTATCAGCGGAAGATATATCGGCGGGATGCAAGAGATTAAGAAGTTACAAGAGAACGACGAGTTGAGGAAGCTGATCGACACATTACAACCATCAGATAAAATATTTGATGAGATATGTGATTTGTGTAGAGGATGGAGATTTGTTGTGTGTGACCGGTGTAGTGGTAGCCACAAAATCTTCTTGGAAAAATATGGGTTTACAAATTGTACGAGTTGCAATGTGCAAGGTTTGATTAGGTGTGTGTCTTGTTTTCCGATGCACCGACGACGGAATTTGGAGAGCTCCGGTAGAGTGAAATGTATGAATTAATGATAAAATCTAAATTAAGAAAAAAATCCTTGTAAGCCTAAAAGTATCTAAAATGTTATATATAAAGAAAGTGAAATTTAGGAAGAGTAAGAAATAACAAAGTTTGACTAGTTTTTTTGACTAGCTTCACCCCATTTATCTTGTATATGTTCTCTTCTTCGTCTTTTTTTTTTTTTTAAAGCTTATATCGTTTTTGTTTTGTTTTGATAACTGAAAACTCTCAATCAAAATCTAAACTAATCTTTGTTGTATGTGAAAGATCTTATGTGCTTATCATTTCAAACGTTTATAGTAGCTAATAATCATAATTGAAATCGTAGTTGATAGATTCAAACATGGTCCTCTCACTTCTAGATAAATCTTTCAACTACTAGACCAACCTGAATTAGTTAGATCTTTCGTTTTTGCTCATTGCCGAAGCTAAGCTCCAAAACCATATCCTTATCCATTGAAGAATAATTATTTCGCCAACAACATAGGTAGGAAAATTGTTTATTATCTTAGATTCTCAAGGCAATTTTGTTTTTAAAAAAGAAATTGTTTTTTTCGCAGTGGTTCCTATAACAATAGAATATGGAAATGTTGACAAAATAAAAATAGTAGAATATGAATTAGAATAAGATAATTAAAACATATAGGGGTTTGCTTGATGACAAGTGACCAGACCACGAGGATCCCACATGGGAAGAAAATTGGGGACGAAAAAAAGCAACATCTAAGCAACCTCCACTTTGAAATAGTCTCACAATACTTAAAGATGACAATCATTCCTTCAACTTCAATCATTCAAATATCATCACACCAAATCTACGTGGCACTTTTTTTTAATACGTTCGTCGAATTTTATTACAAGCAATACAAATGGTAAGAAATAACCAAGAAAATCAAGAAGGTAGAACCAGTCCCTACGCCACAAGTCTTTTTAGACGGTGGCTGGCTTGAGCCTTTTCTTTTGAACCCTTTTAGTTCTGCCACTACATGTTATTATTAACCCGTATTACACATATTTTTCACCTAACGTTTATAAATATGAAAATAAATTGTTTATTTTAGATCCCATATTCATATTCAATACTAAGTTTTGATGATAGTTTTTTAATTTCACAAAAATCCTCACCACTTTGAGTTACAATGCAATAAGATTAATTTGAATGGAAGACTTGTAAAGAAAATAAAATTATTTTCGTGGTTTGGAATAGGTCAAGTATGGTTCGAACATGGTACGATGTTGGTATTTGACAGTAATCGTTGGAAAAAAAAAAAAAAAAGTTTCTGGAAAATATTTAATTTTCATGAAAATACAAAAGAAAAACGTTTTGATTGGTTAATAAATAATAAGCAACCTTGTTTGTTGACCAAAAACAATAAAATAAAAATTCTCATTAAGTCGACTAGTTTCCTCTATCGGGCAAAACACGGCGGACGCGGTTTCTTCCCTCAAAACTCATAAGTCTCTTTTTGGCTTCAGCTTCTTCCGGTTTTTCTGATTGTCTCTGCTTCTCATCTCTAATCTCGAATTCTACTTCGATTTCATCATCTTCTTCTGCTCAACTCTTACTACTGTTGTCTTCTCGATTCACACGATCCATGTTCAAAATGCGTTTCTTTTTGGCTTTTGTGATCCTTCTTAGCTACTTGGGTTCTTGTTTCTCGCTCAAAGAAAAAGGTAGAGAGAGTTTCATCGTTTTACTTACTCTTTTTTGTCTCTTTTTAGTTGTGTAGAAACAGAATCCAGTTCCTTGATTCATATCCTCTGTTTCGCTTTTGCGTTTTCAGCTGTAGATTTTCTGAAAAGTGAAGATAGTTTAAAGAAAGATCTATCTTCAGATGAAGATTCAACGACTTTGTAAGTAGTAGCTTTAGTTTTCTGAGATTTCCAGTGGCTCTTTGGATTAGAACAGATATATAGTCAGGGGTTGGTAGATCTACAAATTTCTCTAACCATTCCATAGCTTCATTTTCTCTATCTATGTATGGTAGAAAGAAACTGTTGTTAATTGTAACCGACACTTATTCATGCTTATAAACTATATAACTTACTATATTTTAGAGCATGTTTTTTGCAATGGCTTCAATTTCGTTTTCTACCTTTTGTTAGGAAAGCTTTTGGATTTCACAGGAAAACACTTGTCCGTTACCCTTACAGAGATTTGCCTTCAAGAAAAGACCGCAAAAACCGTGTTGTGGCTGCAACTATCACACCATCATCATCCCCAAAACCTTCTCCTAAACATGTTTCAACAGTTCCGGAGCCACAAAAGAGATCATCTACACAAGTTGTTTCACCTTCTCCTTCTGTGTCACTTGTAAATCCTTCCACTCCAAGAAACTCTCATTCTTCTTCAGTGGCTGTTCCTTTAGTGGTTGGCTGCGTAGGCGGTGCCTTTTTTCTTCTCCTTGTAGTTACCGGTGTCTACTTTTTCACTAGTAAGGCGGGGAAAACAGTGAATCCTTGGCGTACTGGTCTTAGTGGACAACTTCAGAAAGTATTCGTAACTGGTAATTTTCTTTCTTAAATTGTTACATGGCATATAATGTTGTGGTTTCATCAATGTGTGATTTTTTGATACTCAGGTATACCTGTACTCAAAAGATCTGAGATTGAAGCTGCATGTGAAGATTTTAGTAATGTCATTGGATCTTGTCCCATTGGGAAATTGTTCAAAGGAACATTATCAAGTGGAGTGGAGATTGCTGTTGCTTCTTTTGCTACTACATCTGCCAAAGACTGGAAGGACAATACAGAAATTCACTTTAGGAAGAAGGTATTGTTTTCCCCATTTTTGATTTCTTATAACAACAATATATATAGTCGACTTTAGCGTGTTCTGTTTCACAATTTCAGATCGAAATGTTATCGAAGATCAACCACAAGAATTTTGCAAACCTTCTTGGGTATTGTGAAGAAAAGGAACCTTTCACTAGGATCTTGATCTTTGAGTATGCTCCAAATGGGTCACTCTTTGAGCATTTACACTGTGAGTACTTGTGTCATAAGCTACACAATGTCACATGTTGGCTTGTTTTCCTTGTGATCTAAAGGGAAGCAAAACATATATTTTTTTGTTACAGTTAAAGAATCAGAACACTTGGATTGGGGAATGCGGTTAAGAATTGCAATGGGATTAGCATATTGTCTTGACCATATGCACCAACTCAATCCACCTATAGCTCACACCAATCTCGTCTCGTCATCTCTTCAGCTCACAGAGGATTATGCTGTCAAAGTATCGGATTTCAGTTTCGGTCCATCTGAGACAGAGACTAGCATCAACAACACAGTCATAGACACAAACATCTCAGTCTTGAGTCCACAAGAAAACGTTTACAGCTTTGGTTTGCTATTATTCGAAATGATAACCGGGAAACTCACAGAATCGGTTAACAAACCTGACTCGGTAGATAGGGCGCTGGTTGATTTCTTAAGAGGAGAGACTCTAGCCAAGATGGTAGATCCAACACTGGAATCTTATGATGACAAGATTGAGAATATAGGTGAAGTGATCAAATCATGCCTCAGGACCGACCCGAAAGAGAGACCTACAATGCAAGAAGTCACAGGATGGTTACGGGAGATCACTGGAATATCACCAAATGATGCTATGCCGAAATTGTCACCTCTTTGGTGGGCAGAGTTGGAGGTTTTGTCCACGGCGTAAGAGAAGCCCTTCACCAATAAAAGTGTATATATTTTGAAGATGTGAGTTTTGTAAGTGTCTTTTCTAGTTATCTCTAGTAATATTGGTATAACAAAATTGAAGTTCTCTTCAAGTTAAGTAACTCTATAAACATGTATAGATGAATTAATGTAAAAATTATATCCGTCTTCTTCTATATGAATGCATTCTTTTGTTCAATGTTATTTTGTAGCAAAATGATAAAGAAGAAATTGCCAAATACTTTAAAAGTATAAGTGTGCAAAAATATTTTATTCATGGTTGAAGAGAGATTTTATTCGTGAATAACTTGGCAAATACTTTTTTTTCCCTTTCAAATCAGTTAATTTTGTAACGAAAGACTAAAGAAAAAAAGATATCCAATAAAAATAAAGAGAGTCAAACATTTACGAACGAAATAATTAATTGTGATGGGTCAAAAAGTTAAAGTTGCTTCTGAAATTCTATATTTAGTAAGGAGTGTATTCAGAAGTAAGATGAGTGGATATTGTATATCTCCCCGTACTAGTGTCGGTGCAGATAACTAGAAGGTAAAATTTATAGCCTAAAGATATTATGAAACTCTGCAATCTTTATAATAACAAGTTTCCCTCTAGAGTTAGAAGACAGAAGAAACATTTTATCTCACTTTTGACGTTTAAGGAAGAGAGTTTTGGAGAGCAGAAAAATTAAGTTACAAGATTCTAGTGGCTTATGGCTAGTAAGAAACTTGTTCATTTCTGTTTTTTTTTTTTTTTTGGACAAAACTTGCTCATTCATGTTATGGTGGTTTTATATATGTCTTTTAGTTTTTTTTTTGAATTACTTCTTTTTACTTAGAAATTGTTGGTTTACTTTTTGCCTTTTTGAAACTTTGTTTGATAATTTCTTGCTACAACTTTGTATGTAGATCCTAACTTCGACTATGTTAAAAACAAGTGAGAGTATATGAAAATAAAAAGTTGATTTTTGTTGTGTAGTTAAGTTTACTTTGGTGATGGGAGAAACATAGTTAGATATGTTTAGTCTTCGCTTCTGGTCTTGATTGTCTGTATAGAACATATATGACTTAATATTTCACGGTTTATTCTAACTTTTGGATTTCGAGTGTGATATTTTTCAGGTGTTTGCTGCTGTTCCTGGCGAAATGTTACCCATATTTTAGCATTGACTGACACACAACTTCAACCATTAGTGGCTGATGTCCTTCGTATAATTCCCCATGATATCTTATGAGGCATAATGAGATCTAAACCAGATTCTAGAGTTAGAATCACCGTATGCATTTACAATACAAGTGGAGATATCAAACATGTGAGATTTGCATCTTATATCAAACGTGGGGTATAAGATGTGTTTATAATTCTTATTTGTTTTGAAGTACAAATCATGCCCATTTGCTTAGATGATGGTTTGGGCAATCATTATGGGAATAGTCGCAAACCAACTAGATCACGGTAAGAACAAAACATATAACTTTTTTCTTAACAAAAAAAAATTAGTTAATGAATTGTTTTCATATGTTTTTAGATATTTGTTGGGTTGTGGTCAGGTCCGGCCCGCCACACAATTTCAAGATACATGAGGATTGGGCCTCCAAAATTTTGAAGATTTTTAATAACAAAATTAGGCCCCAAAATTGTTTTGTTATTGCAAAATAGGCCTCAGTTTTTTGAAAGTTTTAGATTTAGTCTCAAATTTTAAATTTTATCTATTTATTATTGCAAAAATAGGCTTCATTTTCTGAAGTTTTAAGAGTTGGTCTCAAATTTTAACTTTTATCGATAAAACCCACAAAAAAAAATTGTTTTGTATTGGGCCTCATATTTATCTGGGCCGGCACGGGCTGTGGTCGCAAGAGATCTTATAAGGGCAGTGAGATTGATTAACTGTCGTGACACAAATCCTAACATAGAGTACTCGCAAGATTTGATTGATTTCACAGAGCAAATGAAGCAAAGACAAGTTCGCAAAAAGGGTCAATACTACTACACCTCAAGTATCAACTGAGGAATGCATTACGTAATGGAAAATGGAATTCAAAGGGAAGAAGATAGACCATTCACGGTGCCAATACATAAGCAGACAGTGCATATTTGTTGTAGAGAAGATCGTTTAATAAGTACAAATATCGATTTCAGGTCAGTGCTATTCTTTAAATGTCTTAGAAGAACATTTTAGTATTTTACTTATAAAAAAAATGAGAAGGGAGAAAAACTAAAATTTGGAGTTTTAGATGATGTTTTTAGAGATTTTGATTAAGAACAATAACGTTTTAAGATTCAGTCAAAATCATTATTCCACAGTCATTGTTTGATTGAATACATTTTCCTTTGGTGTCATCACTGAATTCCCCAAAACAAAAATAAATAATTTTCAAGCATCACATATGAAACGAAATTCCCAATTTTTTAATCCGACAAGCAACCTACATTCCACGAAGTTGCCCTGGTCAAAACTTTATTCGTTTTTATTATTAAAAATTGCGAACACGACTTTTGTCCTCATGGTAGTATAATAATGTCAGACCAAAAAACGATATGAAAGTGACTACGAATAATATAGTATGCTGTATGCAATTGTGTGGTTTCAAAACCTCAACTATTGGGCCATACTGATTGAGTACTTAGCTGCAGTGACTATGCATGCAAACCCATGCATAATACGTACAAATCTCATTATTATTTTATTCCTCTCGGTTCTCCCCTAACTTATTCTTTCCCATTAAAATATTTTTCGTTCACATATAGTATACACATTATTTGAGTAAAATTATATAATGTGTTACTTGAATTTTCTTCGGTCTAGTGTACCGTTTAGTTTCTACAATCTCAGATCTTCAGTTCAAACCCTATATTATTCAAAAGATTATAGGTTCCGAAATTGAGACACAAAAACAAGAAGACTTTGGTCCACGTTTAGAATTTGATTGATTCATATATGTATATATCAAGGAGAATGATTTAGTCTCGCGGTCAATTTCAACGGATTATAAGTTAGTAAATCAATATCGTAATTAATATTACTTTTTTTTGTCAAGACCGTGATTGATATTACTTAGCATTTGGTATCTGTTGGGTCGTATAATTGATCATGGGTTGTCTGAGGATGGAAGTAGGATTGTAGGGTAGATATGAAGAACGTCCTTCTAACGTAAATTATTATTGCTACAATTTCAAAACCAAAATATACGACAATTTTAATTCTTCCTACCAATTAATAACGACGACGAAAAGATACGATTACGGCTGGACATTGGGCTTCCAAAAAAGATTTTGAGAAACAGAAAGAAATGTCATACACCTAATTTATTTGACCGATGACTTTCACGTTATATCTGGTCACCATTCACAAAATTTGACACAGTATTTGCATGTCGCTTACACGAAAATTTCGCCTGCTTATGTTAGAGATTAGAGATACAAATCATGTATTATACATCATTTTATTTTCTAGGTTTTAATTTATTTTGAAAGTATGAGATAATTAATATTAATGTTTTAATAAACCTTTTTAATATAATCACCAAAAAAAATCTTTTCTAAGAAAGTCAAAAGTGAAAAGAAAAAAAAAAGTTTCCCAAAATTGAAGTTTCGATTGTTTTTAACGTAACTTACCAGTTTTCTGAACGTTTGTATGAAATATCTACTTGATTAGTACTTAATTAGACGTGTCTTTTGTTTAGTACTAGTAACTCACGCTATATCGAACGAACTTATCCACCCTGAATTCCAAACTAAATCAATTGGTTGCATGTGTGTACATACAGAAACTCAAGTTCAATTCTGTGATACGGAAGAATTCATGTGACTTATTAGCTTAGATTGTTATATTCTCTATCATAATAAAACAAAATACTGTATATATATTTGGGTTATATATCGAAAAGAGAGATGTACTATTTGCATGTATAGAGGGAGGCGCATGTGTAGATAATTATAGATAATATGAAATCGTAAGAGTAGTGGAGATGGAGACAAACCCGTGATTGTCGTTGGTGACAGAAACAAGTAGCAATATTTTCTTCTCGTGTCTTTCAGTGAAGACAGCCCAGCCAAGCACCTTTTAACTTCTGTCTGATTCCTCTCTCTATGCTCTGTCTCTCTCTCAATCTATCTATCTAATTATGCTTTTGGGTTAATTTCTTCTTTTTTCTGGTTTCACAGCTTTGGCTTTGAAGTCACGAGCCCATCCCCCTAACCATCCCCTTTTATGTTTTGCTTTTCTAGTCAATTTAATTTATGAGTTGTAACGATGGAAGAAGTTTCATTTATCCAATTAATGTGTATGCCTCATTAATGTTGCCTTCTTCCTATATTGCAAAAAGCTAGTTCGAATGGAACAAAAACACGTATCAAATCCAATGAAAGCCTAGATATATCATTCAAATTCATTATCAGTTTTTTTATTTGAAAGGAAAAAATTGTGAATCCTCACACTATATACATGCCATATTGAACCTTGATTTTATGTCATAAAATCGGTGATCTATTTTAGGAAAACATTTGATCTTTTACCATGAAAATGATCAATATCTAGACAAATTCTATACACTCCTTGGAGTTTCTTTTCACTCCCTATCACAACGAGATTCAAAAATTGAACTAATTGACTTAATAATTTTATATTATCTAATTTTTAAATATATCTTATGACTAAAGTTACCAATGTTTAATGAAAGTAAAAGTACCATTTTTGTCATGAGGTGTAATTCTAGATCTATCTTTCCCTAAGATGTATATAACTATAGAAAAACATTGGTTTAATAAAAAGCTATATATTAAATAGAATTTAGAATATCCGTTGCCATCATATACATATTTCAACATATATGTTGAGTCGGAGAGAGAGAGGGGGGGGAGAAAAAGGAATGATGGATACAAGCATCCAAAAAGTCATACACATAGACCTTCAAAAGTCTTCACCTTAAATTCCTAACACATATGTATGAGTGTGTGATCTTTGTTTGATCTTTGTCCAAAGAACTCCAAGATAGACCAAAAAGGTTCAACCCCCAAAACAAACAACACAAAAACAGCCAAATAGCTAGAGACCAAGATGAGATCAAGCAGCCAAAATTCTGAAAACTCCAAGACTTGTCTATCTAACAACTTCAAAGCAACCACCAAAAACGAAGAAGATAAAGATGAAGAAGATGATGAAGAAGGCGAAGAGGATGAAGAAGAGAGATCGGGAGATCAGAGCCCATCTAGCAATAGCTATGTGGAAGAGAGTGGGAGTCACCAGCATGATCAGAACAAGAAGAATGGTGGTTCCGTGAGGCCGTACAACCGCTCAAAGACTCCAAGGCTGCGATGGACACCGGAGCTCCATATTTGCTTTCTTCAAGCTGTGGAGAGATTGGGTGGACCAGATAGTTGAGTTTCAATTATATATATATGGATCAACATAAAGATCATTGCATATGTGAAGATCTCTAAATTTCTAGGGTTTTCTTGTTGATATGTATTTGGGTTTTCTTTGAATGATTTTGTTGAAACAGGAGCAACACCAAAGCTTGTTCTTCAATTGATGAATGTCAAGGGGCTAAGTATTGCCCATGTCAAGAGCCATCTTCAGGTTTTGCAAACTTCCACCTACACATATCTATATACATCATTGAGATCTTCGTCTGAATCATATTTACCACCTTTATTTTTTTCCTCTTAGATGTACAGGAGCAAGAAGACCGATGACCCTAATCAAGGTAGTTTACTTCAGATTTAAGTTAGGGCTTCTATGAATCTTATAATTGAATTCGACGAGATATTGATTCTTATTGTCTCTCTTGTTTTTATTTTTCTTATATATAGGAGATCAAGGATTTTCGTTTGAACACGGAGCTGGTTACACTTACAACCTTAGCCAACTTCCAATGCTACAAAGTTTTGATCAAAGGGCTTCTTCTAGTTTAGGGTATTTATAAACTCTTCAGCTTACTATCTTTAAAGTATAAGTTAAAATTACTTGTGCATAACTTGGAATGTATTCAATAGATACGGTGGGGGTTCGTGGACTGACCATAGACGACAGATCTACCGTAGCCCTTGGAGAGGCTTAACGACACGAGACAATACAAGAACAAGACAAACAATGTTTAGCTCACAGCCTGGCGAGAGATTTCACGGAGTTAGCAATAGTATTCTTGACGATAAGAACAAAACTATTTCGTTTCGAATCAATTCTCATGAAGGGATTCATGAGAACAATGGAGTAGCTGGAGCTGTTCCAAGAATTCATAGAAGTTTTCTTGAAGGTATGAAAACGTTTAACAAATCATGGGGACAGAGCCTCTCCTCTAATATTAAGTCCTCGAGCGCAACAATACCACAAGATCATATCGCTACAACACTAAATTCTTATCAATGGGAGAATGCTCGAGTGGCAGAAGGATCAGAGAATGTTTTAAAGAGGAAGAGATCATTATTGTCTGATGACTGCAATAAGTCAGACCAAGATTTGGATCTAAGCTTGTCCCTTAAGGTACCTCGGACACACGACAATCTTGGAGAATGCTTGTTAGAAGATGAAGAAAAGGAACATGATGATCATCAAGATAGCAAGGGTTTGTCTCTTTCATTATCTTCGTCGGGTTTATCAAAACTCGGTCGAACCATTAGAAAAGAAGATCAAAGTGATCATAAAAAGAGAAAGATTTCGGTCTTGGCAAGTCCCCTTGATCTCACTCTGTGAATATATATATCATAACTTATGTACGTATATTCTAAGTGAGATCTTGTGGTACTTGTTGATGAAAGACGGTTCTGTATTGTTTATCATTCGTTGCATACTTGTGACAAGACCCATAATTAAGGAAATAATAGAGACATTTTTTAACGTTTTTTTTTCTTTTCCATTTTACCACATATTTTTGTCGAGAACGTTAAAATGCATATTTAAATATATATGATTTGTGATCGAGTTGGGAGCAGAAATTTGTTTTCTTCTGAATAGTAACCAAGAAATACATTAGTGAGTCTATATGGTTTTGAGAGTTACAAGACATTGCACGTTGTCTTACTTGTGTCTTGTTGTAGACATTGCAAATGTATGTGTAGTTCCAGTTTCTATATCTACTCTCGCATAACAAGTATCCTAAGCCAATATTTTGTTTTAACATGGAGATCCTTGTCTGAAAATTTATACATTAACGTTAATTCAGTGAACCTAAATTACTCAAAATATAGGCTTCTAATATAAATATACAAGAAAAGAAGATAAAGACTTTCGAGTCCTCACTTTTTGAGCTATAGCCTCCAAAGTAAAAAAATATAGAACATATTAAAATAAGAAAACTTTAACTTCAAAACAGCGAATTATCGAAACAAGAATAAAATGTCAAATTGACGATTCGTGGAAAGATATAGACTCTAGCTACCTTCGGGATAGGATTTCTACAAGAGGATGATAGAACGCTGTTGATTTGTTGGAAAGATATCAAATGCTAAATCTTTTCTCTTTTACGTTCAGAGTCGGAATCCATTTTATGAGCAATGAAATCATTATTATTTTTATAAAGACGAGTTTTGCCTTCTTCAAAACCGTTTTATGAATTATTCCTTGTTTTTCATTTATTGTAGTTGAAATTATATGAAAGATCCGTTAACTTAAAAACAGGTCTGTTGAATGTTTTTAGTTTGTAAACACAAATTAAAAAATCGGTTTTGAAAACCAACCAAATTGTTTATTTTAGTTTAGTTGTGAGGTTAATTAAGAAACAAAAAAGACACTTTCTTTAAGAGAAAATTGGAGAGAACGACAAGAAGACAGATGTACTTGACATAGAGATATGTCTTGATCTCCTCGATAGACAACAAGTTATTTGTTATTCGCATATAATCGTTTTCTTATCATCTCGGGCCTCGAATAAGATTTGGCTATATCGTATTATATTTTTGAGAATATTTACATATTTCCAGAGAATCAAAACTATGGAAAGTTTTTGTTGTTTTATGTCTACTCACATGTGTCTTTGTTGTCTCATTCCATACTGGTAAGTCAAACATATTTGTAACGTGAGAGATCAAATTCTCTTTTTATGCTTATATTTGACATAGTAGAATTCTTACACAATTATTTTAAAACGATTTTTATAATATAATTAAGCATTTTAAGAAATTAAATGACAAATAACTAAAAAATATGTTCTTCCAAAATTATCTTATAAAATTAATTATCACATTTTCAAAGGTAAAATATATTAATATAAATTAATTTTTTCCAAAGTGTAAACACATCTAGAAGGGCAAAAAAAAAGGTATGGGCCAAAACAATTTAGTTCAACCCTCGCCTTCTCAGTCACGTGTTTTCCTCCATATAACTCCATTCGTAAGACTTGGTTAATTGTTTTTGCATTCCCACCATATGAAAAACAGTGGCGGAGCTAGAACCAATTTTTATTGGGGTCAAAATTTTATAAAACAAAAAATCACAAAATATAATATTTCTTAAGCAACTTTTCTATAATTATAAGCCCAAATTTTAAGAGGTTTACGAGACCTAAATTACTGTATTATTGTTTTGGGTTCAATTTACAAGGATTAAACATATTTTTTAGCTCAAGAATGTGGGTTTTGGATATTTTTTTTAAGTAAAGCATGGGTATAAGTTAGATTTATAGGGGCTAATGTAAAATTTTCAGTGGGGTCAATCTCACATTTTATCAAAAAACATAAAGAGTTATTAAATTTTATTGGGGTCAATTGACCCCACTCCATAAGCTTTGCCTCCGCCCCTGATGAAAAATGAAGCGAAGTTTACAAGGATTTTAACAAAAAAAAAAACAAACTTAAACACAGGGTTTAAGAAATTTAATATAACTGTAATTCAAAGTCTAAAATTGTTTCTTTACTACAATCCTACGAAAATAATGGAATATTACCAAATGGGTGGCCTAGTAGTAGTATAAGGGAGTTGGTTTTCTGGTGTCTGGATTCAATTCTCTTTTAGACGGAGAGGTATTTTTAAAATTTTTAAAATAAAAATGGACTAAAGGCTGGTTCCGGATATCGAAGGAGATTATGCGCCAAAGGTGCGGAACTTCAGCAGTTTTAAAAAAATGTAATATGCATGTAATGTTACTTTGCAAATAAAAGGCCAAAGATCTAGAACTTCATTGTTTAAAAACAATTTTTAAAAAGCTTTGCAAATAAAAATAGATTGTTAGAGGAGAGGAAACAAATTTTGTAAGGCGAAACTAGCAATGACAGAATAAGCCTTCTGTGAAGGATGCACAGAATCAAAGAACAAATACTTGGAAACATCGTCACAAGTCCGAGACAATGGCTGGCATAGAGGTCCTGCCTCAAGCAGCCCCGTCCCGCAACATCCTCTCAATGTTTCCTCTAGTCCTGTATAAATTACTCTTCACATTAGAAACTATTCCACACTTAATTAACAGAATGAATTTGTATATGATGAAAAACTTTAATCAATTAGTTACCGTATTTACGAGGATGTTTGATCATGTCTATTAACGGAGAGTAGATATCGAGGTAGAGAACTTTGCAACCTCGAAGCCTCTGACTGAGACTGAAGGTTAGCTTCTGTAGCTTTTGATTATAAACCCGAGAATCATCGTTCTGATGTTCCGTACAGATACGATGATGGAAGATGCGAGAAGTTTTGATGCTAGTAAGTGTTACTTGCACCGGAAGACATCCGATTGGTGGTAGTCCAGCTACTGTAATTTTTCGTGCTCCTGCGTCGTATAGTCTCTGTAAGCATTTGTAACGTTAGAAATTTAGCTATTATTTGGATCTCTCTCTTTATCTGTTTGAGACTCGAATGGAACTATATATAATGAAAAAAAAACAAATCCCTAACTAGTATATATGGGCCTGTGAGAGCAGTCCAAGGAACAGAAACTGGGCCTATTAAAAGGTTTTATCATATTTCTCTAGAATTCATAAAATACAATAGAAATTTAAAAAGCATAAAGGAATATATTGAAAATAGGAAGAATTTCGTCTAACTATTGTATAAGCAAATGTAGGTGTTACTCCAGTGAACAAATTTAATGAGTGGGATCCATGTAGTAGGAAACTAGTTACTATTTTTGAATTTTGATTATATATACTGTATATAGGCATTTCTCTAAAGATATTTGTTTTCTCTATAATAAGATATATATATCAACAAATCCGATAAAATTATATAAGAAATTTAAAACATTATAACTAAGTAACTAACCTGGACAAAAACTTCGACTTTGCTGAGTAGAGAATCTTGATAATCCGAAACGGAGATCAAACTCCCAAGAACATGATTATAAACGTTATAGATCATATCATTAGTGCCTGCACTAATGACGAACACAGCATTCTTAATCACCTGATTAGTCTCCGAATCTCCAACCAAACTCTTCATCTTACCCACCGCCTCTTCGAAGTAGCTCCATTGCTTGTCCATGGTCAAAGTCAACGATAACATCGCCGTCCGATCATCTAAACCACCTCCGGCCGAGGCAAAACTAACGCCGGTCAAAAGGTCAACGGGTTTGACCAAAGGGTTGAGGTAAGCTGGTAAAGTGGGTTTGAGTCCTAGAGAGGAAACTATGAAGTCGGTGGCGAGTTTTCCGTCGGAGAATCGTCCGGTGGAGAGTTTGGCCGGAAATGATTTGCCGTAGGGAGGATGGTTGCTTTGGAAAAGAGTGGGAATGTAATTGTTGTTACCGGAATCCACCGTGGAGTCGCCGAAGGCGTATAGGGCTGTTATTGGTGGGGATAGTGATGCATTGGTAAGGTTTAGAAGTTGGAGGAGAAGAAGAGTGATGAGGAATGTAAGAAACATTGGCTTGTGATGATTAGGGTTCATGGTTTGGTTAGTGTGGGATGATGAAAACAGAGGAAAATACATTTTCTGATTTGTTGGAATATATCAAAAATATATATAGAGTCCAAAAAGGAAATGAAGTTTAATAATGTAAAACTTCTTTTTCTTAATTATAATTTTTACTAGAGGAGTTAATTTACAATATATTTGTACACATGTTGAATGTGGAAATGTTTCTGCAAAAAATGAAGCTTCTAGCTACGGTTATCTGAGATTTTAAAAACGATAATTTCTATTTGCATAGAGTAGATCTAAACTACTTTATGTTAGTTGGATTTCAAAGCCATACGTAAGTTATAGAGCATATACTAAGCTTTAATCATAAATGCATGTGCAGAAAACACAGTAAATAGATGGACAAAAATATATAAAATTGAATGCGTTTACTTTCTTTAGTATATTACTTTTAAGTTTCTATAATAAATGGAGAAAAAATCAGAACGGGATTTTCCCATTAAGTTTATACTAAAGAATACGAAAAGGACAGATGAAAATTACTCATTATAGCGTGCAAAGAGCTGGCATGTAGCTCACGACGAAGAACCCTTTAATGCCGCGCATTAACCTTGTAACTATTTCTTTGTTAGCAGATTCAAAATTATTGCGAATTGGACACTAGATAGCCTCTAATCACTTAGGAATAATTCCCAGATAATTTGATAATTAGAAACTCAGTTGAATCGACAAAGTGTAGCCTTGATGTATTCATATACAAACCATACATTAGGACCAGGTTATAATTAAGTTAGAAATTTAATTTATGTAGGATAAGTTTGTTAACTCATAATTCCATTATTCCAACATTAGTGGGAATAACATGGCAAAGTACGTGATTCATGTGGTCTCAATATCTTCACTCTCTTGTTAATCGAGATGATCATTTATGACTTCACGCATCATAATGATTATATATGATCGAATCATTTCAAATCAAAACAAATAATCTATACTTGGGAAGAAGTATTTGTTAAACAACATGGTCCTCGTCTTTTAGATGTTAAATGTGTCTTTTGGTTTTGTAAGAGCACGTTTTGAGTTTGATTAAAATAGCACAAGGTAGTTTCTTCATCTGAAGCTTCCTTGATTCACTCTGTTCAATTCAACATCTCAAGAAAACTCGGGGACAAATAGACTAAAGTAAACAATCTCGTATCTCTGTATACTCTCATTGTTCTTCGTCTGTTTCTCTGCACCACAACTCGAATCTTTAAGCATAAGCTGTGATCGATTAAGCTCTGATTGTATTAAGCTTTCTTTGAAACTAAAGAACTCAATCATAATCATCTTCTTCATCATCATCGTTTCTCACATTTCTTTCATAGAATTGTCTCAATTCATCACCCATTCTCAATCCTCTCAAAACCATCTCTTTCACAACAATCTTGGCTTCTCCAAACCTCTTCCTCTTCACAAGCTTACCAGCCAAAAACCCAAAACTCTCACTATCCAACCCCAAATCTTTTCCGGCGTAAGCCATCACAAACTCCAAACCCATCGCATAATAGCCTCCCTCCACCAACCCCGCTATAACGTGCGCATGCGTCGAGTACAACACAGTCACACCATCCTCCTCCATCCTCCTCAATATCGCCATCGCCGCCTCCACTTTCCCCGCCTTACACGCGCCTAGCACAAGCGCGTCGTAGCTACGCGAATCCGTAGAGATCCCGTCTTCTTCAATCTTACGCATTACCTCGCTCGCCGTTTCCAATTCGCCGTCGTAACAATGCGAAGTAAGGAAGTAGTTGTACGATGTCACATCCATCGGAACCGATTTGGATCTCATCGATTCAACAACTCGCCAAGCCTCTTCGATTTTGTTCTTCCTCGTGAGCGAGCACAAAATCGGGTGAAATGTCGACGGCGTTAAGCCTAATCTACCGTTAGACATGTCTCCGATCACGATTAACGCGTCTTCGATGCGGCCGAGCTTGCAGAGACGAGAGATTAAAATGTCGTAAGCGTTTTTTCCGCGAGAAACCGCCGTCGATCTGAGGCAAAACGCGGCGGAGATCTTCTAAATCGGAGGAGTATGAGACGGTGTTGGTTAGGAATTTGAATGTATCGCTCGTGTTGAAAGATCCGAGCACTATACGGTTGTTTAGGAGACGGCGTACGGTCTCGAAATCACCGGAGCTACCAGCTTCGTTGATAAGTTTGTCGAATTCGGTGGTTTTGCGGCGACCTGAAGGAATCTTCACGGTGGAGAACGATCTATCGGCGAGGAATTGAAGGAATGTTCTGGAATTAACTGATTGTTTGACGAATCGTCGCCGGAGAAGAGACATTGAGTTTCACAAATTGATGTTTGTTGTTCGTTAGGGTTTAAGCCGAGAAGGTTATTCAGAAAATGGGCCTACGAGATAAATGGGCTTTTATTTTTGTACTTAGAGGCCTGTTGTTATTGAAACTCTGACCCATTAATTAATTTAAGTGGCACAAAAATGGATACACCCCATTATGTTCACGAAAAAAAAACTAAACGAGAGTATATTTGTTGCATATTTTATCTTATAGTTATGACTTATGAGTATAATTTATAATTACATTATGATAAAAATTAAACGAGAGTAACATAGTGAAGAAAACTAACCGACTCGACTACTATATATATTTTATGTATGATACTAAAGATTATTCTTATATGTAAATTTGATTAACACTAACTAACAAACAAAACAAAAGATATGATTTTGAGAATAAGATACTTTTAAAGAATATCTCTTCTTCTTCTTCTTTTTGGTGAAAAGACTTGGATTCAATTGTTTGCGAGGAATCCTTTTGGTATGGTTGAAAAGATAATTAAAGTCGAGAAAGGAGATAACGAAAAGAGGGGTCGTGATAAAAAGAAGAAGAAGACAATGCTTATCACACATCAAGAAAAAACAAACATAAAATGTTGGGGTAAAGATGCAAATCATATATAGCTAATCTAATCTAAGCTTATCCTAATAATAATATAAATTAGATTACTCTAATTATAATTATTGTTTTCAAAATTTTAATTTAATTCTATAATTATTTTGGTGACTAATATTATGTTTTATGAACTCTGTTCTACTACCCATCTCACCAAATAATTATATAAAAAAAAAAAAAAACAATTACACTTCTATAGAATTGGTGGACGTTTTCCACATATACAGACTTGTCGACATCGATTTTATGTCCATGTACAAATAATTTGAAAATTATTGTCAACAATTTTTGTTCCTTGATTTTACACTAGCTTGCAAATTCACTTGGTTAGCTAGCTATTGTCAAAGAATTATTAACAGTCGTTCACATTTTGTTTGTATCCGAGTTTTCTTTTTTGTGTCAGAAAATTCCAAATCCATATTACAGTCTTGACATAGTACGTATTTGATAAACTGATATAAATTAATGTAGTGATAGAATTACGAATAACAAGTTTGTCTCCATGCAAGTGAAAATGTCTCTGCCGACCAATCTTTGACCACATGAAAGCTTTGGCAAACATAAAAGACAAATTCTCTCTTTTATAGATTCAACTTTACAACAACTCTTTGCATTAATTATGATCACGATCTCATTAAGAGGCCGGTGACCGGCTTTTACATTTTAACACTCGAATCTTCCTCTCTTCCTTGTTTGTATCTCCTGCTATGTACAGATTTATATGTTTATCGTCCTTTCGTGTCATTTTCAAAGGAGCCTTGGTTTCGTTTCACATATGATGTATAACAAAGGTCACAGACTCGCAGAGTTGTTATTTTCATGTTGAATACGATAAATCATTTTCGGCTATTGAGTCAAATTATTTTTTCACATAAAAATTTATGTAAATGTTTCGTAATATTGATCATTGTTCCAACCAAATAGTTGTAATCTAGTAGTTTTCCGTTAATGTTCGAATGTAGTGATATAGATTTAGATTACGTTTATACAAGTTTCTTATAAAGGTTATATATGGTCATTCATGTAACCATCAATGAACATATATAACCTTTATAAAATGTGTAAATGACGTTAAGTCAGACAATATATTAACGTCATACAATATTAAAACGGTCTCTAAACCGACCGTATTAGTCTTAAGTCATTGTATAACTGATGTTATATTCAATATTAACCGACGTAACTTGCCGTGTTTTTTTTTTGTGTCAGGCGTCTACGAAATTTAGGTATTAAAACAAACATAGAAGTTGCACTTAGTTAATTTGATTTTAGAAACAAATTTTCATAGTGCCCAAAAACAAAACACATTTTCATATATACCTTCTCGTCGGGTTTCATAGCCAACATTTTACAAAACCAAGACATAACTTTGGTCTCTACTATGATGTTGGGGCGTAAAAGATGAGCACTAGCTTGCGACGATTAATTTGAACAATTTTTCAAACGTTATCATCTTATGTGGCTTACAAAGCTGTAAACCACTTTTTGTATTTGAGATATAACTAAGAGATTATGCTGATCTGAACTTTATTGTAGTTTATATATGATTAAAACCACAAGTACAACGTTAATATATTCACAAGAATAATGTATTTAGCATAATAATGTGGGAACCAGTACTCTAGTTTGTTTGTTTTTGAGAAGGGATGGTGGCTATACTAATACTGGCTACTTGCCCAGTGCTCAATAGCAGGGCCTACCAAATTCTTGTTGGATGGATAATATGTGCATGTGGTGTTTCTTTGGGTACACCCAATTTATTTATTTATTTTCATAAAAGAAAACTGAAAAAAATAGATATTATGCGTTACGAATAACAAAAATAACGTTAAACAAAATATAAAGAATATATAAATAACGAAAAAAAGACATGATTTGTTTACCCTTGGGCTGGCCTACGCCTTTTTGAAAATCACGTACTGATCAGTTGAAAATGAAAAAAGAATAACTTAATGACAAGGATTTTTGTCTTTATTTTCATATGACTTTCGTCATATTTATTGGATCTTTTATCAAGTAAGATCAAAAAAAGATTTTTGTATTTTCTTCAGTTCATCGGAGTGATTGCAAATGCATAATTAAATTGTGATGGTATTGATTTAAAAGGGCTGATACCACACAAAAAAAAAAGGTATGTAACATTAGAAATAGCTCCATCTATATATATGTTCTATGTACAATAAGCTAAGCATAAACGAGAGGTGAAGGTTGGTCTGAATCTAAAGTTTCACAAAACCAAGATAAGTCCAAAAAGATAATGTGACTGGAACAAATTAGATAGATGTTTCCGAAATTTAAGGAATAATAATTAAGTTTGGTTGTCCTTGGGGATAAGCGAAGTCTTATGAAAATGCAATGCTAGATATATATGAATAAGATTTACGATGGTCTCAATGAAACTAAGAAACGTAGTCATCTAAGGTTCTCGCAGCGACTTTCATAATCTAATTTGAATTTATAAAATTATATATGCTTGATTATTTTTTACTAGTAATAAAATTCTAATTGGAATTAGAAAAAAAATATGGTTGGTCAATGCCACTATTATCGTTATCAAATATCCAACCACCATTCCTCGACGTTCACATATACTCTTGTTTGTGTCTTTGTCTCTGCAACAAAATGAAACGACCGTATTATATATATCTTCTTGTGAAACTACACGACGCCTTGTTGAAAGGAATAACAACTTCGAAAATTCGAGCTAGACCAGCAATCCGGCATCACCGTCATAACATCACTTTTTACCTTTATTTCTATTTCAATTTCATCGTTAACCGTGCTTCCTTCTTGTTAATTAACATGTCGTCGTTGGCGTCACCGACATGAATAGAAGCTCTATATTATATGGAAAGTGCCTCTCACTTTTAGCATGCATCTACTTCTACTCTATAATATATACGACCAAAGTTCGTAGATGACTTACTTTAGATTCCTTGAGTAGTGTAAAAGAAAGAAAGAAAAAAAAACATGAGCACCGTAACATGTGCATACCATATCAAGTCACCCTTTTAGTTTGTTCCCCATAAAGCTATCTTCTCACCTTTTATTTCTTGGTAGAAAATCTTCCCAAATCTTCCTTATTTCTTTTCATAAACAGAATCAAAACAATATAATTAAACCCATTTATATGGATTACCGAATCATCTTCTTTAATTTTTAATTAATGGGAATGTGAAATGTATTCCACCATCTTTTATCTTTTCATTGTAATCGGGAAATTTTCTAAACCTAAACTCTCTACTCATTTTCCGAAAAATTGTAGACGGTGAAGTACTTTACCAATTCAGACGTCTATAATGGCCAAAAGAAAAACTCGTTATATAGACGGAAATATTGAGACATTATAACGTGATTATACATATATATCAGCATTCGATAGATGGTTTCAATTCATCTTCTTTCTTATTATAAACTCCATCGAATTAAGATTTGATCAATCCTTAAATCTCTCAGGCTCTACTCATCACATTTTGGATTATTAATAAGAACAGGTAATATTTGTAGGGTCGAAGTACACTGTTCTATCATCATTGAATAAAGAAGCTTTATATCATACCGAAAAAAAATATATGACTTAAAAGAAAAGTAGATCATATATACTATACGAGTGACCACGTTAAATATTTATGGGTCCATGCTAGAATTGACTAGACCACTACAGTAAAATTTAAAGAAAAAAAGTGGCATTGCTTTTGAATTATCTATACATATGATTTCAATTAAAAGTGCACAAATGGTTTATTTATATTAATTCGACTGGTTTCGTTACCATTTTAAAATTAAATTCCTTGATAATCTTTCGGTATGTAACTGCTTCGTGTCGCGTGGTAAAGAGATGGCACATAGCTTAATTAAAAAAAATGTTAATCTTTCCATAGTAGTAGCTTGGTGGGAAAGTATTACATTTTACAAGTTTATCTGGCAAACAACATTTTTTTTTTTACATCTTTGTATCGACAAAATCCAATTCATAGTCAATCCCTACTATGCGGGATAACACGATTTAGTAGAGTTGAACTTTGGTAAGGAAAACGGAGTCAAATGGATTTGACCACTTGACTAAAGACACGTCTCAGACAAACAACATATGAAACCAAATATTATTAAATCTAGTGAATAATTGAATATTTGACAATATTTTTGGCTGCCAAATTAAGTCCGAAAAGTGTGTCTTTTTTTTTCCTTTTCTCCTAAGAGTGTTCAGATATTCAAACTTATTTAAATATATTTTTATATCAAATAACACATCTTTTTTTTTTTTTTTTCGTCTGAAGATTTCATTGATATGATGCGGTTGAGTTATACATACCCGACAAGAATCGAAATCCTTTCGGAAACTAGGCCGGCGGGTACATAGAAACCCCCGGAGACTAAGGCCGAAAAAGGCGAGATAAGGCCGAAAAGAGCGAGCTAACAGAAAACCTTATGAATAGATTACATGGAAAACAACTGTGAGAAATTGTGATGTATCTCTGTAGATAAATTTTGCACAATTATGGAAGGGTATGTATTTCATATAATATTCCATGAGTATATTTTTGTCTTTGTCCAATAAAGTTATTCCATGAGAATCTTAGCACAAAATCTTTCACTGTTTTAGACACATGCGCCAACGCCCAAACAACAAGGCACATCATATTGTAAAAACCGCCACCACAACCATTTTATTCTCATTAATATTGCCCTTTATATACATCCAAATAATTCTAAACAAGAAAAGTGTAAATATACAACCCTCTGCAACTCTAAACTTTAAATTTTGTTACTGGACTCGGATTTTCAAGTAAGTCCCTTCTTTTTCCAAGGTCGCTTGTAGGTTGTTTTATTTATTTTTTGGTGAAAACTTTTAGGTTGTTCTATAATGTATTTTGTTCGTTTCATCCAAAAACGCTTCTCGATTTCAAAAAGCAGTTTGCTTCCATGACATAATCTATGATTAGTGTCGTAAAACGATAAACGTTATTAAGTTGATGAGTTACTTGTGCATATTGTTAACATGGATTTAAAAGAAAATATTCCTACTTAAATTGTCAATCAAATATTTTTTTTCATTTCACACCGGTAACACATCAATTCAAAGACTTTTCAGTATTAAAAATTTGTTCAAATAAGCTTTTTTTTCTAATACTTAAAAGATTGGCTAAATGACATTTTATAACCTAATCTTGAAATGACATTTTATAAAATTTTATAACCTTTTAACGTTTGCCGAAGAGTACTACTTTCAGATTTTTTTTTTTCTTTTTCTTCAGTTCTTATTCTATGGATAATTTTATAGATGATCATTTAAAATTAATAGGCGGTAAAAAGTTGTATAAACAAAATTAATTTACGTGTATGTGGATAGTATAATTATATGTTCATGTATTTACTTAGTAGATGATCGAATGAGTGATGGTTGATGTACATATTTGAATGGACGGTAGAAATATGCGCTAACGTCCCCTAAAATTCATCCACCAATTTGAATTGACCAAGTATCTCCAAATCAACTAAATATCCAAGATCAACCAAATATTGTCGAAATCTTTTCAATATCCCCCCAAAAAATAGTTTATCTATCTTTTCATATTCAATACTAATTACTCAAAAGTACCGAAAATCTCATATGATATTAGTCAACCAAAACTCTATCACTCCAAAATACTTTCTATGCTCTCTTAAAATATACATTCCAAGAACTTGTATAATTTTCGGACCAGTGGATAAAAAAAAATGGCCACCAAACTCAAAATCAATGCGAATAAGGCAACACGTACACACAAGCACACAAGAGTGAAGAGTACATTTGCACGATACAACACAACACAAGACACACCATGTCAAAAAACAGAGAACACCCAAATTACGAAATTACCCTACCTGTCTCGATACTTCTATCTACGTGACTATACAATCACATACATTTGTAACAGAAAACAAAGATTAAAAAAGCATATATTAGAGCATCTCCAATGAGTGCAAAATGAGGTTCTCTTTGGAGGTTCTCTTGAAATTATTTTTGAAAAATAAATCAAAACTGTTAAAAAAGAAGAGAGCTGTCTCTCTTGAGAGAAATGTTGAGCACCATGAGAGCCGACGACGTGGCCTTCTCTCAGCCGTCGATTTTTTTTGATCAAAAAAAAAAAAAAAAACGCGTAAAAAAAAAGGGGGATGGCGATGCTTTTTTTTTACCATTTCCCGACTCTTCTCTCTGTTTCTTTGCGAAGGCGATGGCGATGCCTTTTCTCCGACGATTGAGGTTACGGTTAAGGCCGCCGGCGACGATTGAGGGAAGAATAGAGCCGCCGGCGACGATTAGGCCGGATTCCCCACTGCATGTCACGATCGGGAGTGAGAGAGATAATCGGATATCCAAATTCAACGGATGGAGGTGGAGGTGGATGTGGATGTGGAATCTATGGAGTTGACGGAGGAGGAGAGGGAGAAGAAGGTGAGAAAGGAGAAGGCTTTGAAGGAGATCTATGGTAATTTTGGTTTTGATTGTTTTCGACTTCAATCTAAGATCTTTTGCTTTTAGCTTCTGTTTGCTTTGATACTGTGATTTGGTTTCGTTTAAGGGTTTCTTCCGCTTTGAATCTGAAACCAAATCTCTTCCCTTTTTTCGATTTAGGGTTTGATTTAGAGTTGAAAGATGTACAACGGGATAGGGTTACAGACCGCAAGAGGATCAGGAACTAATGGTTATGTTGAGACGAATAAGTTCTTTGTGAGACCTAGAAATGGTGGTAAGCCTGTTAATGGTGGTAAATGGTTTGAGGATGATCAAGGTATAAGGAATCAATAACTCAATTAGCTCGATTTGTGTTCTCTTTACTGGTTTTGATTTTTGTGTGTGTTGTTGCAGGTGTTCCAGTTAAAAGTTAATGGTGTGGCATTTAGGTTGATTCCTGAGTCTACTCAAGTGAAAAATGCCTTGAAGGTGAGTTGATTTGTCCATAGAATATATCTTTGGATACTCAAAAGCTTTGCTTTTTGTCACCATAGACGTTATAGCTGCTGAACATGACTGTCATCATTCATCAATGAGGAGACTTTGTGTTAGTTTAGTGCAGGAGCCTTTTAAATTATATATATCTTCTATATGTGTATACAGGAAAGGAAAACAGCTGGTATTGATGATGATTACTTCCATGGTGTTCCAGTTTTCCAGGTAATGTGCAAAAGAACCAATACTTTCAATGGTTGTGACTAGCTTTAACTTCATTGCAAGTTTGATAAGTCTTATACTTGACTTAGGAACTTGTTTGTTTAGTATATCTTGTCACTAGTTAGTGTATCTGTGATGATGACCTTGATGGGTTTTGATTACTTTCATCTGCTTCTTGTTGGAGATTAAGAGTTTTTGACTTAATTTTTCACTTGTTCTGATAGTAGTTAACTTTAGATTAGGTTGAATGATTATGATCCTTCTAATTACCATCGTTTTATAGATCTTTATGAAGCAAAAGAGGATCCTCGAAATAAGTACTTGAAGGAGCAGCAACTTAAGAAACTAGAGGAGAAGAACAATAATGAAAAAGGTAATTATCTGTCTCTGTCTTAGTAATTACTTGAATCATTTTGAATTTTTAATGTTATGTTAATATTTCTTTCTTTTTCTCTGTTTTGGTGAGGTTAATTGGAGTGGTTGAAACTACAAATCTCACAAGTGGAGAAGGCAGAAGGCATCGATTTAACAGCCTCTAAATCAAGGTACAGTTTGTGCTGTGATTAATGCTTTCTTTGTGTTTGATTAGGACAGTTTTTGCTTTTGTAAATGCTTTCTCTGTTATTTGAAATAAATGCTTTCTAGTTGGAGTATTTTAGGTAAAGACAATTAGTGTCTTTACTTTGGCATTCATTGCTAATACTTCAATAAGTTTCAATCTTCTTCTTTAAAACACAATCACTTCCTTTAAAACAATCACTTTCACTTCCTTTAACCTTCAGCCTAACACAAAACACAATCACTTTCACTTTCTTATCTAAAAAATGGATGATATGAATCCATTTTATCACTCATCGGGTTTCATGAACCTATTGCAAAGTCAACAAGAAGACATGTCTCAGTTTGCAAGTGGATCAACTGAAGTCCCAGCATTTAGTAGTCAACTGTCTGAAGAAGGAAGTGAAGAAGAAGGAAATGAAGCATCAGATGTCAAACCAAAGCAAAGTATATCACGAAAGAAATGGACAGCAAAAGAAGATATTGTTCTCGTCAGTGCTTGGCTTAATACAAGCAAGGATCCTGTGATTGGTAATGACCAACAAGGTCAATCCTTTTGGAAGAGGATTGCAGCATATGTTGCTGCTAGTCCTTCCCTCGACGGAATGCCAAAGAGAGAGCATGCTCAATGTAAACAAAGGTGGGCAAAGATCAATAAAATTGTCACCAAGTTTGTGGGTTGTCATAAGACAGCAACAACTCATAAAACTAGTGGTCAGTCAGAGGATGATGTTATGAAGCTGGCTCACGAGATCTACTACAATGATACCAAGAAGAATTTCACTTTAGATCATGCATGGAGAGAGTTAAAGTTTGATCAGAAATGGTGTGATCAAACTACTCGGGGAGGAAAGGATAATGCTAAAAGAAGGAAGTGTGGGGATGGTAATGCAAGTTCCCAGCCTATCAATGTTGAAGATGATTCAGTCATGACTCGACCTCCTGGTGTGAAGGCAGCCAAAGCGAAAGGAAGGAAGTCAGCCACTGTTAACGAAGGAAAGAAGCCAGCCACGAGTAAAGGAGAAGCAGGCCAGTCTGTGGAACATTTTCAGAATTTGTGGGAACTAAAGGAGAAGGATTGGGATCGCAGAGAGAAGCAAAGCAAGTATCAGATGCTTGAAAATCTACTTTCAAGAACTGAGCCTCTTTCGGACATTGACTTGTTCCTAAAAAATAAGCTAATCACGGAGCTTTGGTCCTAAGTTTTAAAGTTTTAGTTTGGTCCTAAGTTTTAAGCTAAACATCAGATGCTTTTTAGTTTTTTTGTCTCATGTATGATATTGCTTTGTAAGTTCTAGTATTATGTCTCATGTATGATATTGTTTAAAGTTCTAGTTTAAGTCTATGTACTCTAAAGCTTTGTAACTTGTCTTGTATGATATTGCTTTGTAATGTATGATATGTCTTGTTGTGTATCATGTTTCTCTGTTTTAACTTGTCTTGTTTTTTTGCTAGATGCCAAAGAGAGCAATGTGTGCAAGTGGTTCAATGTCTGATGCTAAAGAGATCAATATGTACCACAAATAATTTGTATGTTTTTTGTGAACCACGAACTTTATTCTAGCAAATTTGTACCACAAACGAGCTTATTCTTTGTGTACCACAAACTTTATTCTTTATGTTTTGCCTTTGCTATAAATAATATTCATCGTCTTTAGATGTCTCACAACTCAAGCTTTTCTAATATTGTTCTTTGCTTCAACTACAAAAACTATTTTTCCCTTAATTTTTCTTTGCTATTACCACAAAACAATCAATCACCAAAGCTTTTATATATATCTATATTGTTTAATACTTAAACCTACCAAACAATATGGCCTCTTCATCCCGTACTCCATTCGACGACGCCATGGAAGAAAGCTACTCTCAAGCACTTGATCAACAATTCGAGAATATGTTCGTCGAATTGTCTAATGGCGAAGAGGTTGCAAAGAAAAATAGGAAACGAGCTTATTTTGATAGAAAACGCGAAGAAGGGCACGTCCTTTTATGGAACGATTATTTTAGTGATAATGCGATGTTTCCACCTCAAACTTTTCGCCGCCGTTTTCGAATGAACAAGCCATTGTTCTTGCGTATTGTTGAGCGACTCTCCAGTGAAATCCCGTTCTTTCAACATCGAAGAGATGCCACAGGAAGGCTTGGACACTCTCCAATACAAAAATGTACGGCAGCCATTCGTTTGCTTGCTTATGGTTATGCGTCTGATGCGGTTGACGAATACCTTCGTATGGGTGAAAGCACTGCGATGTCTTGCTTGGAGAATTTTACAGAGGGAATTATTTCTTTCTTCGGAGATGAATATCTAAGAGCACCTACAGCCACAGATCTGAGAAGACTACTCAATATTGGAAAGATACGCGGATTTCCCGGGATGATAGGAAGTCTCGATTGTATGCACTGGGAGTGGAAGAATTGTCCCACCGCTTGGAAAGGCCAGTATACACGTGGCTCTGGAAAACCAACCATCGTTTTAGAGGCGGTCGCATCACAAGATCTCTGGATTTGGCACGCATTTTTTGGACCTCCAGGTACCTTAAACGATATAAATATTCTTGATCGATCACCAATTTTTGATGATATATTACAAGGTCGAGCTCCGAATGTGAATTACAAAGTCAATGGCCGGGAGTATCATCTAGCTTACTATCTCACAGATGGTATTTATCCGAAATGGGCGACTTTTATCCAATCTATTCGACTACCACAAACTCGGAAAGACACTTTATTTGCTACACATCAAGAAGCGGCCCGTAAAGATGTCGAACGTGCATTTGGAGTATTGCAAGCTCGCTTTCACATTATTAAAAACCCAGCTCTTGTTTGGGATAAGGAAAAAATTGGAAATATTATGAAAGCATGTATCATACTGCACAATATGATAGTCGAAGACGAACGAGATGGGTACAACACTCAGTTTGATGTTTCAGAATTCCTACAAGTTGAAGGAAACCAAACTTCACAAGTCGATTTATCGTATTCTACAGGTATGCCTCCAAATATCGAGAATATGATGGGCATGCGAAATCAACTTCGTGATCAAAATATGCATCAACAATTGAAAAGTGATTTGGTTGAGCATATATGGAGAAAATTTCGCAACAATCAACAGAATAACTAATCGTTTTTTTTTTTCAAATTTATTTTCAAATGTATGAAATTATTGTATCTTTAATATGTTATGAATTGTAATATTTTTCAGATTTATGAAATAAAATAATTTAAAAAATAATTTAATTTTTTCCTGAGAACCCCACAAAGAGAACCTACCATTGGACGTTGCAAAATTAACAAAAGCTCTCATCTCATAAATTTGAAAATTTTAATCTTAAAAAAATGGTGAGAGCCCATGGAGGGCTCTCACCATTGGAGATGCTCTTAGACACCTATATAATAATAATACACATAGCAGAGATATATATAATACACATAGCAAGAGACCCACCTTGTTTATTCTGAAGAAGAAGAAAAACAGAGCATCAAAGCAATGGGATCCTTAGTTCATGTGAAAGAAGCCACAGTTATTACTCCTTCCGACCAAACACCTTCTTCTGTTCTGTCTCTCTCCGCTTTAGATTCTCAGCTTTTCCTCCGTTTCACCATTGAATACTTCCTCGTTTACCCACCCGTTTCCGACCCGGATTATTCTCTCTCCGGTCGTCTCAAATCCGCTCTATCTCGCGCTCTCGTTCCTTACTTCCCTTTCTCCGGCCGCGTCCGGGAAAAACCCGACGGCGGCGGAGGTCTCGAGGTCAATTGCCGTGGCCAAGGTGCTCTGTTTCTTGAAGCCGTCTCTGATATCCTCACGTGCCTTGACTTTCAGAAACCTCCCCGGCACGTGACTAGCTGGAGAAAGCTTCTTTCACTCCACGTCATCGATGTCCTCGCTGGTGCTCCACCTCTCGTAGTTCAGCTGACCTGGCTCCGTGACGGTGGTGCTGCTTTAGCCGTCGGTGTTAACCACTGCGTCTCAGATGGAATCGGCAGCGCTGAGTTTCTCACTTTATTCGCCGAGTTATCTAAAGACTCGCTGAGTCAAACCGAGTTAAGGAGGAAACACCTCTGGGATCGCCAATTGCTTATGCCGTCTCCGACTCGTGACTCATTGAGCCATCCTGAGTTTAACCGAGTTCCCGATCTATGTGGATTCATCAACCGATTCAACGCCGAGCGACTCGTTCCTACATCAGTTGTCTTCGAGAGACAGAAACTTAACGAGCTAAAGAAACTAGCGAGTCGACTCGGTGAGTTCAATTCTAAACACACATCATTCGAGGTACTCTCTGCACATATATGGCGGAGCTGGGCGAGGTCACTGAACTTGCCATCGAACCAGATCCTTAAGCTTTTGTTTAGCATCAACATTAGAGACCGAGTCAAACCGAGTCTACCCAGTGGATTCTACGGGAACGCATTCGTCGTCGGATGTGCTCAAACCACCGTGAAAGACTTGACGGAGAAAGGATTAAGCTACGCGACGATGCTCGTGAAACAAGCGAAGGAACGAGTCGGCGACGATTACGTAAAATCGGTGGTTGAAGCTGTGAGCAATGAGAGAGCGAGTCCTGACTCGGTTGGAGTCTTGATACTGTCGCAGTGGTCACGACTCGGTTTAGAGAAGCTTGATTTCGGTTTTGGTAAACCGGTTCATATAGGGTCGGTTTGTTGCGACCGTTACTGTTTGTTGCTTCCGGTTCCTGAACGAAGTGACGCCGTTAAAGTAATGGTCGCAGTTCCGTCAAGCGCCGTTGACACCTACGAGAATCTTGTGACGAGTCCTAACGCTTAGATTAGAGAAAGGATAAATTCTGATTTTTACTCTTTTACTTTCTTACTTTTTACCTCTTTTCTTTAAATAAATTATGAACTCTCCCTCCGTTGACTTGTAAAATATGAGTTTTGACTTATTTTATTTAAATCCATTTTTGATTTTCTATATAATTTGTTTAGTTCCTTCTCTCACCTTCCAATTTGTTTGTTTAATCATCCAACACAAATCACTATTATAGATTTATTTTATTTTATCCTTCTTCTCATTGCACGCCTATTGGCGATCCACTATCAATTAATCAATTTCTTTATAGAAAATTA